CGATTCCATACACAGGCAATACCACGTGGCTGGGCGGAATTTTTAAAAGCAATTTCAGATTTGAATATTCCAATCACTACAGTGACAAATACTCATGCGCGTGAACAATTACGTCTCAAGCCTGACGCTATGCAGAGTGAACCGCAAGTTCGACGCAGTAAGAGAAAACGGGGGAAAAAAACAAGATCGACGGCAAATACACCCAATTTACTTCAACAAGAATTTATACCGTCAGAATGGCATGTGTCTTCACCAATACCTTCGAAATGGTTGGACTTCAGTCGATAAAAAAAAAGTATACCGTTTTATCAATTAAAAGTTTTATTTCAAAAATATATACAGGCTGTGTGTTTTATTGAGAACAATTATAACATTCATTAAACAGTTTTAAAGAGCATGCTTTTTGTTGACAAGTTTTACCCCTGTTTAAACACCTCACACATTCTGCATTTTTCTTCACAAACTTATTGGCAAGAGCATCATTCTTTTTTAAATCATCTGAATACAATCTCATTACTTCAGGAAAAGAAAGTCCTTTAAAACGATGGCATAGAAAAAAGATAACGTGCGCTCCACAAGCCATTGAAGAATGGTCTTGAACTTGGTGGTTGTTGAATTGTATTTCAGAGGAATTGTTCTTTAGAAACTTTATAAAACTTTCAGGGTAGAAAGTGAAGTCAGGACCATAACCGTAGCTATCAAAGAAACAAGATTTTTCTTCGTCTTCAACAATCATAGCCACCCAATGTTCACCTTCGCGCGTTTGATAATGCGTGTTAGCAACAAGGTAGCACGGACGTTTTTCAATCACTGTCGGGAGTAAGTCACTCGGGTATACACCCAAAAATGACTCTCCTAAGATCGGCTTCAGAATAGATTCAATTTGAGAATTATTCATTTTATTTTATTTTATTATTATTTTTTTTTAATAATCGATCAAAACCTGACGCTTAGAGTTTATTTCTATAACTGTGTCATAACAGGCATAGACAATCATTGTCATAGTTCTCGGAAGAGGAGCTCTGAATCTTAAATCCAAGCGACATGTTCCGTGCGTTGAGGGGGATAGAGCCTCACTGTCGAGCTCATCATCTCTTGAGAGATTAAACAAAAATACGGTCCGTTTTCAAGTTTTCACGGTGATGCAGAGTGGCGAGTCTCTAATATGTCTGTTTGTTCCCAAATAAAGATTGTAAAATTCACGGACGCTCTGATGAGTATTAAAGCTTGGCTGATATGGCTTCGATGGGATGAATCTAGAATTCACACTTAGAGAGAGATATTCAAGATCCGCGTGTTGAAAATTGAATGGATTCAGTTCTCTTGCTCCGACAAATGCTCTGTGATCTACTAGTCCCACTACAATATATCTTGGAAGCTTCCCTAGATATAAGTTATCCTGTGCGCATACACGAGACTGTGCAGGGATGGTGAAATTCTTTACCACTACACGGCTTATAGGATAAATGGCGTTGGATTTCATGAGAGCCGCTGAGTGTCCTAGCATAACATCTGGTGAGACTTGTACTTTTTTGGCAAAAATACTGGCCCCCAGAATCTTTAGATTGTAGGCGCCCCCAGCCGCTGACATCAGAGTAAAAGGACTTTTGGCTTTTACTAGTTTCAAACGCACATCCACGTTGTTTAGCAAAAGTCTTTCAGAAAAGAAAATGTCACTGTGTAGCGCACCAATCAGCTCAAATGGTTGGGACCCCCTAGCGAAACTAGCTCGTTTAACCAGTCCTTTATTGGTTGCGTCTTCACCCATTTCGATCGAATCCAAATCGGATCCCACATCTTTGTACCATAACCCTGCTGAAAATTGTGTCTCCAAACTTTCTCGTGAAAAGTTAAGAAGAGTTTCAATAATCGATCGGTAGGGATGTGTAGCGGATGATGAACTAATCATGAGAACGTCATTTAGAGTAACATCTACTTGCGAGAAAATAGTATTCAGGGGATACTGAATTGTCCCACACATGTCATCAGCACCAAGGTCAGCTCCATCCTCCTTAGTGATCTTTAATCTTAGATAAAGCAATGTTGAGTTGAGGTCGAGATAGGATCCACCACTGCCCGAAATCAGAAATTCTAATACTTCTTGATCTGTGATGGAGTTTAAAGGGTGGATCTCTACATAGTTGGTCTGATCTATGGATAGTTGAGTCATAGGAGGGGCAAAGATGTCAAGCTCTGATTTTGTGCACTCTGTCGAGAGGTGATGTGTGAGAGAGACATTTTTTAAAATATATCTCTCTCCTGAGGCTGTCTGTTTATATACGCCTTCTGCGATGTTTTACGCCTCTTTATAGGTATACTGTGCTTTAATACAGAGAGACTTCTTTTTCCTTTTCCTCGTGCAATGCGTGGAAGTCCAGATCCTTCCTGTGGTTCCGGACGCTGACTGGCGCGATTAGCAATGTGGCTGGTTACGGCTCCAACAACATCTGACGCAAACCCCTTCGCCGCCGTTTTCAAATGAGGTTTTGCAAAATTTGCACCTTGTTTAAGAAAGGGTAAAACGAAACGGAACGCTCTACTCAGCATGGACCCCAACCCTCGCCCATACATTACGGGTGCCCCCGCAAATCCATTTATTGACCCGCCTCCAGCTTGATTCACATAATAATTCACAAATCTTTGCGAGTTCATTTTTCAGCGTTAGTTGTTTCAGACAAAAGTTTTTGAAGTTGGTCTAAAATGTAGTTTACAAATAGTCTTCCCGTAGGTGAAGCGAATGGGCGTGTTTAAATCCGTTTTTAATTCTATTTGTATATCTTGTATGCGCTGTTTATTCACAGGGACGTAATGCAAGCGATTGTAGGACAGAGTGACGAGATATCCGTATGATCCTTCTTTTTTAATGATTCTCAGAAGTGGAACAACATAATCACCAACATGTTGGGCTTCCACAATGTTGGTATAGACATAAAAATTATAATGCCCACTATTGATATCGCACGGATATTTACTCAGAGTTTTTCCATCGGTTTTGACCCATTCATCAGGCTCAAAACCCAGTATGTAGGCTAAGGGTGGAGTAAACTTGATAGAGAATCGTCCTGTCCCAAATATTGAAGCTCTTTTGTTGATAGAGCTGTAATAGAAGATGAGATCAACGTTTACAGATTTTAATATGGCGTTGATTTCCTTCACTATCAATTCAACTTTCTCATAGTGTCCAGTAGGAATTTTTACATAGTTGGGTGGGTCGGTGTGGATGAATGATCCATTAGTTCAAATCCACCTTCGGCCCCGGCGATATTATTCCATGTGTGACAGTACATGATCTCAGCCAGGGCTACTTCATAAGCTCCTTGTAGTTCTATCGGCTTAGACAGTGTGATTGTATAATTTGAACTGTCATTGTCGGGGAATATGTTGTGACAGGCGTTTGATGGTAGCGTCACATAGAAGGAGTCTTGATTGGTCATTTTGCTTTCTGTTTCTTCTCCAGGTCTATGACCGCTTTAGCAGATATCCAGGAGTCAAACTGACTTGGCCATCCTCGCCAGTGTACTAAAACCATCTTCTGACCCTTTTTTGTTTTCTTGTCTAGTATTTCTTCTATACGGAAAACACTATCAGGCATGATTTTCACTTTCTGGAGTTCAGCTTCATAGAATGTCCCGTTCAGAATTTTGCCTCTTACATCTCGTAATTTATAAACGGGGGGAACTCGAGTGATCCTTTCATTAACTATAAAATATTCATCCGTGAATGATTGTTCATACATTTTGTCAAATACACCACGGTATTTTGAAATCCGAACCACATCGCCCTCTTTGAATTTAAATAAGTTGACTCTAGGGGCTAGAGGCATTGACGAGTATAAGTTTTCAAACACATCCGTTGTCCTGCTGTCTGTTACCTCCACGGGTTTCATTTTTATACTGCTGTGATAACTATTGTTATAGCTAGTCAGTAGATCTTGAAGAACATCGACGTATCTGCGAGTGTTTTTTGCTGTGAAAAATCTCCACATTTTTGTCTTCAAGGTGCGATTAAACCGTTCCACCACTGAGGCCTTCAAATCACTTCCTGTTGCAAAGTGACGTATGCTTGTGTTTCTTCATCAGTTTTTCAAAAACCCGTTAAAGAATTCTTTTCCTGCATCAGTTTGGACTTTTAAAGGAATTCCGCTCTCTTCTAAAATGGAAGCAAAAGCCATCGCAACTTCCCCCGCTGACTTGTTTTTGAGAGCCTTGGCATATGCTTTCTTTGAAAATACATCAATTACTGTAAGCATAAACTTGAACTGATCATTGTCCTTTAGCTAAAGCGCTCATATCGCAGAGATCAGCCTGGAATTGATATAGTGACCGGGGTACAAATACACGATTTCTAGCATAGGTTTTCCTAGCGCTTTTGTGCAGAGTATAGGCGTCTTGCCCCGACAGCCATTCTCGGACTTTGGCCCCTGTAACTTTCAGACCCGCTTGTTCTTCTGCAGCTTTTTGAAGTCGTTCTACACCTCCATATGACCCTGCTTTTGCTGGATTATAATATATGCTTTTCAGCACCCTATCTGTCTTTCTCAATGGCATGATGTCGAGTGTGTAGATAAGACATGAGTCATATGTTTTAGTGTCCAATTTTTTTTTTATTAAAAAACATTTAATTGAGTCATTCAACACATTTAGTACAGAATCAACATCAATTGCATGACCGTGCTTCAATTTAAAAGTTACTACATCCACTATAAAGGTATACATGACATGTGCTAGAGTATGACTATCAATAGTTATAAGATTAAAAATACAACGTAATGTTTCTTCAAAATCATTTGAGCTTGCAGCCTTAGTCACTAGCGTTTTCCATGACGAGTTCTTGTTTCTCACAATGTCCATCACACTCTCAAAACGTAACAATTCCTCGGGTCTCACTGTGGTATCAGTCCTGAAAAGTGAAGCATCATTAAGACGGTTGGCGATGCTGTGTTTTAAAAGTGTGTCAACTGCTGGAGGAGAGGGTGTGAAAAAGTTCCCCATTTTTTTTTTTCAAGGATTCCAGAAACTTAGGAAGTGGTCCAGTAGATCCTCGGACTTCTCGGTGGTGTAGGTACATGTGATCTCATTTACTTTCTCCAAAATGTTTTCTTCATTCTTCAGATCGTAAAGAAAAGCATCGGCCGCTCCTTCCACTCTTGCCTCCAATATGTCCAGACCAGTTTTCGCCAAGGTATTTTTGAGAGCCGGGACAAACTCCCACGTCAAAACCTTGCCCATTAATCGTTCAAAGTTAGCTGAAAAAAACCACGGGGCTGGAGGGAGAGGCAAGCGTGCTGTCGCTGACTCGGATGGGAGATTTGACACCCGAAACAGTCTTCGTTTATTTGCTGTAACACCACCACTCTTACGGCAGAGGCGACGCAGGCCTTTACAATCTCTAGAAAATCAACTGTACCGGTCAGGCGTGGTTGCGGTGAGCTGGACGGTGTTAAGAAACTGTCGATGACCGTCGGGTTGTAGACTGGGGGAGTCCAGTAGGAATAGTACGCCTGAGCATGGTCTGCCTCATATCCCTGACTTTTTTGCGGAGAAAGAGCAGAGCCATCGCTAAAAGTTGATTCAGAAATGTCAGACACGATCCCCGGAGAGCCGGCATTGAGTTCAGCAGCACCCTGATCAGAGGCGAGCGGGGTGTATCTCTTGGAGGAATCTTCAGCCCCTCCGCCAGAACCGGAGACCCGATGGAGACGCTCCAAACCGTCTACTGCGTTGTCTGTTGAAAAGTCCATGTCTAAAATAGTCTCTCTACCGTCGTAACTATATACCATGCGAGTAGTAGGTGTGTCTAGAAGGCGGGATCTAGGAAGGAGGGGTCTAGGAGAGAAGGCGGGATCTAGGAAGGAGGGGGCTAGGAGAGAAGGAGAGATCTAGGAAGGCATGTCCAGACATGTCCGTAAAGAAGGACATGAAGTTTAGCAACATGAAAAATCTCTCACTTTGTCGTTTCCGGTCTCTCCATCAACATGTGGTTCAACCCGCATCAGATTTAGACGACGTCTGCATCCTTTCACCAGCTGAGGTTTGTCGCGTGTTGTTAACCGCTTTTCCATCAGAATCTGTTTCCGCTTTTCTTCATTAAAAAATAGCTCGATTTGGCCCAGGAGATTCTCCACGTTAGGGAAGTTTGTCAGCTTGAATGCCACATGGATCGGGAAATATCGCTCTTTCGCCACGATCGTATCCGGTTGTTCTACTTTGAGAACATGATGACGATATCTCACCAACAGCCACTTGTAGGACCTTGAGCAGTCGACGAGAAATGTTCCATCCGTTCCACGTAATAGTGAATCAGCGCACACCGGTATGCTCGACATCCATTTACTAATGCGTACGATTCCATCCTCGTTGACACGATCCATATGCTGCATGCATTGCTTTAGCGCCGTCTTCAGTTTTTCAAATTCAGTTGAATAGATTCGCAGTCGCATAGCATGCAGCTGTATATGCTCATGGCTGTATAGATCGACGTAGAAAACTCCTCCAGCTCGTTTAAATTCAGCGACCAAAGTACGGCCTCCCTGGAGATGGAAAATCTTCTTCTTCAGCAGCATGGACTCCATTTTGACTTAAGACTGAATTCCCTAACACGCGACATCCTTATATCTCATTAACTCCGCCCAGTTCCTCCCATTTTCCCACCCCTTTTTTCGACCGCCCACATTTTGCCCCTCCCCTTGGTTCCCACGCTTTTTAGACAATAGAGGGGTGCCATTTTAGACAATAGAGGGGGCGTGGCTAAAGGTGCCCCTCCCCCGTTTTTGTGCATACGGGCTGTTATTCTCTGTTGATAGACACTAAACAACTCAAAAACAACTTATTTTTGAATAGTTCACTCAAAAGGTCATCCTATAAATAAAGTATTAGTATGAAATATTATCTCTCTCAGTTTCAGTAATAGCAGTGGTGTATTGTCATATACATATGCAGTAGTAGTCAAAATATAACAGGTTGCTTGAGAAGTAGTAATATCAGTCTTACAGTACAGTATTAGTCCTTAGTACCTCGTTATTAAAGTAGGGGTCTTATTGGTGTATGATGGCGGGGTGTCAGTTTTAAGGGTAGTTTGGGAGCAGAGGATTTGGAGAATAATCTGAACTCTGACTGTATAATCTGAATAGGATTAATGTGACCGATAATAGAAACACATTCTATGGTCTGCACTGCATTCAGGCTCGTTTGAGAGGGAAAGGCCCACATTCTCTTCATTTATAAAAAACCAAAAACAAAAAAAAGAAGGTTTAACTATTTGCTATTTTGATTTAGGGTGGAAGGATTCTTGTGGGTTCCATAAACTCCAGAAATACCTTTGCATATCGTGAGGGCACAACACTTTACAATCCTTTTTACGCTGATTTGTATTGATATTTGGTCACTCCAGTTTGTTTGTGGGTGTAAAAAAGAAGAGAAGGCCAGATTGTTTTTGGTTACATAAATGATGTATTTTGTTTGCTGCGATATCAACAGATTATAAGCTTTACATTTGAAACATCTGTTCTTAACACCAGGGTCAGCAGCGGCACATTATCACAATGTGACAGGATGACTGCAAGAGTGTAGTTGGTTTTAATACCATGTTCAGGTTTCTGAAAAACACAAATCATCTGTTTCTACATGTTTTTTATATTGGAGATGGTGTTAAAACAACAGCTTTGCAAAATGAAAGAATATTCTGGATTTGTCCTTTACATAATTTTTTGGATTTCATGTTAAAATCTTTTTTTAATTACTTTTTTAAAATTTATTTTCTGGATGTAAACTATAAAGCGTATGCTGTACAGGGCATACTCATATATTGAGGAGTTATTTTTAGGAAACTACTATGGCACCCCAAGACCGGTCCATATCGGCCCAGAAAGTCCCCCCATCACATACCAGGAACACAGGAACCTTCTGCGCAACTTCAGGACGAGGAGCAAGTCCTTGTCTAACCTGGAGAAGGCCGGAGAGGAAGACAACAGTGAGGAGGACACCAACAACTCAGGTAGAACTTTGCTTCTGACTGGAATTAAAACACTTCAGACCTGCTTCAGACCTGCTCTTAACATTAGCCATATCACATTAGCATTAGCTATACACTCTGTATGTGTCACATCAATTCCATCTTCCCTGCTGAAACTATGTATGACTACATTGTTCCTGTCAAATAGATAAATAAATAAATTTCAGATTTGCTGTAGGCCTGGTTTAGACTTGCATTAGACCTGCTTACGAGCTGCTAAAGACCTGCTTTGGACCTACGTCAGACCTGCTGCAGACCTGCTCCAGACTTGCATTAGACCTATGCTTGATATTTTTTCAGTGATGACTTAGAAAACTGGTTTTCAAAAAGCTGTTTAACAAAGTACTAAATACAATCCTGTATTATTTAGTCTGTGGTCCTGTGATTTGAAAACACATTTACTCGATTGTGTTGTTTCTTCTACACCTTTCAAATCAGGTTCAGCCATAGCCCCACCCACCACACTGCCTCTCAGCCAATCATGGGAGTCGGCCACAGGGAGCAGGGACAGTTCTGAGGTGGGAGGAAGGAGGAGAGGAGGAGTGCTGGCTGAAAACTGGGACGACCCCGATCACTACTTCACAGAGTGAGTAACATGGTATTAGCAAATATACAGAGAAACAGAGCTGAGTGGCCAACTGGGGTTTGTGTGTGAGTCGAGTCAAGTAGAGCCAGGAAACTGTTGCCGAAAAAGGCTTAGAATAAATCATGAAATTGACCTAACTACATAATGGTCACGCAGAAATTAGATACATCAAACTTTTGGACTTGGATTTTTGTTGTTTTATTGAGCAACTGGGAAATGACGAGTTAGGCAAATGTTTTATTAATGCTAAATAGGACTTTGAAAATATGTTCATGATTTGATTAATCACAGCTAAGAAATATTTTCCAATAATCAACAACTATTTTAGTAATTCCCTATCTACTCCAACACATATGTGCTGTCAAATGTGATTTTAATACTCAAACAGGACTTTTTTAAGTGTAAAAGTCTCATCTCTAATAAGATACAACTACAAAATAAAAATAAACTGTTTGGTGTTCTTCGTGGCTTTACTGCATTTATGTATTCCATTGAAATTCTAAACAGCTAATTGATTATACAAAATCTGGTCAATTATTTATCGCATTACTATATTGTACTTTTCGTCAGAATTTACTGCTCAATATATGCTACGACTTGGGTTGATCAAGACTGAAACCAAGACTTGATCTGGGTCTTGGTTTGAACCTTGTGTGGATAATAATTATGTTTTCTTTTCTTTTTTCACTCTCAGTCATAAGTCAAAGAGCAGTTGGTTGGAGTCTCGGTCTCAGAATAAAGACAAACTTCTGAGTAATGAACGTAAGTCAGACCTTTTCTCTGCGGAAAAATTATATAATCTGTAAACATGATTGTTGTTATCAGTAGATAAGTTTGAGCCAAATTCTCAGTATTCTTGTGTTTGCTGTGAATGTCCAGCTGGGGGCAGTACTTACTTTGTGCTAACACCCTTTTAGACAGATCACTTGTTATTAACCATTTACCAGGTTCAGGATGCTGTAAACCTTCAGTATTAAATCATTTTTCAAGACTAATCGAAATACTTAAATGATCATCTGAATTAAAATCATATTTGATGCAACATATGATTCCTAATATACATTTTAATTTAAAGCATTTAAATGTGCTGTTGTGGTCAGTTCCAGAGTTTGTGGATCAGCCCAGCCTTCTGAAAGGATACTCCATCCACACACGACTGTCCAAGGGCCCACGAGGATTTGGTTTCAACATTGTAGGAGGGTCCCGGCCCCGGGAGTTTCTGCAGGTCTACAGTGTGACCCCAGGAGGGCCCCCTGCTCTAAACACAGGTAACACAGCTACAGCCTGGTACATTTGTTATACATCCTTTACCTCTATAAACATAATGAGCTTTATTTCACATAGTATTTCTCATCAGTAGGTGCTGTGAAGCCTATGAATCAGGTCAAGGGCCAGCAACTCTGTTTTCACAGAAGGAATCACATGACCCTCTTGTTGCTCACATGACCTCAGTTGTAGCTTCCATGTGATGTTCAGAGATCAGAAATTACAAAAGTTAAAGTAATAATATGAGAGCCTTTTTAGCTTCATGTATTATTATGATATTCAATATTCCATTTCTAACAGTTATAAAACAAGGCCTAATCCTTGTATTAATCAGGGCAAAGCCTGAACTAAATCGTGCCTAAACAATAAGTAAAGACTCAGCCCTGATCCAGTCTCACATGAACCGGATCAGCTCAGAAGAATGTGTGCATTTACAGTGACAGGAAGCAGATGGTTTATTCACAACAGTTAAACGAAGTACCAGAAACTCATGTAGATATATTACTCATTGTTCTAATCACACAGTCACAATAAATCAGTTTAATTATCCCAGAGCATTTGAGGTTACACAGACGGTTTATGAGACCGTTTGAAATGATAAAATAATGATTTCATTTTTATTTTCTCTATTTCACAGCTGATATCCTGGTGTACATAAACGAGTCATGTGTTTTGGGTCGCTCGCATAAGGAGGTGGTGGAGCTCTTAAAAGGAGTCCCAATGGGCCAAAGTGTTGATGTGGTGCTGAGGAGAGGGTACCCCATGTTGTACAACCCAGATGGCTGCCCGAAGCAAAGTCTAACTACTGTAAGTTCAAATACTACTACTACAGTTGTTCTATACACTTTCTTTGTAAGTATATGTAAGTAAACCAGCTGTTTTTTTCCAGCCTCTGACTCCCAGCGATCCTTCCAGTTCATCCAATCCGAGACAAGGACATAGTCACCTGACCTACAGTCGCACCTTGGCCAACGGTAGCTCTCCAGGTGAATCTACTCTACGTAAAACATTCAAAAAATTCAGAAATCGTAAAAGAGAAACTTCATGCAACTTACAAGTGGGGCAAAAAAGTATTTAGTCAGCCACCGATTGTGCAAGTTCTCCCACTTAAAATAATGACAGAGGTCTGTAATTTTCATCATTGGTACACTTCAACTGTGAGAGACAGAATGTGGGAAAAAAAATCCAGGACTTCAAATTGTAGGATTTTTAAAGAATTTATTTGTAAATTATGGTGGAATATAAGTATTTGATCACTTCAAACAAGGAAGATCTCTGGCTCTCACAGACCTGTAACTTCTTCTTTAAGAAGCTCTTCTGTCCTCCACTCGTTACCTGTATTAATGACACCTGTTTCAACTCGTTATCTGTATAAAAGACACCTGTCCACAGCCTCAAACAGTCAGACTCCAAACTCCACTATGGCCAAGACCAAAGAGCTGTCGAAGGACACCAGGAAAAGAATTGTAGACCTGCACCAGACTGGGAAGAGTGAATCTACAATAGGCAAGCAGCTTGGTGTGAACAAATCAACTGTGGGAGCAATTATCAGAAAATGGAAGACATACAAGACCACTAATAATCTCCCTCGATCTGGGACTCCACGCAAGATCTCATCCCGTGGGATCAAAATGATCATGAGAACGGTGATCAAGAATCCCAGAACCACACGGGGGGACCTGGTGTATGACCTGCAGAGAACTGGGACCAAAGTAACTAAAGTTACCATCAGTAACACACTACGACGACAGGGAATCAAATCCTGCAGTGCCAGACGTGTCCCCCTGCTGAAGCCAGTGCATATCCAGGCCCGTCTGAAGTTTGCCAGAGAGCACATGGATGATACAGCAGAGGATTGGGAGAATGTCATGTGGTCAGATGAAACCAAAGTAGAACTGTTTGGTTTAAACTCAACTCGTCGTGTTTGGAGGAAGAAGAATACTGAGTTGCACCATGCCTACTGTGAAGCATGGGGGTGGAAACGTCATGCTTTGGGGCTGTTTTATCTGCTAAGGGGACAGGAAGACTGATCCGTGTTAAGGAAAGAATGAATGGGGCCATGTATCATGAGATTTTGAGCCAAAACCTCCTTCCATCAGTGAGAGCTTTGAAGATGAGACGTGGCTAGGTCTTCCAGCATGACAATGATCCCAAACACACCGCCCGGGCAACGAAGGAGTGGCTCCGTAAGAAGCATTTGAAAGTCCTGGAGTGGCCGAGCCAGTCTCCAGACCTCAACCCCATTGAAAATCTGTGGAGGGAGTTGTAAGTCCGTGTTGCTCGGCGACAGCCCCAAAACATCACTGCTCTCGAGAAGATCTGCATGGAGGAATGGGCCAAAATACCAGCTACTGTGTGTGCAAACCTGGTAAAAACCTATAGTAATCATTTGACCTCTGTTATTGCCTACAAAGGTTATATTACAAAGTATCGAGTTGAATTTTTGTTATTGACCAAATACTTATTTTCCACCATAATTTACTAATAAATTCTTAAAAAATCCTATGTGAATTCCTGGATTTTTTTTTCCACATTCTGTCTCTCACAGTTGAAGTGTACCTATGATGAAAATTACAGACCTCTGTCATTATTTTAAGTGGGAGAACTTGCACAATCGGTGGCTGACTAAATACTTTTTTGCCCCACTGTATATAGTACAATGGGTGTTGGACTCTAGAATCAGTGGACTGAGTGTGACATCACCCATAGAATTTTACTGTATCCAGATGAAGCCTGAATAGTAACTGTATAGCCGGTTAATCTGCAACCAGTTTCCATTATTTAGAAGACTAAGTGCCAATCCAAAGCAAGTCTTTCCAATGACACCACTGTAAAAAATAACTTTTACAGAAGCTACTGCTTGTAGTTTCACAGACAATATAAAAAAGGTCAGAATCATATAGAATTTTCAAAAGAAGCTACATTCATCCTCTCAACAGTCTACAGTTCAATGACATTCAGGATTTCATATATTTGTAGTAGTAGTCATATAACTCATATAAATCAGTTATTATTTATATGCATGATTTATTTTATTTTGGTTAAAACACATGTTCTACAACTTGTATCTGTTCCAGGGCAAAGTCAGGCCACACCTCCTTTTGTCTCCCAGCCAATCACAAATGGCCTTCCCCCCACACCCCCCTCCTCCGACCTGCCTTTAGCCCCGCCTCTTCCAGACAGAGTAGCAAATCACAGCGATGGTAGTGATGGCGGTCCTTCTAATGGCGGGACTAGACGGTGAGATTTACTTTGCACCTTGCCTTGATCTTAATGGACAGAAAACATAAAACATCTACTTTTCACAGTTTTGGACCTTGTTACGTTTTAGGAATGATTCAAGCATGTTTGACTAATATATCTTATCTTATACAAAAGACACTATTGCTCGTCCTAGATTCCACGACCACTATTTTTTTTCTTCTTTTTTTCTTTCTGAATCTTGATCAGACTCTTGCTAGACCTTGTAGGTGAGCTTTCAGTGAAATGCCTCTATTGGAGCATAACAGAACTACAAGGATCTGGCGAGAGTCAGGCTATACTTCACCAGCAATATCCAGGCTTTTTTTTTTTTTGAAAGATATCTACAGAATGCTAACTTCTGCAGTGGAGCGGAACCTTTGTGACCACGTTTCACAATCTTGGAAACGGACTGAATATGGATGTGCGCAAACTATTTTCTCTTATGTAAGAGGCATAGCTCAATATTGAGGTCTCAAATGTCCATAAATGCACAGTTTGCAATAGACATCATCGCCCCGAGACAAACAGCAGCATGTGGCAGAGTCTTATAAAACAACCTTAACACCCAGTCACAAGTTAGCAACATTTGTGTTTAGGCAACTAATATATCAAATCATTCATTTCCCATAGAGAAGAATGTGGGTGTTTGTGAACTTAATTCTGGAAGTCACATGCACATTCATCTTTTGGTACCGTGCTAATGCAGACAGAAACGTGTTTTGTCATGGTTATATCAAACATTTGTGACCTCACTGTTCATATTTGCAGCTCATCTCTGATTGGTTACGGCAGTGGAACACTACCTGCTCTATCCTCTTTCTCGCTGCTGCAGCACCAGAGCTCGAAGTCGTCAGAGAGCGACCTTTCCACTACCACATTACCTCTGCGGCCCTCAGGCTCGTCCCAGGCCTTGGGTCGATCGTCCAGACCCAACTCTGGACCCCAACTCCCTCTCCAGATGGTTCATACTCCCCTAAACCAAACCCTGCCTACTCTTACTCCGGCTCCCTCCTGCGGCTTTAATGGCTGCCCAGCGAACCATCACCACCACCAGGCCGCTGCGTCCCCAGATCCAGGTCCCGGCTCTGGTCCTGTCGCTGGGGCAGGGGGGGAGCTGGTGCCTGTGGCAGTGGGGGGCTGTGGTGGAGGCGGGCTGGGCTTCAGTGTGACTGCAGGTGGCCACAGTGGGCAGTTAGCCGTGGTCCGAAGGGTCTGGGATAGAAGAAACTGTCCTGGTTTGCAGGCTGGAGACACCATCGTGAAGATCAACGGGGCAGACGTGCAGAGCCTTAACTTTGCTCAGGTGAGAGAACGTTGAATGATCAATACCTGAATTGTAAGGCAGCAGTTAGACAAACATTTAGTGATGGTTTTCATTTTAGATTTATAGAAGTTTGATAAAGACAGTCTAGAAGGGGATAATGTAATTGTACATTTCTTTCTTCTGATTACATTTTTTGTATACTTGTAATAAAGAACCTTGACGTTTTGGACTGACACGTGATTGGCTGAGTAGGGATGGTCCTACTGAGCCTTCTCTTGTTTTTACTTTTGAAAAGCTGATCTAAAGATTTGAGGAAAGACAAAAAGTACATGCAAAAATGCAAAAATAAAACATGGAAGCTAGTGATTGAACCAGTTTGGAGAGCAAACTGGCGCTATAGTTTGATGTATGTTATTACAAAGTTTAATGATTGACAATTGGGCCCAGCGAGAAGATATTATTTCACAGAATTAAGAAAAATAACGCATATTATTTGATCTTGGCACCACTGAGTATTTAAGCTGATACAGTATATCTCCTGTGTGATCTCAGGTACAGAGAGTTCTTCAGGACCACACTAAACAGGGGGAGGTGGTGCTGCTCATATACAGAGCCTCAGGTGAGTCCCTAAACTCCTCCCCTTTTACGCTACTCCTGTGAACATGCCTCACCTGACTCCTCCCACTCTACAGGCTCCACCCATTCTGCCCCTAACGTCACCCCTAACCTGTACAAGCCCCTTCCCCACTCGGACCACAACTCCCATGATGCAGTGGTGCCTCCTCTGAGTCAGGCGGGTGTCGCACTGGAGTCTCCGCCTCCCACCACCAACGCCTCTGGTATATAATACTATAAACCATGGTTGTTAGAAAGAGTGATGATCATTTTAAAACGATGGCATATTGGCAAACATACAGAGCGTTTTTCCTTCCCCAATCATTCCTTAATTTAATATCCAAAGATAATAATGTCTATTAACGCACATATTGTATGGTAATCAGATATTTACTTTGCAGCGGCACCTCCTGCTGTTAGTCCGAATGGCCCTTCAGTTCTGATCCAGAGCACCAGCTTCCTCGACTCAGTGCCGGTCACTTTGACACTAGAACCTCGAGACCTGCAGGGGTTGGACGAGAGCATGCGAGTAGGCGGGTCTAAGGAGGGAGGTGTGGCCAATGAAACCAGAGTGGGAGGAGCCAATACACTCGAGGTGGACCTCACGAGGCGACCGGGAGAAGGGTTCGGGTTTGTCATTGCGTCGCAAGAAAACAAAAATGGAGGTGAGTCTTATTTTGTGTCAAATTTGATTTTATAAATGTTTTCAAGAAATGAAATAATTGCAGTCATTGAAAATTCTAATTTAGATTTTAAACAGGGGCACAAATAAGAAAAAGTCAATACTTGAGCCACCAGTATCGATATCGCCGATAACAACATTTTGATCAAATAAATTTATTTGATGATGATATCATTCATATTGATGAGGCTGCATTGTTGCAAGCAGGTACAGTCTGCCACAGGGGGATGGAGGACAGTCCTTCAGTATAATTATACAGAATCAGTGCTGATACTGAGTGAGTATTGATACCGACTTAACTGTGTGAGTCCTTATGTAGATTTGGCATCAAACCTCAATATGTAGCTATAATTTTTGTGGGAAGCTCTCAACCTGTATAACGTAAAAGAAAAACCAACATGCCCTTTTTTCAGGGATATAATATGAATAGTTAAATCCTGACATGTTAATGGGAATACAAGTCCTATGAGACAACGCACCCCATTAAGCTCAAACATAAATAAAGTATGTACATTAAAACTCCAAGAAAAATAGACCTGATACACAGTTGCACTCTGGAGAAAGTTATGTCAATGCAACGGCATCAGCGGGAATAGAGCATTTTGGTTTGAAGGAAACATGATGCCCCTAAATAAAATATTTCCGACCCCGATACTGTGCTGACGGCAGGTTTTGTCTACTCCCTGGTCTCTAATGGGAGTTTGCTTCGAGTCAAAACACTGGATTGGTCTCACTGTTGAGAAAGATGTTAATGGGTTATGCATTCACAGACAGGTTCTGAATAATTTGTTCTTCATCCCTCCTCCAGTTTCCTGTTGTGTACTTGCTGTTTGTGATAACGAGGCTCTGAGGTGGAAGAGCAGCTATGTGGGCCGGAGCAGAACAAACGCTCCTGTGTCCCAGGCTCGTTCTGCACTCAAATGCACCGCCCTCAGTATATGGAAGAAACGCTGCTGTTTCAGAATGCACTTGAATGCACCTCCCACCCCCTCACACATTCCTCTGTTCTGAAGCTGGAGACCAGCACCAATATTGTGAGGGCATCATACTATCGTCATGTTCTGGTGGAGGCCTTCTTAAAGTTTTGACCTGTTATTGTCCTGGTTGTCATCCTGTTGTTATGTGAGTTTTTTTTTTAATCTAGTGCTCACTTGCCAATTTTATAAAACTAAACCTATACCTATTTTATCATGATTTAATTCATAATTTCCATATCGACATCATTTAAAGATCTGTCTCCCAAGTTCAGCTTTGGCTCCTCCCCTCTGCTCTTATCTGGGCTCCTCCTCTGCATTTCTCTGCTTCTCAAACTCAGACCGAAACCACAGCGAACAGAGCGCACAGGCAGGAGCAGGTGTCTCTCTCTGGGAGAATTTAACAGTTTTTTCTCTCCTGGAGCTTAACATTCAGCCATTATATATTGTTCGAGTGGGATGGTGAGGATGTTGGAACGTCTACAGTCAGTTCTGAAAACGGTCAAAGAGTCAAAACGTAAGTTTGGAATTACTGTAAATATGTGCAATAAGACTAAACCAGGGCAGAAACAGGGACATGCCAAATGGGACAGGACTAAACCAGGACCAGGAACATATTCTTATTTACAACTAAAGATGAAACCGTTTTAAAAGCTGTTGTAGGGACTGTTGTTTTTTTTTTATTCACAACATTTCAACTTCCAAAGTCCTGCTCATTTGTCGCTCACAGATCTAAGGATGGCAGTCAAAATGGTCTGAAGATAAAAAATATACTTCATATAACAACTATTGAAACCCATTTTACTATAGAGTGTTCTTGGACCCAGACTATTTTCAGAGACTCAATGTTGATACCGACGTAGTTGTTTTGTTTAAGAAAGAGAATAGCTATGTATTCTCCTCTGAAGCTAGAAATTGGCCACAAGCACCCGTTATAACCCTCAGGCCAGGAGCAACAACTAATATTTATTTAGCTAAAAATAAAAACTTGACCTGAAAATATTCCATTTGAATAGCATCTTTAGGTGAAATTCACAATATAAGATCATAATCCTATTCATAATTATCAGTTTGTTCATATGTTCAAAGATAATTGCAGTAGTAAAGCAGTACAGTAGTCGGCAGGATCATTTTAACGGCCACTGCTCCGTTATAGTTTACTTTAGTTTCATAATATAAAGACAATTACTGGTACTTAAACTTTAACATGGTCCTAAGATGGGGCACACATTGTTATTTCCAGATACTATAAAACACCATATTTTAAAACATATACCTCAAAAGACACATAGGCCTGCATTTATTAGATTTATTACTAGGTATTTATTCAAAAACTGGCCCCTACTTTCTGTTTTAACCAACAGGCAGTTCATATTTTTCTTTTTGACCCATTTTGAATCCTGCTAGGTCCACGCACAGCACTACAGTTTTAGTTGAAGTCAGATTCTTGTGGTGTCTGTGTGTAGAGCGAAATGAGTGCTTAAATTTTGTTTCAATGTTTCTCAAATTGATTCTATAGACTTCAAACATAAGCACTTTTTAAGACCACACATTACTTTCTGTCTTTATTTTTACTTTTATTTTATGAAAAAGAAGTGAAATCATTGCCCACAACTGATTAGAGCGTTGTATTAAGTAAGGAATAACAAGGAGCTTATACCGTGGTCAAAACACTCTCAAAAACAGGGACTACTTTATGAGACAAGAGGCAGACAAAGGCCATGGCAACCATTGACGGCCAAAATAAAGGCAGATACACACACACAGGAGAAAAAGCGAGAATTTAACTAATCAATTATACAAAACAATACACTTTGCATTTTTTTGAAAATTCATTCAACATCCTGCTGTGTAACAGATCTTTAAACGTTACTTTATAATGCAGAGCTATGGTTTATATTGGTTTCTGTGGTGATGTTTGAGGGTTAGGGTTAGGGTTAGTGAGTGATATGGAACCTGTCATTTAAAATGCCGTTTAAAGAGTGTTAATCCACAGTTCTTTGCATTGGAATCCTCAGTGACCATGATATGAAGATAGATAGTGTTTTTATGCTTCATAATAATGTTGGCGTAGGGACATCAGCACATCTGACCCTGAAGCAAATTACAAACATCCAGAACAAGTATTTTTCTGTTTCTACATTGTTTCCCTGGGAGGTTTTCCAAATACACTTTATCAAAGGTATTTTTCGTTGTATTATCTGGAAGCATCGTAGTCACAGAAGATCAGTGCATGTGGCTCCTGTTTGCTTGCGGGCCTGTGATCCTGGGTCTGTGCTAACAGGCCTGGATGGACATTGTACCTATCACAAACCTGTTAAACTCCCAAAAAGATGCAATTTGTAAAGTGGTGTGTTGACTTTTTTCAGAGAGGTCATGTTAAAGAATCTAGTCATTTATTGACAACTAAATGAGTATTCATTCCCTTAAACACACATTCTAATCTGTCGGAACTCTTACGGCATGACGTCAGCTTTGATTGTTCTTATTGTTTTGAGCTAAAGGACTAACTACTGCGCCCCGTGCAGTCTAATACTTACGCCGGTGCGGAGGGTATGGGCAGTTACAGTTGTGCTTGAAAGTTTTCACCCCAAGCAGTAATTTTTTTTTTGAAGACAAAAAAAAAAAAGGTTTTTCAAATTATAACAACAAACTACTCAAGTGACCCTGATTAAAAGTCTCCATCCATAGTTCTCAACATCATGTATTGCATCTGTGACAGCTTGGAGTCTTTTGTGGTGGTTTTGGATGAGGTTCTTCCTCTTGACAACAAAGCTTCCATTTCCTTTAAATTCTTGGACTGCCTTGCCTTAACTGTACATTTGCATTGGGCTTGATGATGTTTTAACTTTAAGACAGAAAACATGTTAATTTGATCATATATGCGGCTTTACACAACCACTAAAATAGAGTCCGTATAATTATTCATGATCTCCAAAATATGGCCAAAACAATTGAATCTATGGCTACTGGCCAAGTGTGTATTCTGTTTTAAAGTTACTTACAGTTGCTCAAAATGTAAAAAACCTTTTAACTAAAAACAAATGTGACCCTTTTAAGAATATTTACCTCCACCATGTTTTAGAATTCTTTTCATAGGCTTAGAATGTGACTTATAAATGTCCATGAGAGCTGGAGGACTCTACATTTCAAAAAGGAGTTGGACCGGGAGTTGGGGACCTCTGTCAAAGACGACTTATTGACCTGTGAAGCTACCGTAGTACCGTAAATTACGATATAAGATCTCAATGCTAGATGGGAGTAAAAACTACACAGTTTATCTTCAAGTTGTCGATGCTGTAGTAGAATTTTAAATCCGGTCTAAATGCTGAGCTTGGCGTTCTCGCTGGAGTGGACGTGCAGTGATGTTCAGTGTTCAGAAACGAGACAGAGGTGTTGTTTATCAGTGTGACTCCTCGTTTTATCATCTCAGGAACGCAGCTCCTTCAACACACGCAGTCCGACAGCTGGTAAGATCTCCCTCGGCTTGGTTCTGGTTTAGGGCTTTTCAGAAAGAATAATGCTGGTGGCCACAATCTATCTAAACTGAACAGGATCTGAGACAAATGTTTTCACTTCAAACTCCCTTTTACTATTGTTGTAAGATAAACCAGTAAGATAAACTGCTCCAACCATGTCCACAGTATAAGATACTAATGTAACTAATCTAAATGAACGGTTCACGGCACAGGGAGAGCACAGAGCCTCCCTGGAGTGGAGGTAGAATTTATTTGGTTGCGTTTTTGTTTGTTGAAGTTAAAGTGTCTCTTTGTGTTCTGGACTAGCCTGGTCGTACCACACCATAGTACAAATTACATGCAGGGAAATGATGATTGTCCGGGGTGTACGGATGCGCCAAGGCCAGGCTAGTTCTGGACCAGTTGCTGTTTTTATGTGACAATGTAACACAATTATTGAGTAATGTTTGTTGCATGTTTTGGAAATAGTTTGTTTTAAAAAGTCTAAAAAGTTGGGATAGGCAGTGATAAACTTCAGCAGAACCTTTTCGGTCTGCTTACGTTTCACATTTTGGATATTTAACTGTTTTTTTTCTTTTGATTGACAACTGAAGACATTAATAGACCTAACGAAAGTACACTGAAATACACATACAGTATAATGGCACAGAGTAAAGTCTTGTTCAGGGCCAAAAACACACAAATACACGGTACTAAAACTGTAATTTTCTTGTGAAATTGTACAAATCCTTCTGGGAAAAACATGGACATAAACCAGGAGCTGCTTTTGGTCCCAATCCCAAACATTTTTAAGGAGGTTATTATGAAATCTCCAGAAATATGTGCAACCTTTTGGATTGGCAACACCAGTGTGCAAAGGGAGAGAACAAAATATAACAACAAATGACAAAATATTAGCTTTGAGCAACACATGAGGGATACGAGCAAAGAGAAATGAGATAAGTTTATTTCATTAGAAGAGATTACAGGAGATCTGGTTGTTCTGGTTTGTCACGTTGTGTTCTAAAAAGTGATTTGCATAAAGGATTATTTCAGTGTTTGTGTTGTAAGTATTTCTCTGTAAACAAAAAAACATTTACACATTACTAGTGCCGCCCAGTTCTAAACAGTGTTAGTACTGTAATACATGTGTTAGATTTTCTGCAATAACAGAGTAATGATATACTTGACATTTGCATATTTTACTAAAGGACATTTTCTACATTTGTGTATGACACTTCTCATGAGCAGAGAAAGTGTCACATTTCTATGTTCTAACGCTGCGGATCCCAGATGTGAGTCAGTCGAGTTCAAGTAAAACTGCCTCCAGCTGCATTTCTGAAGCACAGCTGAGTCCCTCCTCTGACTTATCAGGAAGTTGCTATTCCACTGGTTTTGACTTTGGCTTTTGTCCAGTTGTGTTGTGTTTTGGATTAGTTTTAATGTTTTTGCTCTGGATTTACTATGTACTTTTGTTTCGCAAGACACTTTGACGACATTCAGTCATGATGAAGCGTCTTTCCCATTGCCCCAATTGCCTTAATCAATCATTTAAAAATCTAAATAAATGAACTTATCTTCTGAATTTCCAAGTGTAAATAAAAGTAAATGAACTCATCGTTCCCCGGAGCTTTTGTCCGCTCAGTGGCGTTTAGAGTTCAGAGATGATCAGGGCTGTGTTTTTGATGAGGACAAGTTGAATATTTCATGATAATTCAGCTGAAATTCAGAGTCTGAGGCACGAACATGTTCTTTGTACATTATTTATCATCTCAACCACAGAAGCATGTACTCGCTGCAGTGAGCGCACTGAAAGATAAAGTAAAGGACTTTATGACACAGAACTGCCGGTCAGGATGAGCTCATATGTAGAACAATATGTTTTCTTATTTCATGCTCACCTTAATCCCTCAATCCTTCAGTCATGGCGGTGAACATTTTTTTCATGTCTGTGCTGTCGCAGAATCCCAGCAGATCCTTTTCTGAACAAAGACAAGGCTGGTATCCCTCAGGCGTCTGAAGTTTATTTTATTACATTGACTAAACAATAATGACACTTTTTTCTCTGTGTTGTTATCTTTGCTCCTCCCGCTGCCTTCCATGGTTTGTTTTTTCTGCGTCTGTCCAAACACAGCAGCACTTTTAAGTCCTAAGTTTCTGAAACCTCACGTTGCTGCATTTTCTTCAAAATAACTATATTGTATACAATTCGTAATGTTTATTTTTGAAACAAATCTCACACAATTGACATTATTTACAGAGAAAACTAACCAAAAGTCTCCCCTTTGTGCAGAGCTGAAAACAATAGGGAGCTGTTTGTTGTTTTAGGTTAAGTTGACCTCTGGACAGGTTAGCATTCAGAAAATTATTGAAAATGTCCTCAGAACTTTTGTGTCTTAATATTCACTGGTGAAATTCTGACAAGCTGGAGTGAATCTGAGGAGACAGGACTCAATTATTTAATCCCAGAACATTTTTAGAGCTGTCAGAACGAACCTGTTATCAAAAGCCAACCCTGTCCCACCGACTGCATGTCTTCCCTCTCTAATCTCCTCTCTGGTCCTTCCAGATAGGCGTCGTGTTTGTAGAGTGCCAAACACATGAGCTGTCTGAATGATGGACTCATTCCTAATCGCATCCAGGACAGATACATCTCTCGGTCTGTTCCCGCTGACTCAGTCCTCTGTTCTCTGTGCTCTCTCTGCAGCTGGATCCCTCATGTCCCACCGGTTTGTCACAGTGCGCAGAGGGAGCCCGGCAGCCCGGAGTGGACACATCCAGCCGGGGGACCACCTGGAGGGGGTGGAGGGGCGGCCGGTGGGGGGGCTGCAACACAGAGACCTGTCTCAGATCCTTAGGAGAGCAGGAAACACCCTTCGGCTCACCATCGCACCACGGCACAGTAAGGAAACCAGTTCTAGGATTTGTTCTGAGATTTTTTCTCCTTGTTGTTAAACTATAGATTTCACTCTATTTGTTCACTTTACAAACAGAAATGTTGAAGAACTTACTACTAATACTATGGAAGATTTGTTCTGAGCACTGAACATGTTAATTTCAGAATTTCTGGGCTATTTCTAGTGGTGTGCAATCCCACTTTGTCAAGTCCATTATCACTGTAGAGTGGAATTCAATTTTCCAAAGGGCTGGATTTTTTCTGTAGGGCTAAGGCTACTTCAATAGATTATTTTTAAGATATATTATGCCTTATATCTTTTGGTTCGTAAGTTGAAAAAGCCTGCTGTAGGGTCTGTGTCTGTTATCCAGAACGTGTGTTCTGTTTCATGAACTGAAGGATATAAAATGAAGACTGGAAGACTGAAAATAAAGACCCTTTACTCTTCCACAGACAATGCGGTGGCAGAAGGGGCCGACCTGGACATCGATGGACGTGTCATCAGGAGCTCCAGATCCAGGGTGAAGGTACTTAGATGTTTCACTTCCATTGAAGGGGGATAAATAATAATCTTATAGTAAAGTAGACAGCAATGTAAGTATGTCTGTTGATCATGGCTCTTTGTTCCTCAGGAGGAGAGCCGCTTCTACAGTGTGGACCTAGAGCGGGGGCCCACCGGCTTTGGCTTCTCTCTGCGGGGGGGGTCAGAGTATAACATGGGCCTGTACGTGCTGGGGCTGATGCAGGGCGGGCCAGCGCAGAGGAGCAACAAGATACAGGTCAAACACAGACATGGCATGTTAGACTATGCTTTTAACAACGCCACCATTAACAAGATTATATATCAAATTGTTACAAATGTTCCTCCAGTTTGCCTTCTTTACTTTACTCCCTTTAGCTAGAAACAATGTGATGAAATGGGTTTATGCATTTCTAATCAATGCAGGTTACAAAAGACAACAAACTTGTTATTTATCATTGGAAAGAAAACTTCCACTTCATTACAGTAGCAAGCATGTACACATGTATTACACATGTATTTATTTTTCTTCCCCAAATGGTTAAAAGTAGCTTGTTTCCATAAACACTACAGGTCTCAGATCAGTTGGTGGAGATTAACGGAGACAGCACAGCAGGAATGACGCACTCTCAGGCTGTGGACCAGATCCGACGAGGAGGGAACCACATCCACCTGGTCCTGAAGAGGGGCAACGGATATGTGCCAGACTATGGTAGGAATAAGGGCTAAACACTGAGATATCAACAGCAGGGGAAAGTTAATCTATAACCTACAACCTACAACAGCAGTGTGTAACTGCCTTTGAGGAGCAGGTTTTGTTATACACTGTAAGCAAAATTTGTTAATAATACATTATAATTGGGTTAAATGTTTTACATATCCAAAGTTTAAACATACTAAAAATTATTGCAATCTGGTCATTACTGGTTGGTTACATGACTCGAGTTGTTAAGCGGTAAATATTGCATTATCGGTCAGAGGTGACACAGCAAAGAGAGAAATGGCCACAGCAGGGGGACTTAAAACATTGTCTACATTAAAATTGTCTACAACAAGCAATGGAGATATTTATTCAGTTGAATTAGAATTACATCATCAACACTTATTTTAACAACCAGAAACACTTATATTTGTATATTATGATTTAATTTTAAAAGGAAAAACATAATATAATCTTCAATATACGATGTGAGTTCAAAGCTGGGGCCCCAAGAGATTATGTGGTTTAATTGGGGGCCCTGTTCTTCCAGACTTTGGGAACAGCTGACCAAGAGTCAAACACTGAAACACACCAATCTTTCTGACATTCTACGTTTCTTCTTCTCTTGCCTTTCCTGTTTCCCCTGCTATTCTCCTCCCTGCCTGTCAGTGGAGCTGTCGAGTCTGTCTCTGTGCATGACCAACTCCAAACAGGGCGAGCCGTGCTTCTACGTCATCGGCCGAACGGATAACACACGGTTTGTAACTCTTCCTTCTTCTGCATTTCATCTTCATTTCATCACTTTTATACTTCTTTGCTGTTTGATGGAAAATGGCACCTCATTATGTATTGTATTTTAAACATCTCAGTGGTGCAGTGGTTAGCAGTTTCCTCCAGGTGCTCCGGTTTCCCCGATTAAGATATGAACCCTTCTAGGACCAGGACTCCCCTGCAACAGAGACGTCGGCTTTGAAACTTGAGCTTTGTTCAAATTCAAATTGAAAACCCAAAAAGGGAAAAAGTGTCACTCATTCATCCAAGAGTGATCCATCTTAGAACAAGTTCACAGATCAAAAAGTATTTTATGCCGAATTCTTGATCCAGGTGACGACTCGACTGGCTCTGCAAACTTCTCAATGACATAATAAATCTTTACATGAGTGGTTTGGACTCTTTTTGGTATTATCGGGTCTAAAACATTTAAAGGGGACATATCATGAAAAATCCACTTTTTGTGTCTTAAATGCCTTATGTTGTGTAGTTGGAGCCTCTAGAAGTGCAAAAAAGTTGAAATCAGTCTCTTCATGGGTTGCAGAGAACACTTCATATTCTGTTTAGGTAAGATATTTCAACCCGTTCTGATTTTGCCATTCTCTATTACGTGTTTAAAATTATTACGTCACAGTATTTGCAGCGAGACTGCCATATAAGGGCATGGGCGTCTAACAAAACACTTCGGCCCAGCCCTCCTCTTCTGTGCATCACTTAATTTGTAGTCCAAGCTCAAGGATGCCAGCGAACAGGGCTGGACTGGCCATCGGGCGTACCGGGCAATGCCCAAAGGGCCGATGCCCATATTTGGGCCGGTCTGTCTGCCTCATACAAAACACATGTTTATGAGAAGTGTAAATCCGTTGAGAACTGTTCGAGCGGGGCGCGCGTATCCGCGGGGCACCTGCTGTATGTACTCGAACGGGATTCCGCCACCTCAGCGGCCGCAGTGTTCCGGGGCATCTGCGGCCGCTTTGTAATGAGCAGCTTCCACGTCCAGCGGCTGCGAGAGGCTGTGAGCGTCCAGCCGCTCGCAGCCGCTCCACCGTGTTGTGGCTGAGCGCGCAGCCTCAACGTGGCCATGTACCATGGATGTATTATATTAACTGGATAGGGTATTACTAGCTTGTAGCTGAATAAATCACGTGCTCAGGGGATTCTCGCGGTACTGCAGACTAAACCAGACTAAATTCACGTGGGCTACCCAGTAATTTTCCCCATAGAACTCAATGCATATTAAAACAGCTCAACCTCAGCTGACAGAGAACCTACAGCTTTAATAAAGATCGGATTTTGTGGGGATTTTAGTGTCCCTTGTCATCCTGAACTTTTTTTCTTCTTAAATCCTTCGGTTTTGTTTAAATCCACACTTTAGTGCCACAAACTCTGCTCCTCTGGCTCTCGCTCTAACTCCCGCTCTGATGAACTGCTCTGATTGGTCAGAGCGCGGCCGAGCCCCTCTGTGCACGTGCGTGAGACCCGGTATGAGACCCACACACGCGTGTTTGGCGCAACGCATTATGGGAGATCATCCACTGCGCAGAACCGGGAGGACCAGACAATGCCCAAATACAGGCGAGTTTCCCATAGATCTTTGCGAGTTTCAGGCAACTTCCGCTAATCTTTCAGCCCCCATGCCGCCACAAAGCGCCACTGTGCACAACCATTCATTTGAATAGGGCGCCATCTTGGATCGCCGGGGCTTGCCATGTACCCAACCCCATAAACGCGCACAGGACCATGCGTGTCTTTGAGTAATCTGTGCACCCAATACATAGTTCCCACAGACCAATGAATGTCACATGACCTCCTCGGAGACGCCATCTTTGATGGCACGCTGCTGTGTTTGTGCATTCCATTAAACAGAAGAATGAGAATAAATGTAGATATTCAAACGCAAATTGGAAAAAAAGGGCAACTTTTGAGCAAATAATTGTATATTAATACAATGGCACCACAGTTTAACGTGCTACGGACATGTTTTACATATTTGATCAAATTATGCAGCAAAAATTAACAAGCAATGCAAACATTTCTCAAAGCCTTTTGATTTAATACCAGTTGGAGCTCCATTTAATTATTTTAATTATATTAACAATTAATTTAATTAATGCTAATACCACACGGACACTCTGGATTGCTGTTATTGTTTATTTCCGCGTTTTTGACCGTATGTTTTGGTGAATGGTGGGCAACTGATTTTTCCAGGCGTAAAGAGCAGTTTATTTTATGACACAGATCTTTTTACAGAAGCAATGCTGTTTGTGAACATTGTTTTAGCCCACCATAGAACTATTATTATCTATTTAATACATTTACGTTGCCCTCGAGAGCCTCGGACGCGACACCGATCCTCCTCATAATAAAGTAATCTAACGCTAAATAATGAAACTCTCAAGTTACCAGATATCAGCATACACAAGTTAGTACTGAGTAAATTACGTCTGTCAACACATTATAAGATACGATACGCACCTGACACAAAGTGCTCCGAGCATATTCTTGCGTGTTTTGAGGGAGTTTCTTGCCTGTTTATCTTCGCAAGCCATAACCTCCGTGGTTGTTCTGACAAAAGCTTAGTCTTCTCACATTCATGAAGTCTAATGATGGGTATACTGTAAAATCCAAGTTTAACGGAACCTCGGCACGATTTGAACATCCATTGACCCAGCAGGAGATGACCATTTTCAACTTTATCACGACATTAACACGTTTCAGCTTCTTTTTCTATTGTTTTGCCCACAGCATGCCAACTCAAATGGCGCCGGGTCGGCAAATCCCCGTATGTAGTGACGTCATGTGGGAACTATGTATAAATACACTGCTGCAGGAAACAGTCCGCGTCTCCCTCTCCTCTCGAAGCGCGATTAAACGCCCTAAATAAAGCTCTGAGACCTACATTTTGCATTGCATTAAAAGTTCATGTTTGAGCCCAAAAGTAATATGTTGTGAACAAATTAAACAAATTTAGAGCCAGCTGTGTCCACCTCCCTCACTCTGAGACATGTTTATTACTCTCTTGTAATGTAGACTATTGCATTTTATTTTATTGTTGAAACTGCACATATCCTGATCCTCTACAGTATTTGCTTCCACATACTGTATAAACTAGGAGTCGGCAACCTGCTGCTCCGGAGGCGCATGTGTCTCTTTCCTTCTGTAGAAGGAAAAACGTTCTTAACGTTTTTAAATGCTGTAAAATTGTGCATAAGTAATATTCAATTTAAACATTTCTGTCAACGTGTCTGTCAAACCGGCGTGTGAGCATCATAGACTGTGCGCATGGATCCCAAAGCTAAAAAGAGAAGAGTCGATAATAAGACTGGACTAAGAATGAAAATTAACATTTGCTTTCAGTCAATGAGGAAGGCCTGCTTCATGCTTGCGATGTAATGAGAAGTTTCTATGAGATAATTGTATCTGTGCTTAGAAACTACGAAAATGGCCGCTCGGGGTGGAGTTGAACCTGTGTCACCTGGATGGGGGCGTGGTCAAAAGCGCCTCATTTGCATTTAAAGAGACAGCACCAAAACAGGTTGCTCTCAGACGCACCTCAGAACAGGTGTAGAAGAAAGGCCCGTGGAGCTATAAATAATGAGACTCAGACCCAGGCATTGCAGTTACGCTTTATATAGGCCACAAATGAATGATTTAGATGTAAAAATCTATTATTTGAAAACACGATATGTCCACTTTAAAATGAAATTGTGTAAAAGTGTTCCAAATACCAAAACAAACAAGTTTATAATTGTTATGTTATTGATGCAGGCCCTGAAGAAGGAGCGCCCTCCCCCTCCACCCCCACACCGCAAAAAAAAGACTCCATCTTGGCCGTCGCCGGAAACACCACAGAACCAGAGGGAGCAAGAGATGGTGATAGGAGCGTGAAAAGAAACCAAGAGGAAACCAGCGCAAAACTACGCCCCATTGTCCCAGATTTAGACTTGGACGCAGTGGACCAGGAACCCCGCCACAAGAGCCAAAAACACCAGAAGAGGAGTGGGAAGAACAAGGAAGAGGAGGAAGGGAGAGCTGGGCGGAGTTTACCCAGGACCAGAGCACTGTCCTGGGATGATGCCGGTGTGGAGAAGACCCAGGAGGAGGCCAGTAGAAGGAGCCGGACTGTCTCCAGGATCAGAGCACCGTCCTGGGAGAGAAATACAACAGAGGAGGTTTTATGGACGAACAAAGGGGAGAAGAGCAGTCGGAGTATGTCCAGGAGCAGAGCAACCTCTGTGGGTACATCTGTAACAGAAGAGCCCACGGTTTCGGAGGTCTCCGAGAAGAAATTGCGACGCAAGCGCAAAGAGATGGACCTTTCAAGGGACAAAGTGGTGGCGGACCGCGGGTCAAAGCGAATCTCTGAACCGTTCTCCTTCCTGATGGCGCGCGATGACCAGCCCTCCTCCGACAGCGAATCAGCTGCCAGCTTCTCTGGGGTCAGCCAATCCGCCGCCAGCATCGCATGGAGGGAGGAGTCTGATTGGAGGAGCGCGGAGCCCAACTCGCCGCCCAGCCGGTGGCTCAAGCCCAGCTCCCAAAAACTGACCCAGGTTCTGATCGACTCAAGACTCGGCGGACAGAGCCTGGTGGGCGGGCTCTCGCTCTGAGCTTCATACAGACTACATAAAGGGCTCGACTTGTTGTTTTTTACTCTTCGGCTTTGGCTGCGCTGGACTGTTCTATAGCAGCTCACTTTAAGTCATCGGGAGGTCTGGACTCAGGCGATAAGGGTCAAAGCATAACTCAGTAACGGCTGGAGTTGTTTCTCTAACTTTAATGGGACACGTTTTATCAGTGCAGTTTATCTCCCAGTTTATTAAAGGTTATCTTGTTACTGAGGTCTGCTTTGAGTCCTTTAAAATCCTTTAATTTTGTATGATCAGTAGCAGCACAGCAGTGGTTTTGTTTGTTGTATTGGGCTAAATGTAAAACATAGCTTTTAATCAATGTTGGCAGCTGAGTGGTTGGTTATTGGTTTAAATGTTCTCCAAGCAATAATCAAGAGCAGGAACTCGAGAAAATTGTCAGAAAGACCTGAAGCAATACAAACATTTTACATGTGTATCTTTGTGCACCCAACATAATTCAAAACAACAACAACTTTAAATGAAGGAACATGTATTTGTATTGGAAACTGATAAAGTCTTCATTTCAGGGCAGTAGGCCTATGTATGAATTATCACATCTGCAGAAGTTTGTGCATTCAACGTTTCTGCAAATGTATGTATTTATTTTATAGTAGTACTACATTTCATAAAGTACATGTGTCAAAGCAACTCACAATCAGAATTGCAGTGCCACGTGCACAGTTCCCACCCGCTCTCATAGACACAGAACCTCTGCTGTGGACAAACCTGCTCTGAGTCCAGACCGATACAATCTGTTGGTTTAAGTGAAATTATGCAAAACTCCAGTCTATCTCTGCAGAAGTCTGTGGTTGACACTGAGCCTGAAACACACAGAAGTAGCTACAATGTTTTATTTACGTTTATAATTCATGTATATCGATGTTTTTTACATTTTTTGTTATTTGGCAGTTTTCATTTATGCTCACCTTTTTTTTCTAACCAGCCACACTCTGCAACAGCATATAAAGTACAAAACAATGTTATAGACAATACATTAGAATAATTATTTTGCTGTGATACAACTTGTTTTGTTTTCAGTGTCGTCACAGGCTTCAATAGCACAGATCCCTGACTAGAGGCTTTTAACCTGTGCATGTGAAAATGGAATGATTTATTTTTATAAAAACTGTACTCGCCTGTTCATACTAATCTAGAGATAGACTCTGCCTGCTTCTGCCTGAGATATGCCCTTTGACTTGTCTGAATTTGAGCCATAAAAACCCTCGTGTCCAAGATGGCCGCCGCTGCAGCCCTCGGTGATGCAGGCCGGGCACCAGGACGGTCACCGCTGATGAAAAGTGCCTCAATCTTCACACTGCGGAACAGGATCATCTACAGTAGAGATGAATTATGAATATTTCTTTTCAATTGGATGATATACTCTTGGTTGATTCAGTATTACAAATAAGCAAAGGATAATATTCAGAATTCTTCTCATTTCATTTATACATAGATTTTCCTTTTTAGCAGTGCAGCCTTGTCCAGTCTGCTGCTGAGGCCACGCTGCAGCTCAAAGCAAAAGTACAAAGACGAAAGAAAAAAAACAGCATTTACTGTTGAGCCGAAGGAATGCGTTGGAGTTATTTGCTCCTTTCCTGTTCTCTACATATTGTGTTCACATTAAAGCTGGAGTTCCTAACTTTCAAATGAATCTATGTAAGTAAATCCCTCTAGTTCCAGGCTGTCAAAACAGTTTGGTTCTATTGCTACTTTTCACATGCATGTATTTTTGGCCACTGTCACGTCTTAAGAGTGATTGACAGAGTGACCCTCCTCACTCAGCCAATCAGCTCTCAGCCCTAAGTGTCAAAAAGTAACTCACAGGGCACAAGTATGCTAAAGAAAAAATATTGAGATAAAGACAGCATGTTGTGGTATAAAAATGTTACTTTACAATTGGAACAAACAGGCATTAATTATGAGGTGAAAAGTTAAGTATCCCAGCTTTAACCCTCTAGTTCACCATATCCATAAACTTCCCATTTGAGCTTTCTCCAGTCGTCCTGTTTGCTGGCTGCTCTATGTAACCCATAAACCTGTATCCACATGTCTCACACATTTTGAAAGCAGGCGTCTTCTCACTCCTGTCCATCACCACCTGCTCCTCCAGCTCCACAGTAAAGCAGCTCTGAAACACAAACCAGCTGATAAGAACCCCCAAAATATCCACCCGACTTTTAAACAAGAATGACAAATGTAAAACTAGATATAAATGATTTTATAAGAGTTATATGTAAAGCTCCCTGCCAATGTTATTTTTTACATTAACATTGTTCAAAGGGGAAATAGAAATACTATTTATTACAGAGACAATTTAAAGATGAACAAATGTTTAAGAGATTCCAGCAGCAGACGTGAACCAGCCTTATTCTGAGATTCAAACGTTGCCAAATTCAATAAAATTGTGATGTCAGATCTTCCAAATGCGTCAGTGTTTCACTTATTTATGACTTTTACTTAAACCCCCCTCCCCCCATTAAAAGTATTTATTGCATTCATTATCCCTTTGATTAATAAAGATAAGGTACATTTCTGTTTACACCACAGGCATTAGAGACTGTCATTTTCAATGCTCAAATGTATTTATACAAAAAGCAATTCAAAGCATTGCATTTAAAAACAAAGCATGATTCTGTTGAACTAGTCAGTGTAGAAGTCTCTGAGAAACACTTCTCTCGTCTGTCTTCCATCTACTTGTCGACAAAGTAGAAATTCAGTTTCATTATTGGGAGGAATGTCTCACTCAATGCTGCAAAATGGAAGCTCAAATATCAAAGGTTTTCAGTGGGTATTTATGGGCCGGTCCATAGCTGCAGCAGATCGGGGTCCACCAGGCTGTTCTCCAGGGGCTGGTCCACGGACAGGTCAGGGGGCGGGGCCTGCAGTCTCTGCCGCGGAGGTCGTCTGTGGGGTATGGGGAGCTCAGAGTGATGTGACGGCAAAGGGGGAGTGAACAGGTATGGGTGCAGCAGAGCCTGCAGAAAGATACAGAGACTTTTACACATGGACAACAGTGGAACAACAGCGACAGCGTTTCACCACAAGGAAAGGCAGGAACGTGTCAAAACGTTTCTGACTTTCAAAACATGCAATAATAATGCATCAGTTTTATATAGCGCTTTTTTGGACACTCAAAGACGCTTCACATGTCATTATTCATTCACTCCAAACACGGTGGTGATAAACTACTACTGTAGCCACAGCTGCCCTGGGGCACACTGACAGAAGCGAGGCAACCATTATGTGCCATCGGCCCCTCTGACCACCACCAACCATTCACACACACACCAGACTCATTCTAGGCAATGGGGGTGAAGGGTCTTGCCCAAGGACACAACGGCAGTTTGGCACTTTACAGCCGCAGCCGCCCCACTGTGGCATCAGGTGTGCCCAGAGGTTAAGTGTCTTGCCAAGGACACAACGACAGAAGACAGTGGGAGTCGATGGAGAAAGTCTTGTGGTGGGCTCGAACCCACAACCTTCATGCTCAAAGGCCAATGATCTACCAACTGAGCCACTGTCGCCCTAAGTCTTCTAAAGTCACAGTACAGTGCCTCTGCATCCCATTCTAATGGACTACAGAAAGCTGTTTTTTTGCTCCATGGGAATGAGACCAATGAGACATTCTAACCAACTCTAGTTATATAACAAACAAACACCTGTTTAGCAGAGCAGCGCTGTTTCGACGGATAAACCAGGAACTTGGAGAGAAGGTCCAGCGCCTGCGGAGAAGAGTCTGGGACGATCTCCTTCATCGGGATCGGTGGGTTGTCCTTAAACGTGATCTTGTTGTAGTCTGGTAACTCCACCATCTCCTGCAGAATGTACAGTGTTAACATCCATTCAAAAACATTTACAGTAAAATAAAACCTCCGGGGTGAAAAGAAGAAGCAATATGCATTCTTTGTGTCTATTTTGACCCTTTCACATGATCTTGAGACTATTCACTTTAGCATTTCATTTGTAAGAATGCAAAAAAAAAGGTCCTGGGTTCGACTCCCAGTTGGACCAGGGCCTTTCTGAGTGGAGTTTGCATGTTCTCCCTGTGTCTGTGTAGGTTTCCTCCGGGTACTCCGGTTTCCCCTACCACTAAAAAAATGTACAATAGATCTGGCATGCGTCTCCTGTGCTCCCATTTCTATGTGGAGTGAGAGGACAAATGCCCAAAAATAACAATTGTAAACCACTTTGTGACTCTGGTCTGTGAAAGGCAGTATATAAATAAAGATTACTTACTTATAAAGCAGGAAATTGCATTATGTTATCTAATAAACATCTAAAGTAGAGAGGTACAATTAAAGACACATGGTTGTTAATAACGTAATTTTAATTGAGAAATTCCCAAAATGAATTTGGGAATTCTTTTTTTTAATAATACTTTTGAACAAATAAGTTCAATAAATGCTCTTAAAAGACCTTTAAGGAAGACGCAGCTGAACCAATAGATTTCATTGTGGTAAAAGCCAACTTACCGGCCATGTCTCTTCAGTCGGCGTCCCCAACACCCTCAGCACACAGCACAATTGTTCAATGTCATTCTCTCCAGGAAACAGAGGGGAAGAGTTCAGCAGCTCTCCAAAAATACAGCCCACTGCCCTGGAACAAGTCAGACAGCATTATTTGCCTCTAAATGAGGATCTTGTCAATTATTACCCAGGACATAAGCAAACGTTTCTCACCAAAGGTCCACTCCTTCGTCATATTTCCTGGCCCCATAAAGTAGCTCAGGGGCTCGATACCATCTGAAAGACAGTACAGTGGAATTATTCATATCAGCATAACTTGGAAAATATAATATCAAAAGTAAGTAGATATGTTTGGTACCGGGTGGCGACCTGGTGGCTGTAAAGTCTCTCCCTCTGCTCACTCAAAAGTCGAGCCAAACCAAAGTCTGCGATCTTCAGGTATCCAGAGGAGCTGATGAGGAGGTTTGCTGGCTTCAGGTCCTGCGCACAAACAAACAGAACAAGGATGACGATAGTGAGTGCTTTTTCAGAAAGATAACATTCATGGCAGAAGAAGTATTATAGAGATCAAACATTGTGAGCAGCTGTATCAGATTAAAAAGTTCTATCTGAAGTTATTTATAAATGATTAATCCTGTACACCTTTCTTATATTGTATCAATATTTAGTTTTAATTTTGGTGATTTGCATGAAGGGAACTGTAAATATCTTGGAATAACCTGGAAAGAACACAGGGAGAGGATTATGTTTGTCTCAGATTACCTTAATTTTAAAGTAAAACATTTAAATTCACCAATTTGGAGAGTGTGGATCAAACTTCTAAATCTGAAAAGATTGCCCTTGATAAAAAATCCGGAACAAATTTGAAATCTGAAACTTGTATTACCAGTTTTAGATCTAAAGATGTTTCTTTAATGGCCATCTCTCAATAATGCATTTCTTTGTAGCTAAAATTGTGCAGTATTAGAGAGCGTGACATCATGAGTTGTGACAAACCCTGTGCATGATGTTGTTTTGATGCAAAAACGTCACGCCCTTCAGCAGCATCATCATATAACCTTTGACCTGTGCTGGGCTCAGGGGACGCTCGGAGTTTCTGATGACCTCCGAAAGGTCCGAGAGCATGTAATCAAACACCAGCACAAAGCCTGTGCCGTGAGGAAACACCGCCTTCAGCTTCACAACCTGGGCCAAGAATACAACACAGACAAAGGTTAGGAGGCGCACCCACTACAAATAGCACCAAACTGATGCATTCTTTATATATGTAAAATGTATATTTATGTATATTTTAAATGTGTCCCTAGATCAGAGGTCAACATGTACAAATCATATTTGACATTTTCTGGATACAAGTTCAAAGTATATCTGATTCAGAATATAATGAATATGATAAACATGGATATTTTGTTTATCGTTTTCTAGCAGATGATCCAATTAGAGAGCAAAATTAGGTCGTCATTTGGGTTGCGACTTTCTTGGATGAAATGTGTCTGGTATCTAAGATTTTGTTCCTACTTATATCCAGGCAGGTGGTTTGCAATAGGTATTTAGGAGCCTCATGTGTCACAGATTGTGAATATCAAAGTTGGATTGTAATTGTAATGACTTTGTTAGGCCGCTAAGAGTAGATAATACGTAAAGTTCTTTGTCTCATTTGTTTTTCTTTTTTTACGATGGTAGACAATAAAGGTTTTGTATTCTATTCTAAATACCAAGTACAGATCTCCAAGCCTCCGAACCTTGGATTTCCATTAACAAAGAGACAGCCTGCTTGATAAAGTATAAAGAAGAGTTACATGCTGGTTGTCCTCTATCTCCTGCAGAGCCTTGATTTCTCTCAGAGCCTGGTTGGGGATCCCATCTTCCAACCGCCGCAGAGCCACTTTCTTCAGTGCAACAGTCTCTCCAGTCTGAGCAATGGACAATTCTTTATACATCATTATTTTGAGCATTCATACATCAAAGGGTAGTAATCTGTAGAGCATTTTTTAGATTAGGATAATACCGTAAAATGCAGAATTCTAACACATTTGGAGGAGACAAAGATAAAGAAGTTCTGGGGGGCATTTTTAGATTAATATTTGAGACAAAAACCGGTACATTATTAAAATTTGACATATGAATCACATAACTACCCTCTACTAACCCCAGTTGCATGAGTTGGAATAGTTTGATACCTCTATGTGTTTTGCCTTGAACACGATGCCGTGGGCGCCTTCTCCAATTCGACCAAGGATGCTGTACTGCTCCATGATTATGTGCATTCACACAGCTTCTCAGTCTGTGAATTTGGGACACATTTATAAATAACAGCATGCACATGCACATGTACTTTCCAGAGTAACTTCCCTCGGTGGAAAAAAAGACTCACGACAGTTGTGGCTAACGCTAGCCCTTCTTCTGTACAGTGACAGGTTACGTTTCCTTGGTAACCACATTGCTAGCACTGATGCTAATGCTAAATGTTCTCCTAAATCAGACATTGACTCGTTTTACATAGGATAATTCGCTTTATATCTCTGTAACTATTGGTAAGTCCAAAATATGTTAAAGGTTTTACACTACACAGTTTGTTGTGATAAATAATGACAGGTCGCCATTTTTGTTTTGTATCCACAGCGCTTCCCTTTTGCGCCATCTACTGGGCTGAAAAATATAATATAATATTTATAAATGGGTATAATAGTCAAACTCTACATTTAATAAAAACGTAAACATTAGACTACAACAATGCAGTTGCATATACCCGCATGTGCATATATTATTGAGAACATAAAGTTGATCTTTATTCATTTAATTTGACCACACACAGCTTCCGTACGGTAAGCTAGGTCAAGCCTCAAGCGTGGATCAACGGTCTGATTATTTACAGTCTATGCTCTCCATGCAAGTCTGGTTTATTGTGTTTTATCCGTAGATTGTAACAGACAAGTTATGTTTAATTATCTTGGTGTGTCTCCTTCTGATGCACCTGTGTCAGTACAATCATGTCCACTCTTCGCTTTGGTCAGCACCTCATTCGGACCTCCGTGGTGTTCCTAAAGACCGAGCTGTCCTTTGCACTGGTTAATCGTAAACCTGTGGTCCCCGGGCACGTCCTGGTGTGTCCACTGCGGGTGGTGGAGCGGTTTGGAGACCTCAACCCGGAGGAAGTGTCTGATCTCTTCTGCACCACACAGACAGTGGCGCGGCTCGTGGAGGGTCACTTCTCTGCCACTTCTCTGACCATCTGCGTGCAGGATGGAGCCGAGGCAGGACAGACCGTCAGACACGTACACGTACATGTCCTGCCCCGAAAGAAGGGAGACTTTCAGCGCAACGACAGCGTTTACGACGAGCTCCAGAAACACGACGCTGAGGATGAGAATCCTGCAAAGTGGAAAAGCCCGGAGGAAATGGATCGAGAGGCAGCGGAGCTCAGAGACAGACTGAAGGGACAATGATCCAGTCAGCAACGTTACTGTTGTAAAGGTCTGACTCTTGAAATAAAAAACTTAATATGGGAGAAAAAAAAATCTCTGAACTGAAAGTAGTATTATGTTTTTCAAGATGATAACAGTGCTGGTCAAACAATCCCGTTTCTGGGCATGTTTATAAGAAGAGAGGTGTACTTGTGTTTTGTCTATTTCCATCCATTTAATATGCCAAATACACATACAGTACTTTAGCCCTTGAGGTCCTATAGAAAATGGTACGACAGCATTGATTGCTCAGTGATTTGTTGCTCAGTCTCTCTTCAGACTGGGGACTTTTTATTTTTTATTTATGGCATTTGTTCTGTATGCTCATTTGCATATACTCAAGATACCCTACACATGCCTCACACCCTGGTGAAAGGGATTATTTAAATTACATATACATATTTGATGTGTCGCTAGATAATAACAAGTTCAGGTTAACAAGTTCTTATTTTTAAAATTATTTCTATGTTTGTATGTCTGTAGGGTTTTCACGCAGATTATAGGATCATAGAGGGAAAAAAAGAGTAATTTGGATATCCAATTAAAATAGCACCAACATTTTTTTTTTTAATTAAAGTTCATACTCAACTTGGGTGTTATCAAACTTGCATTCTCATTTGTGAAAATAAAAGACAAATGTTAAATTCGTTACCATTGGTTCCTGCTTTGTTACACAACTGTCAAAGTACAAAAAGTTTCCATATATGTTACATGCCATTTACAACAGACAATATAATGTGCAAAGTCAAATACAAAGAACTGAAATGTACAGAAGCATGCATCATCTAACACAGTAGGCTAGGCAAGAAATTGTTCACAGAATCCAAGTGCAGAAAGGGATATGGTTAGGGTTGGTCTATTCTTGCTTCAAGATTATTTGGAAATGATTGTGGAGAAAAATATAATATTTTTTCTAATAGACACAAAGTTGGAAGTAGACAAAGGTGAGTAAAATATTAGACAGTAAACACGGTGCTGTAGGTGTGAAACGATTATTCTCCTGACCAGCAGAGGGCACTAACTGTTCCTTGTTTGCAGAGACCCTAAAAGAAGAGTAAGCTCCGCTTCCACTCATGTTGTTTACTGTCTATCTTGAGTTTGACACATGGATCTAACGTTCGTCTGAAACCAGAATTATTTTACTTTATAATGAGACAACCACAACATCGGAGACGATATAGGGCCTCTGGTCAGCACTGGTGCATTACTTGTTAACCTTTTTAACAATATATATGTATATATATTTGTGCGAGCCCCTGCTATGGCTAATGCTAAGACCAACATTGACCAGAAAGTTCTGCAGTACGAACACTTCATTAACGAAGTACTCCGGCGGGACTTGCAGTAAGGCTAAGTACTTGACTCTTGACAAAGATGTGTACACTCACATGTTATTTTGTTTTAGGAAGGTTTTGGAGCAGCGAGACTCTGTTTATGAGAAGATCTCACAGTACCTACAGCTCAAGAACACACTTCAGAATCTCCAGGTCTGAAAGTCAAACATAAAAAAAAAATTGAACACACGTTTGTTAATATCAAATATAGGTTTTGATCATTGATATATGGTCTACTCTGGTATTGGTGATGTTCGATATTGACGCATTATAGTATAGCCACAACAGATATAGTTGAGCTTGACTATCTTATGATTGAGCGTGATGATTAGAGTATTATATTCTTTTTTCTTTTTTTTAAACTTTGATAATGATTCAGTTAAACGCATAAGTTTACTACTTTCTATTTGAAAACCAGAAATTTCATTGATACAAACAATGCTGCAATCGTGGTGATAGTTTTTCTTTAGATTTCTTCCTTTAACCTTAACCCATGCACACACTTTAATCATCACACAATGTAGATTGTGACATGCACAATCGTATCAATAGTTTTTGTATCCAGTCTAATTTATTTGTAAAACCTTCTTTTAGGAGGAAGAATCGAAGTGTCTCAAGACTGATGTGGATCTAGGCTGTAATTTCTATGTGGAGGCCCAAGTGTGAGTTGAACTCTTGTCTGTTGTCTACAAAACATTATGGAATCACTACCTGGATTTACCTAAGGAAATTAGTCTCTACTCCTCGCCTTAATGATTCACAGTAGCCCTTCATGGACATTCACCTTCAGACTGAGCTTCTTCTTTAATTAATATATCGTGTTGAATAGGGGTGTGACAATATATTGCGATATCGATATATCACAATACTTTCTCCCGCGATTCGATTATCGATATGCATTTGCCAAGTATCAATATCAAATTTTTTTTTCTATATTTTTTGAAAAAGTATTAATACTTAATATATGGCTACATTATGCATCTCCATTCCATTTATCATGAAATAAAGTGTATTTTTTCACTTAACATTTTTCTTTTATTTATGCCATAAATTTGCATATGGTATATTTCTGACCAATATATTGATAATCGTCCTTTCGTGATAAAATCGTTATCGTGATAAAATCGTTATCTTGATATAATCGTTATTGTGAGCTTTGTATCGTGTATCGTATCATATCGGGAGGTACCCTTAGGTTCCCACCCCTAGTGTTGAACCTAATGAGGTTAATCAGATCTTCAGATTAACGGACCTCCCAGTGTAGATTTCACAGCAACTTCATGTGACACTTCTGATGAAGGCACCAGTACCCGATGAAACTGGGGTACAATATACAAGTCTGACGAGAGGATTTGAATACGTGCGTTGGTGTGTAAATATTAAAATATGCTTTTTTCTCAATTCGCTTTGAGGTGATAGTCACTGAGCTGATATTCGTCATCCCATTTTGCCGCCACCTGAATCATGTATTTAATTGCAAAATACCACAGACTTTAATGGTATTGATGTAAGCACGGAGCAAGAACTCTGGGTGATCTCTGGGTGCACCTTTTGTCCTGTTTGTAAAGGGCTATTGTGAAAGAGTGGTTAAAAGAGCATGAGACATAATTTTCACAAATGGATTAGCCAAATTTTGCAGGGAAATCTCATGCACTCATCATTACAAGATCTTAGGGAAAAATGAATGTATCACTGGATGGAAATACAGTATGTCTTGATTTTGCAGACTCAAATGTGTGATAATTACAAAAGATTGTAGCGAGCAACTTTTTATATTTAGACAGTGTGTATTGAAGAGGCATGTGCTTGTACCACAATACTAGCCAGCCACTCAAATATCTGTCCCTGTCCACAGGGAGGATGCCTCCAAGGTCTTTGTGGCTGTGGGATATGGCTTTTTTGTGGAGATGACCCATGATGAAGCTCTGAAGTTTATTGAGAAAAAGACTGCTCAGCTCACAATGTCTGTACACACAGTACATTCTAAAGTAGACTTCTACACGACTATTCTAACGGAGTTCTCCTTTTAGATTCACAGAACAGCTCACAAAGGACTCTGCCAGAATCAAAGCACACATTCGCTTGGTTTTAGAGGTATGGAATAATACCATTTAAATGTTATTATGAAAAACATTTATTTTCAACTGTAGCATCCTCTTTCGATGTATTAAGAAATGTTTAAAGTCAGGTAGTTATGTTTATGCCACTTATAATAAGCTAGAGGTTGAAGCTCTACTATTGCACTGTTGTGTTGTTTTACAGATAAACATGTTCATGTTAGGGCTGGGCGATATGGCAAAAAAGTAAAATCTCTATTTTATTTCCTGCTTGGACGATTTTCGATTTTAAATCGATTTTCATTAAAGTCATCAAAGACAGACTTTGCTTTTAATAATATGTTTTGATCTTTCCGCTCAATATTCAAGTTTCAAAACAATTTTTAATTTGTTTCCCCCAATACGTATTATAAAAGTGTTGTACAGACTGTGCTGATATTGCAAGTATAATTCATGTGCTGCTGGAACTCTCACAATTTCCTTCATTCGATTTCACAATTTACACATTTTTCACAAATTAGATTTTTTAAAAAGCCGATTAATTGCCTAAATTCGATTTATTGCCCAGCCCTAGTTCATGTTAATGATATTCAGGGATGACATTGGTCTCCCTTCGACTAAATGTGGGTCGACTCATGTTATGTTATGTTCTTCTGCAGGGTCTGAGGGAGCTGCAGGGCTTCAGTGATGTCTTCTGAGTTGAACTCTTCATAGTTACACCCTCTATGTAAAGGTGCAATATGTTACTTCTGGCACAGGGTCAGGAATTGGAGTATTTAAGAATATTTTGACTCTATAACTTTGCTCACTCAATGAGCTATTCTAGAAACAATCCTTGAATCTACCAGCAGCAAACTTTCCAATTAACTTTTCAAGTGTTCTAGTACCTTGACTTGATAGAATTTTATTTTGTTATAAATGCATTCTGGGTAAGATATATTCAAAGTAATAAACATTTTCAATGCGAATTCTGTGCCTTGATTTTATTGCAATATTCAAATAAGTCAAACTCACAACAAACAAATCAAGACTTGATTTGTAAAATGTTTTGGATTGGAAATCTGTGATAACACAGAATTCTGTAGTTTTACTAAGGACACATTTGTTCCGATTTTGTAATATGATAGTAAAATTACTTCAGATATGGGATAGTCGCAGGTCTTAAACCCTAAATATCGACATGGCTCATACATTTAATTAATTACATTTGTATGTTCATATATTTTAATAACAAAATAAAACCATGTTCTTGTCAATGCATTATTTGTGACAGTCTGTTCTGGTAAAATATGACTTAAATTTCACAAACTGAGTATTCATTATGTGTTTTGTTACTTTGTGAGTAAAGAGTTTGTTTTGAAAATGCCGGGCGGAAGTAGTTTTCACTGAGTCAAACCTGATAATGGGAAAAAGTACTGAGGGGGCGTTCGTCCAAACAAACAGGAAGAAACTGAGATAATAAGACCCGTGCGTCCTTTGTGTTAAATATTTCGGGGACATTCACTGACTTCTTCTACCATCCTGGTGGTGGTGGTGTGTATTAGGTGGTGGGGTTTGACGTCCGCAGTGAGCTCAGTTTGACGCAGAAGAAGGCGGAGGGCTAGGCTAACAGATTAGCATAACACGACAATCTTGGCGAACAAGCGCAAAACATTATCCGAGGGACTTTCCTATAATCTGCCGAACCCCTCGTTATGGATTTTTTACCGCATATGAGCGCTAAAAACAAACTTTAAATGGACGTCCATCCTGAGAACCTGGAGGCTGAAGTTCCTGCACCAGCGACTGTCATCTGTAGTCTTTAGCCAAGATGTAGCGTTAACGCAAAAATATTGTCTTTCTCTTTTGTCACAGGCACAAAAGAAACTGTAAATGGCTCAATTGGTTCTTCACGTTTGAGGCATACTTCTTGATGGTGCTGAATCGAGTATAGTTGCCACCTGATAGTTTGATGCGACTTTTAGAGCAGCGTTAACGTGGAGCCATCGGACGCCTTACATAACGCCCTCACCTTGGCAGAGGATCGGCTCAGCGCGGCCTCGGCGACTGCAGCTCTACTTTGACGGCAGATCCCCCAACAAAACACCTCAAACCAGGGCAACACAAGCAGAGCACCCGCCAGCCAGGGCATGGAACGGGACTTGTAATAAGACTGAAATCACGGGCGGAGTGACTACGGGCTGAAGATGGAGTCAAATCCACTGATTAACTGTAAGGATGCGCCATGTGTGGTATAGTGCAACAGGTGTGATGGAGCAGAGCTGTCGACTGATATTAATGAGATTCTCAATGTTTGGGTAATTGTGTTGTGCAGACATTTAGAAAGCAATACTATTCTAGCAGCGTGCGCTAAACATGCAGTTTTGTCTCACTGCAGCTTTGAGGGAAATGGGCTTCTTGTAAAACCAACAATGGTGTATCAGTATATCAGTTTCACTTATAGAACAATATTTGTTTTTATCCTTTCCCCTCGCTGCAGGGTTGCCAATAAGAGGCAAAACATTATCTGTCACCCAATGCATTCTCAGCTTTCTGCAGAAAATGACACATCACCAGCCACTGTCATAGTCCTGCAGATTTGAGACCAGGGAGGTGGTTGCTGTGGAGATGCTGATGCTTTCAGGCTGGAATGAGACTACTGTGTGATGTGTCATTCTGTTTAGTAATTTGAATTCTTTAGAAGTTTATTAAGTCACTCCTTTTGTAAGAGTTTGGGTTTAAAATGTTGTAGAGCTTTGGTGGCACAAGTTTATTTTATTCCAAGAAGATCCTGAATTGTTTGCAATAGTAGACTAAATATTCTTGGTCAACTAAACACAAGCCCTTGATTGATTGGTTGACTAAAGAAAAGGGATGCAGCAAATGCAATAAAAATGTGTACGTATCTGACCCAAACTAATTACTTTGTATACAATTATATTTCAAAATCACTGAAATAATATTGATGTTGAAAATTAAGATGTTGGCATTAATCTTTATATTTCTCTTTCTCATTTTTGCACATAGAAATACTTATAATTGAATTCGATTAGTACTAAGGAGATTAAGTGATGAAATATTGTCATTCCTACTGTAACAGTTTTTCACTCAGGAACATTTACAAAACCTTAGTAAGTAAACCAGCCTGTAACCTATCAGACACAGCCGCAAGTCACTACCATTGATGTGGACCTTTTTCGTTTCACTCAATATTATTTGATAGCTGCCATCACTTTAACATATAATCAAGATAAGACTGTAATGATTAATCCCAACTAATTAAGAGATCTGTTCTGTGAGATGTGATTTCAAGACAGAACAGTGATCACAAAATATAAGAAAAATGCAAAAATACCTTTTTAACAATTGTAAATGCTCATGTCTGGAAATACTATTCAATAGATAATCACATATCTGCATTCTAAATAACTAAATGCTTTATCATAGGAATTGCTGGATTAATCAATCATGTAAATATTGTAGTCTTATTCACAGGTTGACCGGTGAGACCAAAGTTTGTCATTTTTCCTAAAAAATATTGTCTTTGTAGTTGCAACTTGGATGATTTGAGGTGAGAATAAACAAAGTTGGGGCTGAATATATCATAAGGACTGAAAGGGCATATTTTGTTGGTCTGGTGATGGTGTGGATGAGAGGTTGTCATAGTGATTGTTGCCATGGAGTCAGAGGTCAGAGGATGCATCTGAGGCTCATGCTGTTGCTGAATATTGTAGCACCCTTGTAGAATTATTTAGGTTTATCTTGAACTTTTTTATCATCATTTTAATTTACGTTGGGTAAGATCTTGACTTTGACACCCTTGGCTGTTGTTGACTTTCATTGAATAGTCTAAAAAGTTGGCGTCTCTATAGCAATTCTAATTCCAGGGTTGTATAAGTTTCCCGTTCATAATTTTGCCTTCTTTTCTCTGCTGCAGCGATGGACCCATCAATTACACTGTGGCAGTTCTTGCTCCACTTGCTGGAGGATCAGAGCCAGCGGCACCTGATCTCATGGACTGCGTGTGGGACTGACGGAGAGTTCAAACTGGTGGACGCCGAGGAAGTGGCTCGTCTGTGGGGACTCCGCAAGAATAAGCATAATATGAACTATGACAAGCTGAGCAGAGCCCTGCGCTATTACTATGATAAGGTACGGCAATACTACTGCTACTATTACTACCAACACTAATACCTACTACCACCAACTGCTACCGTTATTTCTACCACCTCTAATCTACCACTACCACTACTGGTACTATTGCTACTACCACACCACTGTTACTATTACTTCTACTATTACCACCTCTAAGCCATCTCTTTAAAAACATTTCCAATGTTTCTTTCACCTAGAATATAATTAAAAAAGTGAGTGGGCAGAAGTTTGTATACAAGTTCGTCAGTCAGATCGACGCCTCAACCACAGACCCAGCTCGATACAACGTGGAGGAAAAACCGGACAATGCTGACTCCAACAGCCAATCAAAAGTTTTACTGGGCGGGATGACAACCTGTCAATCTAAGGGCTTACCGCAGCGTTCTTCGCTTCCTCCCCTTTCTCAAAAGAACTCGTCACGAAATGACTATATGAAGTCCGGCCTCTACTCCACCTTCACCATACAGTCACTACAGACCTCACCCACACAGCTGTACAACCAGCCAATCAAATCTGACCGCTCAAATCAACAGCCTATCAAAACGGACCACTCCCACCACCACCAGCCGATTAAAGCAGAGCAGCTCGGACTACAACTTCCGCCTGCTGACCCTGTCCCTCAAGTGGACAGAAGGCAAAGAGAGGTAATCCATGGCAAAATGCCATCTTTTAAAATGTAGCATTGATTTGTTGATAATAATTATGATAAGTATAAATATGATATTGTCTTCGGCATTTAATGCCACAAAAATTGAGCCTGTGCTGACCCTTGTATATTTTTGACGTCAGGTCTGTGGGGTGCCTGAATCCCAGCCAGCATTTGAAGGTGGCGCTGAAGGTGGCGCTGTGGAGTCTGCTTTACAGGTGATCGTCACTCAGGCTTCTCCCTGTCCCACACCTGCTGTAAGCCCGCACAACAATGGAGTTTCACAGGTCAGTGATAATTAGAATCTATACTAAACATGACATGGCAGCTCTGAAACTAAACGTACTTACACTATACTGGTCTAACCCTCTCTATCCCCCCAGCTCCCAGCACTAGAACCCCCTCAGATCTTCCTGACCAGTGTGGGTGACTCCTTGACGCCGCTGCTGTCCTTAGGGCCATCATCTGTGGGCCCTAGCCCCGTGTCTCACTCCTCACCTGAGGACTACAGCTCCACTCCCGCACCTCCCCCAGTCTTCTTAATCATCAACCCCCCACCGCAGAACCAAGGTGCAGTCCCTCAGAACCAGGCTCAACTTTCCCAAGCCCACCACAGCCCTGCGCACGGACAGCCTCTTTCCCTCAGACAGCCTCAACAAAAGCCCACCCCACAGCCCTCCATTGTGGTTAAGGAGGAAGAGACAAGGCCCCCAGCTGAAGAGCTTCTGGAGATGGTGACTATAGAGGAGGAACATATAGAACAGGTGAGCGCGACCCATTTTCTCTTATAGTCTTTGGCTACATGTTTGTCAGTGTAAAATATCTTTTCCAGATGCCTCAGCTGAGCTCAGTTAAACTAGAGCCAACTTTAACTATTGTTGAGGCTTCACCCACTTCCTCCCTGGACCTTGGGATCAAAAGACAACAGACCGAAGGGGTGGGACCAGGGGAGACAACAAAGGACAACACTACAGGTATGAGAATTTACAAAGCATAATGATCCATTCGGGAAACAATACAGTATATAAAAAAGGAACTCGAATTAGCAAAGAAGACAAAGAATGTGTTAATTATATTCACTGTTCTTATGTATAGTATGCCTTTGCTTTATACAATATTCGAAATATCCCATCTAATCAAATCTGTTTTTTTCTGTTTACATTTACGACATCCACATTAATGACCCAATTACCCAAACGATGAAGCACAATTCTTGTCCATGGCAATGACATAATATATTGTAGAAATAATCAAACTGTTGCTTTTCTACAGTGCCAGCTGTTTCTGCTCCTTCCTCTGTATCATCTTCTGTCCCTGGCTCGGCTGCTTCGGAGCGCGCTCCCTCCAGACCAAAGAAACCCAGAGGACTAGAGCTGCCGTCAGCCCCCACACTGCCACCAGGACTGTCCTTAGATAAGGTCTTCTTCACTCTTTTTTTTGACCCAATCTATTCTGGGACGGGCCCTGGTTTAGCTATCATCTTGTTTAAACATTTTATTTATTTTTGCAGGTGAATGCAGCGGTGAACAGTTTATTGGCTCCAGGATCAAGCACCAACACTCTGACGCCGTCTGTCATAACCTCACATGCACTGGTAACAAAAACAAACAAAATGCACTTTACACTGTTGAGCTGCGCTTTAGTTTCTGACTCACACAAGTATTTCAGTCCAGAATTCTGAATAGCAGAATATCTCTACAGGGCGTGCTAAGTCATACTTTTGTACTACTTCTTACTGCTGAGACCAGGAGTGTGGGACGTCCCCTAGCTGATGTCGGTGTAATTGATTTGACAATAAGGAGATGATGTACCAAAAGCAGATGCACTCATTAGTAATTAGGAAATTTTTGGAGGCCATTGCAGAATGCCTTGATAGATATTGATTGGAATTTATTGTCAAATGAGTGAAGATATAATTAATTTTGAATTGATGTATAACATGCTATGGTAGCTCAGACTCACAATGGGATTGACACATTAACTTTGTTCTAAAGTTGAGGGCCACAAAATATCAGTACATCTAATGTGTGTTTGCGTGCATGTGTGTGCGCAATTTTCTTTTCCTATATTATAGAACGATAGAGTAAAGATCACAATATTCTTTTTATGCTTTTTCTCTCCAGACCCCTGTGCTGCTGACTCCAAGTCCATTGCCCTCCATACACTTCTGGAGCACACTCAGCCCCATTGCTCCTCGCTCTCCTGCTAAACTCTCCTTCCAGGTAACGTTTCCTGTGTTTACTTCAAACTAAATCTATCACCTCTGGTAGTTAAACATTACAATTCAGGGCATACTGTATTAAATTGTATTTTGTACAATTTGAGGGACATCAGTCCTTCCAGAGTGCATTGCATTTCTTGGAGATGATCAGAAATCTCCCGATTGGTTCCTCTGACCATCCATCGGATGGTACATCAATGTATAATAACTAGGGCTGTCAAAATTATCGCGTTAACGCACGTTAATTAATTTTGTTCATTAATCGCGTTAAAAAAATTAACGCATTTGACGCATGCCCATGCGTCCCATGATAACACTCAGAATGCCGCGGACACATGCGCGTGTGTAAGATGGGAACAGAGCAGGTAGGCCCTCTGGGAATTCAAGTTTTGAAAGAATACACGCGTGACCGCGGGGCACTTGTTTCCTGTATGAACTCTGCATGATGAGCTGCGGGCGCCACAGCGCTCTGGACAGCAGCACCACTTCCAGCGGCTGTGATCACGGCGAACGGCGCTGCGTAATGGGATCATATCCAAGACCACGCACAGAACTATTACAGAACTATTTTCTAGTGTGCGTACGTGTCTTTGCGTAACCGATGCACACAATACAGCGCTGAAGCTGGACTGCGGAGCCTCAGTCTCCTCCGTGTCTTCTCCCAAAGCGCACTCGCTAAATTAAAGCTGAGGTACCTAATTTTCCTTTCGACCATCAGTTCATGTTAGTTGTGGCAAAAAAAGTAATGGTGTGAGCAAATCAAACAGATTTAATGACATTCTTCATTTCAGACTATTTTGAAATGTCCCTCATCTGTAACAAACAATGGTTTTGGTCTGAGTCTAAACAGAAAGACAGAATGTTAATCATGTTAATTCTATTTTATATGGATTTATTGTTATAACAAACAAATACAGTACATATGTTCACTAAGCTGTCATTTATCTTTCCATTCAAACAACAATTTACAGAAAAATATGGCATAATTTTGCCAATAGTTTGAAATGTGATTAATTATGATTAATTAATTTTTAAGCTGTAATTAACTCGATTAAAAAAATTAATCGTTTGACAGCCCTAATAATAACACATACATACATACATCATGCTTTCTCAGCTTGAAGCCCTGGAACTGTGCTCTGATCCTCCTCAGTACTTTGGTCAATTAGTTTTGTTAGATTCACTTGTTGGAAGGAAACTGGGCTTGAGCTCATTTTTTGCGGAGAAGTCATTAGAGTTAGGGTTAGACGCACATAAGCATGAAACTGATTTGACTACCTGTATTGACGCAGACTTTTAACTATGTCTGATCCGTATCACTCAACCTCTAGTACAGGTCCAGGTGCTGAAAATTATAATCTAATTATTTCAAAATATTTTTTTTATTTGAACTCCTTGTACATTATGAAACATGACAATATGGTTGGTTTTTTATTGCTGGCTCTAGACTTATGTGCATCTGGCCCATGTGAGTGGTAGCATTATGTCTCTAATTGGTTGCGGGCTCATCTCTGATGTAGATGTGGACCTCCAGTTTTTATTCAGAAATATATTATATATCCTGGTTTTAATGACTAAGATTCAGATTCAGATTGTGTTGATGTGGTGATCTGAGTGATGCCGTATGTTTCTCTGTAAACCTGGAGCAGAATCAGGTCTCAATGTCTTTGGCATTGGTCCTTGTTTCCCCATCTGTTCCTCCACCCACACTCACAAACTGCTCACAAATCATCATATTATTCCTCTTTGCAAACTTCACATATCTCTGTCATTCACTCAAACACTCTCAAATGATTGTAATTGGACCTAAAGATACAAAGTAAAAATTATATTACCCCACCCCATATTACCCTCAGGTTCTGAGCCAGTGGCCTGTGTAGAGAACTTGTCATCATGGTATCATAGGCTCTAAACTCAATCTTAAGATAAGATATTCCTTTATTCGTCTCACAGTGGAGAAATTTCAGTGTTATTGTTGTGCACATTACAGCCGAGAAAGAAGGAAATAAGAGCACTTAGATTGTACACATCAAATAGATAGATAGATAGATACTTTATTGATCCCCCGAAGGAGAAATTCAGATAGTCCAGTAGTAGCAAAAATAAAAAAGGAAATTGATCATTCTAAAAAAAGATACCAATAGTAATAATCAGCCAAAACCCTTCAGATCACAGCAGCAGAGATGGAGTAGCCTCTGGGTGGAGCAGGATGGGTCAGAGCAGCAGAGGTGGAGTAGCCGCTCTGTGGAGCAGGATGGGTCACAGCAGCAGAGATGGAGCAGCCACTGGGTGGATCAGGACGGGTCGCAGCATCACAGATTGAGAAGCCTCTGGGTGGAGCAGGACAGGTCACAGCAGCAGAGGTGGAGTAGCCGCTCTGTGGAGCAGGACAGGTCAAAAGATGGAGTGACCGCTTGGTTTGGACCATTTTTCTCTGCTTTAGTCCAAAGTAATTTTTCAAACATTCATCCCAGGAATTCAACTTGCTCCGGTCTGGACCAGTGCAAAACTTTGCACACTGTACTGAAGCAACATCTCAGGCAGAAAAAAGCAATAAAATTAAAAATGGTAAAGCACAAAACAACAACTGTTAATCAGAGCTACTAAGGACTTGCAGCCGTTACCCAGCGCATCTTTCAAAAAAAAGTCTATTATTTAAGATAATAGACAATATAATTAAAATAAAATAAGATAAAATAAACTCTGGAGCTATAATTGCACTTGGTTCAAGAGTTTTTTACAGATTGTGAGAATGTGAGCTGAATAAACATCAGTAATAATATAAACGGGTAAAGTGACTTGTGACTGGCAGAAGTATCAGATGGATGGAATATCTGAAATGGCCAGCGATTCCGACAGCTAATGAGAAACCAGCGAAAATACCTTGTCTACGGACTATAGTGTATGGCACAAGAAGAAGTCTTGCACATTTTGCCACATGTTTGTGCCTGATGCTTCTTTGGACAAAGAGAAGAGGCGAACGCACAAACACATCTTTTATACAGGGATAATAATGAGTGACAATTTGTTAGGGCCTGTGTGTCCAACCGCAATTAAATCAACAAGTCAACGACAACAACGGACAACAACAACAACCGACCCGCCTGGGAGCGCTTCAGTCCTGCACCGGACCTGTCCACATTCTGCGGCCGCTGGTCCACGTTCTGTAGCTTAGGTCCTGGATCTATAGCCCGTCCGTCCGTGTGGAGCGGATCCCTTTCTCAATTGTGGGTCTCCCCGAGGTTTCTCACTTTATTCCCACTGGGTTTTTGTGAGTTTTTCCTTGCCGATGCAGGAGGGTCTGTTGGGCAGTTAGTGTCCAACTAGGACTGTGGTGATGATCCAGGACACTAACATTCTACAACATGTATGGACATTTTTTAACATGTGTTCTATATTCTTTCTGTGTATTGACTGTTGATTCTCTGACCTGTGTTGGTGATTTCAATGGTTTTGTTAAGTCCTCTGAGATGACTACTGTTGTGATTTAGGGCTATACAAGAATAGGGGTGGGCGATATGGCCTAAAATTCATATTGCGGTATAATTTGGGACACAGACGGTAGACGGTATATATTGCGGCATAATTTGGTGTGTGAATTTCAATATAGCGGCGACAGTAGCTCAGTTGGTAGAGCATTGGCCTTAAGGCCAGAAGGTCGTGGGTTCAATTCCCACCTCTGCACCTTTTCCATCGACTCCCACTGGTGACTGCTGTCGTTGTGTCTTTGGGCAAGACACTTAACCCCACTTTGCCCAAAAGCACCCACTGAAAGATCAAGACTGTGCTCACAGTCAGAGAGCAGCCGTCCTCCTGTGGACTCACCACCTGCAGAGGGTCAGTGAGGGGCTGGTGCTATGAGACTTGGGTGGCATCTCTGACTGCCACCCCCCTGACCCAGAAATGGATTAAAGGGTAGAAAATGGATGGATGGATGGATGAATTTCAATATAGGTCTAGCAGGTTCTTGCATAAAATTGTCAAGATTGTTACTTATTTATATATTAGAATCTAATATATATATTTTTTGAGTTATTCAGTTGTGAGACAAATAAAGAGACAAATGTTGTAACATACATTATTTATGTATGTTACAGTAAATACCATTCACTGTAAAAGCAATTTTTAAAAAGAAAAACATGCATTCATTAAAAATATAAAAAACTCACAAATGTTGAAATCAAAGTCTGTAGGAGTTAGACATGGTCATTATTTATAGTGTCAGAGTTTTGTGCAGGTACATGACTTCAGTAAAAGCTAAGCTCCCTTTTCTCTGTGCTTGCAGTGAACTGGATGATTCAATGGATTTATGTTCATTAAAACAGCGCATAGGATTTGAACAATTGATGTAAATGATCATTTTGGCACGGTGGCTGAGTGGATAGCACTCTCGCCTCTCAGCAAGAAGGTCCTGGGTTCGAATCCCGGTCGGACCAGGGCCTTTCTGAGTGGAGTTTGCATGTTCTCCCCGTGTCTGCGTAGGTTTCCTCCGGGTACTCCGGTTTCCCCTACCACTAAAAATATGTCCAATAGTTCAGGCATGCGCTTCCTGTACTGGCGACCCCGCTCCCATCTCTGTGTGGAGTGAGAGACAAATGCCCAAAATTAACAATTGTAAACCGCTTTGAGACTCAGATCTGCAGTGAAAAGGCGGTATATAAATAAAAACTTACTTACTTACTTACTAATTAATTTTGTTTAACAAAGTATTTTTCGTGAGCTATTGACTGCGGAGGTCCGAATCTGACGCTTATTTTCCCAAACTTCTGCTGTGATGCTGCGGACACGGCACACGCATGGATCTATTTAGGCTCACGCTGGCGCTTCGAGCCTACGCCCCTTTGACACTGATTGGCCAAAAGGTAGATGCTTAAACTGTGATTACTGTGTGTGTATTTACCTCTGCTGGGGCCGCTGTGACAACAATACATAGACAGAAACACGGTGTTAATGCCGTGCTGTTGTTCGTTGTTTCCAGTGGTGTCCAATAGTGCTAGGCTAATAGTGCTAGGCTAATGCTGCTGAATGCCGGTTTGTTTTGGTCCTTTCTGCTGGTGTCAGAGCCTGCGCAATTTGATGACATAATGACCTATTGCAATATGCCGGTATAACAAAAATCTCTACCGTGGGCCAAATTTATATCGCATACCGCTTATACCGTTTATATCGCCCAGCCCTATACAAGAATAAATTGTATTGTATTGTGTTGTACTGGAGACAAAAAATGTGTACGTTAGCATTGAATAATTCCGATTCCGGGTCCACCTCCATCGGCCCGGAGTGGTATTGCAGCATGTCAGCGCACATCATTTTGGACATTTTTGAGGCGGGAGCCGCCCCCACTGGTTTTCACACATCTCTGCCGCTGTTTCCACGTTAACTCATTGTCTCTATAATGTCGCCATGCTGTCTCTTACTAAAAATAGATCCATGCTTTATCCATTCCTCTTCCCTCTGCTGATGTCTGCTCGACCTGTATCGACTGTTCATTACACATAAAATATACTGGCTGATTTCTATATCAAAAGGTGCGCCAGACTTTACAGTGTCCCATTTCAAAACATGAAAAAGTCAGCGTTACTAAAAAATAGAACATCTAAAGACGTCTTTGGCAGCCAATGACTTAATCAAATCATGGGTTTTCATTCATACATTTCTTAAACAGGGATTAACAAGGTCAATATTATAGAATTAAACCAAAGATCAAAGTTGTTCTCAGGCTCAAACATTTTTAAATTATAAAAGTTTTCCCATAAATGACACACATAAGAAAGTTTTAATGGTGACTATTTCACCGTCCCTCAGCACAGCTTCTGTTATTATAAAAGATCAATCGTTGGTGTGATCAGGGAAAGAGAAAAAAAACTTATTTTGAAACCTTTAGTAGTTCTTTTCATATAAAAATAGTATTAAAACCCTGCATAAGGTCTTGAAAAGCACTTTTGTAAATGTGTAGATTGCCACAGTTACAGTTAGTACAGCAGTAGCTCATTATCTCTAAAAGCGCTATATAAAACATATGCATTATTATTTCATTATTGTTATAAATATGTACATTTGTTTCATGAAGTGTATTGATTTTTGTGTGTTTTGTTTTAGTTCCCGACCAATGGCAGTAACCAGATCCACATTCCTGCTCTCAGTGTCGATGGTCTGTCTACTCCAGTGGTGCTGTCACCTGGCCCCCAGAAACCTTGAATGCGTGTCCACAAACAAAGCCCCTCTTTGGGCATCAAACAGAATTGTGGCCTCCAATCGTCTGGTGACTCTTTATAGTTTGTTCTCTGGATCCACTGCAGGATTTTTTTCTCCTTTTTCTCTGGAGCTGAAGATCCCAGAGTTGGAGTAAGTCTCAGACGCTCCTCTCTGGGCATAATTTATCGGGACCAGCCCATGTGGTTTTCAACTGCCTGGAGTTAAGAAAACTTACTTTGACATTTTTTCATTCAGTTGTTCCTGGAAATGTAAACCTGAAAACTGGAATACACTGTATTTTTACTAGAGGAAAAAAAGTATTTTGTGCAAAAGACACAAATGTTTTAGTTTGAAAATTGAAACTTGGCATTTTGAGACTTCTTTCTCACAGGATGTTTTTCAAAAACATTTTTGGAGTTGACGTTCGACTGTTTACAAAGTTTTTCCTCAAGTATGCATTGAGAGATTTAGATGAAAAAAACAAAGACGTTTTGAGCCATTGTTGTTGAGTGGCCACTTTTGGGTCTCCGCCTGCATGTTCATCGGGACTGATGGTGAATCACAGAGCCACGTACGAACTGTTCCCATCCAAACTTTTTCCGAACTGTTTCCATCTGTTATGTTTGTTGCTCATTTGGTGTTATGGACTGGTGAAGAGTTCATATTCAAGTTCAAAATATTTCTGTGAATCTTTTGTCATGTAATTTCTGTACTCTAGTCTGCAGAGTGGCACAAAATGTTTCACAATCATTGAACACAGTTTACTCTGCACCAAAGGTTCCAAATCCATTTCAGTCATTTCTGTCTCAACGCCTGGTCACCCAGCCCCACCCACACTCTGAAGATCGCTTTGTCTGTGTTGTTCAGAGTGAAATTTGATCTTACCTTTTGAAAAGGGTTGTTTTCTTCAAGTCTTCAGGATTATCCTACACTCTGCAGGTTGTTTCATGGTGAAAACCTTTTAAGGTTAAAGTTTTGACTCAATTTGAGCTTTCCAATGAAAACCACCAATACGATGAATCTCTTACTTTAATTTGGTTAATTTCAGAAAAGGTATGATATAAAAGTGCTGAAACCATGTTTCCTCTTGGAGGGAGAGGTGGGCTGACCAGGCTGAGTGGTGATTCCTGACCTCGCTTCGTCCCGTGCTGCGCTCTGTATCGTACTTCTGCTGCAGACCTGTTTCTTCTTGACTCTTGAGCTCTGACTGTTGAACCTGTTGCTGATGCTGCTTTGCTGTGCAATGCTTTTCAATTCTTATTGTCCTCTTCACTGATTCTGTGAACCCAGTTTATCTCTCTTTATCTCTCTTTTTTTCTGGTTAATGCTGGTCGTACCGGTTAGTACTGCAATGGTTCTGAATGTAGTCCGAGTTTTGTGCCCAGGGGAGATTGTTGGATTATATTTCTGCATATTTGTTGCATTTATCAAGTGCCCGCCATATTTTAGTAAAAATAAATATTCAAATGAGGAAAGATAATAGTTGTTGCAGACATAATCCCTCATTCTTAAAGCTATGTAACAAAGTAATGTAATGAATATGCAAACAATACCTTCAGAGGTGATATCCCTCAAACTGCTTTGAGTCGCACTAGTATTTGTGCTGCCCCTAGTGTTGTACTGTTATTACTGCGCTAAAGCCATCGTGGACTGTTCCCTTTTCAGCATGAGTTATATTTTTATACACACTTCTGGATAAGAAAAAATAAATATACTAATAACAATGAAACTATGACCAATTTAAATTTAGACCTAATGTTTAACATAGGATTTGGTCCTGTAAAATTACTTATATTTTTATATATACATCTTTAAAGATGAATGCATTTTATTAAACATTTTGGAGACTCCTAGAGTGCTTGTCGTAACATTAGAAAATCTTCTGAGCAAGTTCGGTTTTAAGCCATAATAGGTGGTTTATTCTCACCAGCAGAACAAAGAGAATGTTTTTTCTAACAAATTTAATTGTCGTGCATTGTGTGAATATGTGAGATAATCATTTATAAAAATATATATATTCATGCATTTTGATGGGCTGCTTCAAATCAACAAAAGTACATTTTCTAATTGAAAGGATTGATTTAGACTGGATTTTCCTGGAGGCACTAGCTTTTGGTTTAATTTGTCATGGTTTTGTACTCCAGATTTGATTGTTGCTGTAAATGCTGAATTTTTAATAGATCTAAAATGTAATTCATAATTTTTCTATTTTCATGAATAATAGCAAGATCTTTCAGCGAAAGGATTCTGTTTCATGGGCCATTTATGGACTACAACAGCCCTGTCCAATGCAAACCTAACTAATGTCTATAATGTGGGCTGTTTTCAGCTTTAAAAACCTAGCGATTACTGAAACAGACGTTAAATCACTCCAGAACCACAAGGTGGTCACCCCTAAGCACACCCCTAACTATTGGAAGTTTACTGTTTCAGATTGATACAAAATACAAGTAAAACCTGGAAAATTAGAATATCGTTCAAAAGTGCATTTACATTTATAATTCAATTCACAATGTGAAACTAAAAGATGACATTCATCACATGCAAAATGAGACACAGTAAAACAAGTCTTTATTTGTTATAATGCTGATGATTGGCTCACAGATTGTAAAAAACCCAAATAAAATAAGAATATTTTGAATTTACAGTGGGCCATAATCACCAACATCATAATGACGCATTAGTCTCAGATTTGAAGTTGAATTACAGAATATTATTATATTGTTGAATAATATTATTACTCTTTGTTACCAGGGCTAAACTACGATATATTTATTTTCATTTATATGAAATTACTGGCACTTGACATTTTTGCGAATTATTTTTGGTCTTGACTCGTTTGAGGGTAAGTACTTTCGCTTACTCGAGTACATGTTTCTCGTTCTGCAGCTTCTCTTGTACATTTCATTTCTAACGTTCCTTTTATTCTAGACAAATGTTTTGAATTGTAACCAGTGGTTTTGTGTAAATACAAATGTTACCTGTAAAGTTCCATTGCAGCTGTCTGCCTGGCCTTGTCCTTGCTCAGCTTTTAGCTGGTTTATTGTAAAAGGACGAGGCCAGTCTGTTTGTGACAGCAGAAGTGGCTTTAATGGAAAGATGTTATTTTTATGAACTGACTGTAATTGGTGGTATAAATTGTTGTTTTCTACAAAAAAACATAAAACTATTTTGCTCTCTAAGACTACATTCATAGCAGGTCTGATCTTGTAATATCTCTGTTCAAACCATCTCTGACGGCTCTTTAAAAAAAATCTATATCAAAAAGATGTCTAAAGCTTTGTATCTCTGAAAGGTTCAGAGTGCTACATTTCCACTTAATCCCAGTTTAATCTGGATTTAGAGCTGCATGGGATTGTTTTCACTCGGACACAAAGGATTATGGGAAAAATGCAAAAACAGGAAGTGATATTTTAACTTTTGAATTCATTCACACATACAGTTCAAGTTAATTTTCCATTAAATAATCTATTTTACAGCAATTTAAAGCTTATACCATCGTTAGTGAAGTCGAAGTCCAGGATTCTGATGAACTAATACCATCGTCATTCTGAGTCACTTTGTTACATCATATTTTATTATCGCTTTCAAAACAAAATTGATCGTCCTGCTCAGCATTCACTACCCCAGGATCATGTTACCTCCGGGATCTAAGCGGGCTTCACCATGACTGCATCAGACTGAACCAGCACTGAACCTGTGCTCAATCCAGAATAACCAGGAAAGGAAAAGTACGTACATTTGGGCACAAAAACAGAAGAAATTACAAAAGTATTTTTTTCTTTTTACTCACCATGTATCATTCTGGGCTGTACATAAAGAAATCTAACACTTTTTTGTCTTACATTGGGGGAATGTTGCTGCTGTGGGAGTAAAGAGCCCACAGAGAGAACACAGAAGATTCAAAACAAATAGCTTGAACTGAAAAATCTTCAATAAACATTCACCAAATAAATCAACTCATTCATAAACAATTGTTTGATTTTCTAATCTGTTGTCGGAAATTTGACAATTTGTAAACTCCTTTGAGATGGTTGTTGTTATGATTTAAGGCTACAAAATAAAACAATGAATTGAATCAAACATGATACACAAAGTATCATGTTTGATTCAGTTCAAACATTATACTTGAATTGCATTCAAATCTGCAGCAGATTTTATTTGCCGCACAAATAAAATCTTAGAGAATACAGGTGACTTCGCTGTAAATGAGATGAAATGACAAAGTCACAGTGGGAAGTGGACACTTGTAGAACCATTGATGTTATAATACAAATATATATTTGATCGTATCTGGTCAAAAAGCAGTTATATAAAAAATATTTTTAAAAATCACCTGCCAGGCAGTTTTGCCACTAGATAACAATTGAATTTCAATAGGCATGTTCGAACACAATTAGGAATGTTAGCCGTATCCTTTAGTCCCATTTTACTTACAGTGTAATAATTTTACAGTATATTACGATAATGCACAGCTCGTCCTGTCAGTGGTGATGGTGTTGTGAGCCAGCTGAAGTCAAAGACCTGAAACTGGAGCATTACGTCATGACCTGCTCAAGCCCCTCCTTCTCCTCTGCGGCATCCGACATGTCATTGGTCCGCTGTCCCGTGGCCTACAATCCTATTGGCTGATGCGCCACCTGACGGAGGACAGGCTGGCGGGGTTCAGATGGAGATGCTGAGGATAAAAGAACCCAAAGGTACCACTCCGAACTTCCAGAAACGAGCTGCACGGGCTTTTACAAATCGCTTCTGCCTCTGACGCGTCCGTCCCGGCCGCTTGTTTGGTCCAGTCCCGCTGGAGCGCACAAAGGTGAGTCCCGCGGCCATGTCCTCCATAGTCCTTCAGGCGCATCGGAATCCAGATCACTTCAGAGTGATTTATATACGACCACATTTAAACAAAGTTCAGTACTGGGACTGGTGGTTCTTTCACAACCAGCGAACGATCGCGGGGATCTGGATTTATTATAATTTAAACGAGTTGTTCATCAAAGCCAGAGAGCTGCAGCTGGAGACACGTGATGGGAGCGCGTCAAGAGCTCCAATCCAGGGCCATCCCTGATCCACAGAGTCTTGGCTGAAATATACCTCTATCTCAGTCACATTTATACAGACGTGATTACCTTTTCTAATGCATCTTCCTGTATATTTGGAGTATACCTTCATAAAATGTGCATTCTGGGCTAAATCTTTTGGCATCGTTTATTTTAAAGGAGACCATCCATGAATCCATGTTTTATCGTGAATTCGTGAATCGGTCTCTTAATGGGGCACCTTTTATGACTATTTTCTGATAATGCTGTTGCTGTGAAATGGGTTGATTGGGTTGATGGTTGGAAGATGATTTATTGCACTACATGTAAAGGTCATTTAAACAATATCTTTTTGCCTCTCTAGCAATTATATATTCTTCCCTGCCAATGCTACTCATAATCGTAATTGTTGACACTATACTTTTCTTAGTATGTGTAATCTATTCCAATCAGAGCATGTAATTTTTAACTTAAATAATTCATATTCAAAAATATGAATATTTAATTTTCTCTCGCTCCAGTCACTTTCTGGTCTCAATGGCCATATGAGTTCTGATTTTTCTGAGCTTAGCTCTTTAATCTTGGATATGTCTAATTAACAGGAATTATGTGACATTTCTACAGGCTCTCTGTCTCCTCCATGCCCAAGTGCATGATGGGATCTGATGTCCTGTTGGTGCTGCTGTCGCTGGTGATGTCATCAGTTTGTTCTCCAATGGACGGAACCAATTCAGGTACAACATTTTTGTGTGAAAAAGCGTTTACACAGACAAAACAAGTCATCCACTAATTGTGCAGGTCCTCTCACCTGAAAAAATAGTATATCATAGGTTTGTACACCTCAAATATGAGAAAATGAGCAATAAAAAAAAGTTCAAACATTTCCTGTAAGTCTTTCCAAAGTTTTCACACTCTGTTGCTGGTATTCTGGCCCATTCCTCCACACAGATTTTGACTCGGGCTGTCGCTATGCAACACAGAATTTCAACTATGTTCAAAGATTTTCTCTGGGTTTGAGATCTGAAAAGTCTTGAGATCTGAAACTGCTTTTGACTCAAAAAAAAATAAAAACATGATAAGTGATACTTTTGTCCTTCAGGTGGCGCTGTGCTGTGTCCGCTGCAGTGTGTGTGTGAGACCAGGCCGTGGTACACTCCTCAGTCCGTCTTCCATCAGGCCATCACTGTGGACTGCAACGAGCTGCACCTCCAGCGAGTTCCAGCTAATGTCTCTATAGACACACAGGTTGGCCTCATGCTTTTGTTTTATTATTATACTTGTATCTATTTCCATAAAGGATCACAAGCAATACTAAAATCTCCTGGGAAAACTGTGGACATTTCTATGTGGCCCCCAGACCCTTCCCAATAATAATTTGCTAAAAAAAATGAATCCCTAAACTAGTGTACAATACTCAATGTTCTTTACCTTTTGTCCAATTTTGGTTCAAGGCAAGCAAAACAAAACAAATATATCAATTGATGCTATTATCAATACAATATTATTTTCATAAAATATATAGAATATGTTAAAGATGAGCTTTAAACAAACTTAACACCAGATATAGATCCATGTTTCCCTCTCCTTCTTAAATAGATCCTTTTCTAATTGAAGCACCCTTTACAACCATACAGGGGCAGACCACTGTATGGTTCTGCTTTATTAAAGTTAATTTACTGTGAACAAAGAATTTGTTTTCATCCAGTAATATATTCATATCATCAAGATTTGACTTGAAATTATTTTTGTTTGTGATATTTGTCTCTCTTACTTGTGCTCAACCTGCTTTCAAAGGGTCGGCTTTAATTAAGATATCACAGAAAAATAAGAAATCCCAAAGTGGAAGAACCCAAATGAGAAATGAAGCAATCTTTTTATTAAAATCTTTATAGGTCCTCCTGCTTCAGAGCAACAACATCTCTTCCATTTCCTTTGAGCTGCGGAGTCTGACCAACCTCACAGAGCTGGACCTGTCTCAGAACCACATCACCCAGGTACCTCAATCTGGCCCTCGCAAAATAGAGCCTGTTTCTGGACCAATTCATATGTGTATATTGTTTGTCTTAACTGTTGATTCTCTGATCTGTGTTGGTGATTTCAATGGTTTTGTTAAGTCCTCTGAGATGACTTCTGTTGTGATTTAGGGCTATGCAAAAATAAGTTGTTGTTGTTGTTTCTTTTTATTTCCTGATGAAGTTTTTTTTTTATAGCAACTTTAACCATTCACATTATTATAGATTAATTACCATATATGGCTGGATAGTAAGTGATCTTTATGGGGGTGTAGTGTGCAGTAGTTCTCTCAAAAGACTTCTTGAAATGAAAATGAAAAATTCGCCAACAACAGATCACAATACCACACATAGAGCCATTTGTCCATAAGAGTCAAACTTGCTGTATTTATATGCCCACAATTTTCAATAAAGACAGTAGTGAGACAGAGAAAGCACTTTTGTTAGAAGTAAACCAGGACAGAGCATATTTAGAAGACAAGGGGGACTTGTGTTCTTGTGCCGGTCTTGGCTCAAAATACTTTGTCTTTTGATTTAATAAACTATTGAGCTGATACCCATAGAGCTCTCTTTAGGCTGCTTTAAGTTTGTGGTTCAACAATTTGCTTGATCCCATTGCAGGTCTCATCTCTGGATCTTTCCTCTTTGACACGCCTGGTCACATTGTACTTGGAAGAGAACCGGATTGAGGATTTGCCAGACTATGGCCTAAGAAACCTGTCAAGTTTAGAAGAACTTTACATCAACCATAACCAGATTAGGACCATTAAGACCTGGGCCTTCAGCGGACTCACCAGTCTGCTTCGGTACTAATAAAATACTAAGTAGAAAAAATAATATATTCACTTGAGATTATTACCTTTCTAATTATATTGTTCTGCTTGTTTACATGTTTTTACCAGACTGCATCTAAACTCCAATCGCCTTGAGTCAATTGACAGCATTTGGTTTGATTCACTCCCAGCTCTGGAGATCCTGATGCTGGGGGAAAACCCGGTCTTGGTCTTGGGAGAGGGGTCTTTCAAGTCTTTGCCGCGCCTCCACAGTCTGGTTCTGGCTTCTATGGGACTACAGTCTGTGTCCCCCAAGGCCTTCACTGGACTAGACTGTCTTGAGAGCCTCTCCTTCTATGACAACAAACTCAGGTCTGGGAAAAAAGGCTGAACTACATAACACTAGTTTAATATTGCATCATTACCGTACCAATCTACGGTACCTAGTCTAATCCCTGCTCTCTCATCTCTCTCAGATCAGTTCCACGGGAAGCTTTGAAAGTTCTTCCAAACCTGAAATTCTTGGACCTGAACCGAAATCCCATCAATAGAATTAAGCAGGGAGACTTCCAGGACCTTCTGCACCTTCAAGAGATCAGGTAAGACAGAAGAACAGAACCTCATCAAAAATGCATCTGACGCTGTCCGTGTAATGTGACGGAGCCCAAGCTAGTAACGCAAAGAAGAGTTAGCAAAAACAAAAGTTCAAAGCTTGTAGAGACATAAGAAATAGACTGTTTGCTGCAATTGCAACAAAAGTGAGTTCCAGCCAAGTATCAGCTTATATTGACTGAATAATTTTACATTGTACACACAAGAAAACAGAACAAAACAACTTTCAAAATGTGACAAAATATGAAAAGGTTCATGGGTCATGAATACTTTTTAAGTCACTGTAATTATTTATTGTACATACTACATGACTATATCATATACCATTCACTTCACTGTTCATATTGTGTTTATTTACAGTAAATGCTTATATGTGTGCCGGCACTATTAGATGCCCTTTGCATTAATACCTATGTACTTGTGGTCATCTCTGTCCCTCAGTTTGAACAACATGGAGACGCTACAGATGGTGGAGCCAAACTCGTTTCAGAACCTTCCAGAACTGATCAAAGTAGAACTATGCAACAACATTCATCTGTCTCACCTGCACCCCCACAGCTTTAGGTAAACTTTGCCGTGGGAGACTTCCTCAATATCATAAGCCAAATATAATTAACAATAAACTTCTGTCTGTTTTGAACCCAGTGACGTCCCGTGGCTTCGCTCGCTCATGGTGCACAGCTCATCCCTGGCCTTCCTCTCCCCAGTGCTGCTCTCCTCTCTCCCCTCTCTCAAAGAGCTGTCCATCCACTCCAACCCGCTGCGCTGTGACTGCCTCCACAGCTGGGCCTCTCACCTGGGAAACTCATCTCGCCTGACGCTGCTGGAGCCCACCTTCACTGTGTGCCACGCCCCTGTGCACCTGATTGGGCAGCAGCTACAGGAAGTGCTCGTGTCCTCGGGCGATGGGATCAATAGCTGTTTGCCGCAGATTTCTTCCAACGTTTTTCCTTCAGTGATGAACATCAGCGAGGGGCAGCCGATCATTATAGAGTGCTGGGCAGATGCAGACCCCGCCCCTCAGTTTTATTGGGTCACTCCCACTGGAGACAAGGTATGCACATTTTTGGGCAATCTTAACCTTCTGTCCCAGAATTCAGCTCTAGCTAACGAGCAGTGTGAGCATTGACCAACCACTCATAGAGCCTGTTCAAGCTTAAAAAACCAAAATGAAGAGTCCGCTCCTTCCACAATCTATGGTTTTGACCCAATTCCTTCTTATCATTACCCATCCTTGACACCTGGCATTATTTTTTAACTTTTCCTTCAACCATAAACATGGCTGCCATCACGACAAATGAATTTTGTCAAGAAAACCTTTATCTAAATATATTTGTGGTTTTGGTCAGGTGAGCTCTGAAGCGGTGGCTGCTCCAATCATATCGCAAGAGGAGCCGGAGGGACGTGGTTTAAGCAGCACAAAGCCGAAAAAACATCGTTTGCTGGAACCCGGTGCATTAGTCATTGACCATGCTGAGGCCTCGGACGCAGGTGTGTGGACGGCTCTAGTTTTATCTAATGTTTGTGTGGAATATTATTTCTGACATATTCTGCCCTGCTTTTGGTGTACATGTGGAGCTATTTTTAGTCTTTCATTTGTCCATATTCTGTTCAAAGTTAACAAATATGATTGGTTGTTAGGAACCTACACCTGCGTGGCCTGGAATGCAGAGGGAGCTGACACCAAGAGCCTGTCTGTAACTGTGGATCTCCAGAGCTCAGGGGCAGCCTCAGACTCTGCGTCCAGTCTGGGCCAAACATGGCTGGGAAGGAACAGCAGTAGGCCAGCCTCTTTAGTGGTGCTTGCAAAGGTAAAAAATTAGTCTGCACTTGCCATCATTTAAAACGCAGAGATATGTGAGGTGAATAAATGTAAACCTGTAGCGGCTAACTGCATTTATATCAAATGCTCAAATAAACCGGAGCACACTTTCATTCAGCTCTGTTTTTATGCAAGAGGCAAGAGTAGAATATATAAAATTAATCTGTAGTAAGGTTGGCCGTGTACCTACATTGTATTTTGATCATAATGTATTTTTTGCACACGTTTTTTTGTAAGATAGAGACCTGTGAGTCGCTCTTTGGCTCTAGGCGAAGAGGTGGTTGGCAAGTAAGTGAGGGGAGTCTTCGCTTTTTCACTTTTCTATCTGACAAAGTTGATGTAAAGATGTGACAGGGGCCAATACATACTTGCATGTGAATACTAGTGATTGCTGCTGAATTTTGTGTTTGAGAATTTAAAGAGGTGAAGAATCAGCTTGTGTGGAATGTTTTGTGGAACCCAAGAACTACCTCTCTGTGTCAGTGTATGAAAAAGGTCTCATTAGGGCTCTAATGAGAGTGCTGAATCTACAGGTGGTGCACTCTCGGTCTGTAGTCCTGGAATGGAAACTGCATCTCTCAAAACCCAAACAAGACCAGAAGGACGAAGAAGATTCACCTGAGACCTTGCCACGATTTACCACAGCAACTGTCCACATCCACAACCCACACATCAGCTACACTGCCAAGGTCTGTTGCTGTGATGTCTAACTTGAAGAATTGAAAAAGCTGGAATAATTTTATTGTCTATCATTCATGATGACAGAAATGTGTCTTTGACTTGCAGTTACACATTCCAAGACAAGCGTACAGATTATGTACACAATTATACATTGGCTTTCAATTAACTATCAAGGTCCAAGTTCAGTGCAAATATATTGTTCAATGATATCTTTTACAAGATAAATTGGATCTGTTTTGACTGTAATTTGAGGGGTGGGGGTGGATTGCTCAGTATTAGTTTCAGTCCCTTTGCAGGTTTTGGTTCAGATATTTAAAAGGCAAAATACTGAGAGCAGTATCAGAAAGAAAAGCTGGATCAGTGCATTCCTAGTTATAACTATGATGTAATACAATTTCAGATTTTTTTCTAAATTCCATCTCTGGATTTGAACAGAGTAGAATATTGACTCAATATATCAATCAATCAATCAATCAATCAACGTTTATTTGTAGAGCGCCTTTCCTACACAAGGCAACGCAAAGCGCCTCACAACCCATATAACATCATGCATAAATCATCAAACATTAGAATTTAAGTAAACATAAAAAGACAGATTAAGAGCACAAGATATATTAAAAACATAAAAAATAAAATCACACAAGTAGTTAAAAACCGTAAAACATTAAAATCACACAAGGGATTAAAATCATAAATAGTCATAGTACATTAAAAAGATTAAAGATAAAAACAAATGTAAAATCATTCACTTGTATGCACAGCTAAAAAGAACGGTTTTCAGTCCAGTTTTAAAAACTGCCAGAGTAGACGCCTGTCTCACATTCTTGGGAAGACGGTTCCAGACTCTAGCTGCATGAATCTGAAAAGCAGCCTCCCCATGTCTAGTTCCGACTCTTGGCACTAACAGAAGTCCAGTCCCTGTGCTCCTCAGAGCCCGAGTTGGTTCATATGGCACCAACATGTCGCGGATAATTTTCAAGATCAGATTTGGCTGTAATACAATTTGCAGAGGTGGGACAAAGTCATTGTTTAGCAAGTCACAAGTCAGTCTCAATTCATTGCCCTCAAGTCCCGAGTCAAGTCACGAGTCAAGACAGGCAAGTCCCGAGTCGAGTCCAAGTCAAAGGCCAACAAATCTCAAGTCAGTCCCAAGTCCTACGGTTTGACTTTTGAGTCCTCTCGAGTCTTTTTGACCGCGATTTGTTTCTTGTTGGTCTCCACCTACTTAGGAATCGTTTTGCTGGTGCATTCTCGTTGGTCTCTGATCCATGGACTAACAGTTTGTTCCATGTGGTTGGCTGCTGGTAAATCAAAACTATGTTGTGCCAGATGCAGGCTCAGTTACACATGCACAGACCACACATAAAATCAGAGCAGTCCGTGTCAACATACTTTTTATCTTTGGGGTTTTTAATGGGAAGTAGCAAGTGCAGCATATATGAATATGAGTATTGGGCTAGGACCTGTATCTATATAATCAGTTTAATGTCCATAGTGGTTATTGTTCCAAAGGACTGAAGGGACCAATGGAGGGGAAGGAACCTGGCCTGTATGAACTGGGCCAGCATTAGTAATATCTCATAATTACCAATATATCATTACATAATAAAATGTCTCATATAAATTAATTCAATCAGTCAAAGCACTGATTCTCATATCAATGAACCATAAACAATAGTGGAAATATTAATCTAGCTTAGTGCACATAATCAAAACAACTATCTAATGTATGCAAACTTTAGCAGGAGGAGCACAGCAAAAACATACTCATAATAATAGGCCTCGGCGCCCACGCAGAAAAATATAAGAAATAGCTAACAGAGCAGCGCAGGCTAGCGCTAGTTTGACTCACCAGTTCCTCTTTAAAACACGGCACACAGTGTGACAACTGCGTCGATTCAATTGTATGAGGCGCCTGTAGTGAAAGCATATCAATTACGGTTTGTAGAACAAAATATGACGTTAGGTCGCGATAAATACCTGCAGCTCGCTCATTTCCAGCTACCCTAGACAACACACACCGGTGAATGCAGTCCGCTTGTTTAGGGAAGTGTTGCTGCGCGAACTGCCTGGAACTCACGTTCGAACTCTCGCGCGAGCACTACAACTACCGCGAGGCTTTGTTTCTTCAGAGACGGCATAGATAGAAAGAGAGATGCGGAGAAAGGTAAAAATGGCCCGGGTTACGCAAGTCTTTGCAAGTCAATTGGCGCAAGTCCAAGTGAAAGTCAGAGTCATTGATGTTAAAGTCCAAGTCGAGTTGCAAGTCTTTTTATATTTGGTCAAGTCGAGTCTAAAGTCATCAAAATCATGACTCGAGTCTGACTCGAGTCCAAGTCACATGACTCGAGTCCACACCTCTGACAATTTGTGCATCAGTTAGTAATGTATGTGAAAAGACAGCAAACGATTAAGCTAACACTTTCCCCAATGTCATAATTTCTTGCACACTGATGTCATCCAGCCAACATCAGCTCTACTAATATACAAATGCTATACATTTTAAAGCTTAAACTTCTAGAAACCAATAGCTAGTGGGAAACTAAGCCATCATTTATGTGACATCAGCACCACCAAAAGCAAATCAATATGTTTATGCCATAAATCATTTTAAAGCTTTTAACAAACTGAAAGCACTTGGTAAACTCGACAGAGTGGAGTTGAATACCAATTGGGATTCAGCTCAAAAAATCTAAATGAATTAAATACAATAGTTTGAATTTAATTTCTCTGTGTGTTTCCAAATATTGACTGGTTCACCCGATGTGTTAAAGTCTGTCTTGTCTAACCTGTTGTTCTTTGCTCCAGGTTCCAGCAGATGTTCAGGAGTACAACCTCACTCACCTCCTCCCTTCCACTCTGTATCACATCTGCCTGACCATCTCCTCCAAAAACTCCCTAAGCCCCGCCCCTTCCCACACTTCCTGCCTGAATGTCACCACCAAAGACACCGCCTTTGCCGTGGAGCTGGTGGAGTCTCGTCACGGCGGCGTGGCAGCGGCTGCAATTTTGGGCTCCATGTTTGCGCTGTGTATTATGGCTCTGCTGTTGTTTTACATGGGCCGTCGCAGAGTGGTTAACCTCCCCCAAAGTCACGTGCACTCACTAAAGAAGTACATGCAACACACCACCTCCATCCCTCTGAACGAGCTGTACCCGCCTCTCATCATGTTGTGGGAGAGTGAAACGGAGAAAGACAAAGAGGAGAAAGACGAGGAGCAACGAGAGGAGGGGCACATTGACACCTCAAAGACGACATACATGTGGTAGCAACGGTACGGAGACTGTATGGACTCTAAATAGACCAAGGACCTGAGCACACCAGCACACTGAAGAAATGGCATGATCTGATTCAAGTAATTAAGTATGTATGAACAATGTAAAAGTTGTTTTTTTTCCAGGATCAATGGATCAACCCATCAGGGGTCATTGGGGTAAGGTTAGGATGAAGAATTTTAATTACTTGGTGGTATCAGATCGACCGAAGGAATGAGTGTGCACCTTTTTGTAGTCACTGTTCTAACCCTCCTCTTTCACACATAAGACATCACTGCAGGAACGTTTTATTTCCAACCCGTGGTTTAGGCCTGGCTTTCTTATACTTCCCTGGTTTGTTGTCTATTCCTCTGAAGTTCATTGATTCAGTTGATGTTTTGTCCTTATCTCTGCGGAGCCTCACTGTGGATTGTGGTGACTATTTGTGTATTAAGCAGGCGTAAATGAATTTCAGTACACTCTTGGTCCTAACAAGGTGACGTTAAATGCGAATGTTAAAGCTGTGGTACCTAACTTTCAGACCAAAAAAGATTAGCTATGTATACAATCTATATATATCTAGCTAGTTTCTCACTGTCAAAACAGTTTGGTTCTTTCATTAGTTTTCACATTTATTTTGGGCCTGTGTCACATCTTTAGATTAGCCTTTAGGAAAGTGGGAATAGCTAGTGCCACCCTCACTCAGCCAATCAGCTCTCTGCGCAAAGCATCAAATAGTGACGGGGCTCTTTCTAGAATGCTTTCTAGTATGGGTTTTATTTGTGAAAACAGTTGGGTACCTCAACTTTAGGAAATCCTCAAAGAGTGAAGCACACAATCATTCCTATTGAGCTTGCTTGTTTCGATGTAACTCAAACAGTTCCCATGGGTCGGGTGGATCTGGAGGGTCCCCAACTGATGCACTGTGGCAACGGGACTATGCTACTAAGAACTGAAAGACAAGCTAAAGTGAAAAAGTAACCCATCTTCTGAAGCACACTCCCCCTATCAACATGATCCATGCTGGATTTATTTTATCTTGATAAATATTAACATAAAAGCATGATTTAGACACAATGTTTACATTTTGTCCTGCATTTGATTCATAATAATATTATTAAAGTTGTTTTCACTAACAAGGACCACAATCTTAGAGTAAAGAACTGCAAAGGACAAAGAAAGAACATGTGTTGTGGATTAATTTCTTTCATACCTGAAAGATAAAGTGGAGGATTATTGAGGAGAGAGGCATGTGAAGAGGTGGTGGTTTAATTGTGTAGAGAGCAGCTGTGGTGTAGAACAGGTTTGGTTCTGCTCCTTAACCTAAGATTACATACCATCTACATTTATTTTTCTATTAAGACCGGGTTTGGTCCTATTTTCTCATGTCGTTAAATTGACTGTTTAAACCTGTTTTGCTCAGTTTGGAGCTACTGTAAAGAAAAAGAAAGAAAAATCTTGATTTTCCAAAGCTGATTCTGGTTGTAACTCCTAAACATTCCATATAGATGGATGTATTATGAAAAAAATATTGAATACTGCATCTTTGAAATAGACACAAGAGACTTAAAAGATTTCAGGGTATTTTATATACTGTTATCATTAATTATTATGATTAATATAATCATTGTTTTTACTTTATGTGAGCACTGAATCACACTAATAATTGCAAATAAACTCACTTTGACACATCTCTGTCTGTTGTTATTATTATTTATTGTTTATTTGGTTGGGAAAGTACATGGGCTAATTTGCATCCATTGTCCCACATTTTCACTCACAAACACACACTCATTAAATGTATGTGTTTTCATACACAAGGGTTTAAAACAATATTACTTAGTAGCAGTCGCTTTACTGGATTAATCCAGACCTAATCCAACTGAGAATCTATCGTAATATATAGAAATGTGAAGAGTGGCTCAGTTGGTAGAGCATTGGCCTTTAAGCCTGGAGGTCATGAGTTCAAGCCCACCTCAAGACTTTCTCCACCAATTCCTTCTGCTGTCATTGTGTCCATGTGTCCACTTAAACTCTGGGAAAAACCAGGTGCCACAGTGGGGTGGCTGTGGCTGTAATGTGCCAAATGGTCCTTGGGCAAGACACTTTGCCCACATTGCCTCCAAATTATTAATTATTTTATTATTATTACTCTATTCACTTAATCAGACAGATTTTGAGCTATTATGTGCAAAGTATCATACCCCAAAAGACCTAATATAGTTGTAATTGTAGGAACAGGTGGTGATGATCTACCAGTCTATCAACACTCTTTGGTTCTAGAGATCTATCATAAAATAAAATCCATCAGATAATTACTCAAAATGTACTCACAAAACTGATCTTTTAATCCAAATACCTTCACGATGTAAAATCAACCATGGATGCAAAAGATGAGCCTTAAACAGCATGTCCACTAAGAAAACAATGAAAATCTTGGTATAACAGTATAAAGTGTGGAATAAAAGTCAGCCCCATCCGGCTCCAAGTTTTTTTTATTCAGCCCCCTTCAGTGCCAGACCAAAAATGTGTTTGACGCCCCTGGAATAAAGCTACTATAATATTACACACCTTACACATAATTATGTATTTTTTCATTGAACACAAAGAAAAGAAACAGAAAAGAAACACATCTTCAAGTAACAATGTGGACCCTAACGTGGTAAACCGTAAAATGCTAGTCAAGTATTTTACATGACAACTCAGTAGTTTGCTCCTTATGTGTTGAGACGGGATGTGACGTCAGCGCGCACGATGCCGTACGTCAGTCTGTGTTGATGTTTTGTGAGTGGTGGTGAGGTGGAAACGAAGAGACGAGTCCCTTTATTGCTTTCGAACCTGGACTCAAACTGCGGAGCAGGCTGCTCCTTTGCTTGCTTTGGTTGTGGAGATACGTTTTTCGGTGTGATTGGGATCTCTGCGGCCTGGTTTCAAGAAAAAAACATCGAATAATTCGACCTGAACCGGGTGACTGACGGTCGGGTCTGTAGCATTAGCCGTTAGCTACAGCAGTGAAGCTAACGCCAACTGCTAACGCAAGCTATGTTTTGATGGAGGACTTTTTGAAACCGCTCAGTTCTCCGTGTACAGGACAATGCGGACTAATTCTCCCTTGTTAAGTTTGTGAATTAGATTTTGAACCCAAGGATAAATAACTAGTTCGCGGATTCTTAAACGGGGTACATAGCTAAAGCTAAAGATCTTAAAACAACACTGCATCAATAGGTCGTTGTTAACGATCGCCTTTTCAGCCCAAAGTGACCGACTTTACCGCTGGAGTCTCGACACGAACCTGCAGTGAGCAGACACTGCTCTGTCTATACCAGGAGAGCACCATCACTGCACAAGGGCCATAGTTGGACTTTCCAACGGACACCGGTGTCTGCAGTCGTGGGGAACATCTGGCCTCTGCCAAGCCTTTATACTGCTGTGATTCACCGGAAAAGCCAAACACGTTGTCTTGAATAGCAGAGAAGTGGATAATACTACATATTATCCAACAGAAAGGTAACTTTAACTCATAAGAGCTGCAAATAATCACATCTACACAATACATCTGTAGTCATGTTCACATTCAGTAACCTGGATGACACCACACGTGTAGGTTTGTTACTGCGTTCCGATCATGGATCTATTATAATAATCCGGTGCATGATGAATCTTCATCTTTATGTCTATTGTAATTAATGTTATTGTTACACAGAAAGTCTTTTCAAGTCTTGAAGGATACTGACTAGGGCTCATGAAACTAATATCACATCTGTTTTAAAGTCACTATTTTTTTGTCATCTAATGAAGACTCACATTACGCTGTTATTGGGAGCCCACCTGTCACTTACACAGGGCATTACAGAAGTTGACCTGTAGGAGAACTGAGTAGATAACGTGTTTGCGCTAAAGTGATGAGTGTAATGCTAAAGGATGCATTACACAGAAATCAATCAACCTACTTATAGCCTTTTACACTCATTTTATTGTTGTCCATCTAAATCCATACACATGATGATGTTAGTAATATTTAGTAAACGTTTGAGTGTTTTGGTTCATTCTTGTATGCTGAAGAATGCCACAGAAAATGAATATTTGGGCCAATAACACACATTTAACTCAATAGACTTAAACTTAGACTTTATTGATCCACAAGGGAAATTGCATTGTTACAGTAGCTTTCAAAGTATTTCGCAATAAAAAAAAAAAAAAAACATTAAACACTATTTATTTATTTAGTATTTTGGGGCGACAGTGGCTCAGTTGGTAGAGTATTGGCCTTCGGACCTGAAGGTTGTGGGTTCGCACCGACCACGCGACCTACTTCATGGCTCCCACTGATGACTCCTGTCGTTGTGTCCTTGGGCAAGACACTTAACCCCACTTTGCCTGAAGCCCCCGCTAGAAGATCAAGGCCCCTGTAGATTCCCCACCTGCATCAGGATCAGTGAGGGGCTGGTGCTCTGTGAATTGGGTGCAGCTCTGACTGCCACCAACCCAGAAATGGATTAAGGGGAAGAAAATGGATGGATGGACGGATGGATGGACGTTAAAGTAACAATCTAAAGATAATAATAATGAGATAATATTTGTGAGAATAGAATAGTCTGGATAGAAGTACTCAGGAATATACATACATGTGAATATGTACACATTTACAGTATAAAATAGGATAGTACATATCTGTTAATATACAATACAAGGACAAAGCAGATGTATTATCTGTCACAGAGCGGTAACTTGTTGAATAGCAGTATGGAGTGTGGCATGAACGTGCTCTTGTACCGTTCACTGGCAGCAGAGCTGTAGAAGTCTGTTTGAGAAGGAGCTCCTTTGCTCCTCTATAGTTCAGTGGAGTTGATGTGTTTGATTGTCCATGACTGAGAGCTGTTTTTCCAGTGACCTTCTGTCTCTCACTGTTGTAAATACTTGTAATATTTAAGTCCATTATTTAATACGGATCAATTGTCTTATCCCCTTTGCAATAAAGCCGCTCCAAAACATAAAGTTTCCATTGCCATACTTCAGCAGGTGTGTTGTTCTTGGGATGCAGCGCCAGAAAGGTCCCCCCTGCTTAAGGCAGTTAATTTCCAGGCCTGTCTAAAGTTTTCAAGTAATGATCTTCTAGAAGATGATATCATGTTGTCAGATGAAACCAACATTTGAAATAAAAGACGACAGCTCCAAATAGGGCTGGGGAAATGAAATTTGATATGTTAATATAATTTGAATATTAAGAAAAATAATGACGTTCGAACGAATTAGACAGCAAATATATTCATATATTCAAATATTCATGTCCGACTTGGTTTTGTGTGATACGGGCTGTGGACCGATTGTCATGGTAACGGTCCGTGGAAAGATATCAAATGTGATGCCCGCTGTTCGGACCAATTGTCATGGTAACGGTCCAAGATGGGAAAATATCAGACCGCAAATCAACCAATCATAGCGTGCGTACGGTCCAAGTCATATAATAAATTCAAATATTATACTGACATGCCGTTTGACGCTAACAAGGTTAAGCTAGCAGCTCTTTGTGTAAAGTTCATCTCCTCAAATGCAACTTGGCAGCCCATGTTCTGAGACCTTCCAGGGACTTCATATAACAGCTTTATGTGTTCACGGAGCTTTGCCATGGTTTTATTTTATTACTAACCAGTAATTCTCCATTCTCCACATGTTAGCAGCCTTGTTTACATTCCCCGGGAAAATGAGAACTCAGGCCTGAGGCATATTTTCACAAGCACTGTGTCCCCCTTTGTCAGTCCTGGTTTAGTCCTGGTCAAGTCCTGGTTTAGCACCTGTATTAGCACCTGTTTTGGCTGTTTACGTCAGACTGGCTTGTGTCCCCGTGACCACTTTGCGGCTCTCTGATTAGTTGCTGCATGTCTGGCCAGCGGGAAACAGTTTTTTTTACACTTATTATTACCTATGGTTATTACAAACATTTATTGGTCAAAATGAATTTTTGAGCTTAAGTCCCAGCCCTTGCCCCAAAATACCAGCTCCAGTGTGTAGAAACGGGTTGACCTATGAGAAAAGTCATGGCCAACAAAGGTTAAGGTATTTAGATTAATTTTTGTTCTGGGCCAAATTATCTGCACCATTATGCTTGTACAGTTTAATAATAACACATGTGATTTCTCGGATGAAAAGTAAAGACCTCTGTCATTTTTTAAAGTGAGACAACTTGCACAATCGGCAAATAAAAAATACTTCTTTGTCCCAAAAAGCACTGTTGAATCTGAAAATACATTATACCCTATGGTGAACACATTCACAATTATGCAAGTGATCACTGATATTCACAAAATCTCCAGGTGGTGTAGGAGGGTTAAATTTCCATCTCCATGACTTTAATCTGGCAGGTGATTTGGCAAATACAGACCGAGTGTAGCTCCAGTCTAACACTGCTCTTTTGTCCTCCGCTTATTCAGCTCGTCTTGAACGATGACTATTCTTCCCAAGAAAAAAGCGAGTTCCGGAGGTCCTGATGAAGACAGCCGTGGCAGTTCCTCTGCACGGCCACGAGCCTCTCCTCCTCCCTGGTCGTACGTTCCGCCTCCCCCCACACCCAGCACCTCTCCTCCACCTTCAGCTCCTCCCTCTGTGGGCCCCTCGGAGCCTGGAGCCCCCAGAGCTGAACTCGGCAGCTGTGGGGGAGGGCTGGGTGGCTGCTGCTCTGGTCCTGGGCTCAGCAAACGCAGAAGACAGACTGGAGGTTGCTCAGTGGCTGTGGGCTCGCTCACTGGAGGCGGACAGCCAGGAGTCACGGGCCCTGGGGCCAGTCAGGACCAGGAAGAAGGAGCTGGAAACAACAGTGAAGATGAGTATGAGAACGCTGCACGACAGGCTGTGGACCCTGCCACTGTCGAACAGGTGAGCCAAGTCCCCAATAGAGAATGTTCTTTGCTGGGGGCCAGGCCGCATCATTGTGTTTCCATTTAGGCAAAGACCTGTTCCTTTTTGCTGAGGGACAACTGGTTGAACAACACACCCTCGGGTGACTGCAGCCATGCGTTGTACTTGATTCATCTCAGCTCTGCAGTTTAAATTTGTTCATGAAGTTAATATTTTGCAAGGGGGAAAAACATTGTGCGCACATACACACACACAAGGTTACCTTTTGTTTTATTTTATTTCCGTAATGTAGTTTATTTAGAGGCAGATAATTTGGACTTAAACAATTCCGGGTCTGCAGTGTAAAAATACCGTTGAGAAGGTTCTTCTGTTCCCTAAACTCACGTACATTTATGTTGCAGCTGGTTTAATTGTTTTATATTCTTTGTTTGCTTTTTCAGCAGGAGCACTGGTTTGAGAAGACTTTAACAGAGAAAAAAGGCTTTGTCATAAAGAAAATGAAGGAAGATGGGGCCTGTCTCTTCAGAGCTGTCGGTAAGTGACAGTATGTTGGATTTAAGGTAAAAATTATAACTTTCTAAACCCCTGGTAGAATCTCTCATAAGCTGCTGCCAATAATCAAGTTCTGTCTTACAAAACGTAATGAGCTTAAGGTCTATAATTTATATATATATATATTGCTGTAAGTTGAACGCGTTAATATTACCGTTAATGCATGCCCGATTTAAAGGGGTCCTTTTTTATTGCGTGATTAATTGCGAAAACGTTTTTGGCCCATTCTTCCATTCAGATCTTTCAACTCCTTTGATTGTCTATTAGGTTGAGGTCTGCAGACTGGCTTGGCCACTTCAGGACCTTGAAATACTTACAAAGCCACTCCTTCATTGCTGTTATCACTTGATTTTTTTGCCCTCAATCTCACAATACTCACCCCATTAATCTTATTCTTAATATCAATCGTCCTATCCCCCTTACCCCCATGCTAGGGGATAAAGTGAATGTGGTGATCTATCATCTGACAGATGTCAAAAGAAAACTGGGTGATTTTTTAACGAACCTGCACCACACAAATACAGTAACAATGCACTGGGTGAAATAGTAACTTTTAGTATTGTAATTGTACGTTGTTAAACATGTAGTAAATCGCAATTTTTAAAACAAACTTTGCCCAGGACTAATGTAAGTCTATGATTGTGTCGCAGCTGACCAGGTGTACGGAGACCAGGACATGCACGAAGTGGTCAGGAAACATTGTATGGATTATTTGGTTAGTTCTATTTTTTCCTACCTACAACTTTGCAGTATTATGTCTGTTCTAGTTTACATCTAGAATGCATTTTACGCATGTTTCTATTTTCCTTTCTTGCAGATGAAGAATGCCGACTACTTTTCAAACTATGTGACTGAAGATTTTACCACCTACATCAATCGAAAACGCAAGAACAACTGCCACGGCAACCATATCGAGATGCAGGCCATGGCAGAAATGTACAACCGTCCAGTGGAGGTTTACCAGTACGGCACAGAGCCCATCAACACTTTTCACTCCATTCACCAAAACCACGATGAGCCCATTCGCGTCAGCTATCACCGGAATATTCACTACAACTCTGTGGTCAACCCCAACAAGGCCACCATCGGAGTGGGGCTCGGGCTTCCCGCCTTCAAACCAGGTGTAAGTGATGTCAGACCAGCACATTGGTATTTAATAGATCACTTTAGACCCATTTTTAAAGGGGACAGCAACGTCAGCTATGTCAAGATAAGATACAAAACACTTTTTTCTCAAAATGGAGAATTTAGTTTGTGTTCTTATCATTTACATGTTTTTAGCACGCTAGCATGCTTTGTATGTCCTCCTCAGAAGCTATTGCTCTCTGAGCCTACCACCACCTCACTTCCCTGGATTTTACTTAGTTTGGCAATTTTTTTTAATCAATGAAGAGGATGTACCCTGCCTTGCGCTGTCATTTTTGCTTGAAGGAAAACATATCCTGGCTCTGTAACTCTTTTTTTTAGCTCAATATTAAGATTTCATGGGAACTAATGATTCACTAGTAAACTATTCACTTATGAATCACAGGCATAAATAGAGAAGAGAATCACGTTATGTCCCCTTTAATATTTCAGAATGAATCGTTTCACATATTGTTGTCGTCTCCTTCAGTACGCTGACCAGTCACTGATGAAGTCCGCCATAAAGACGTCAGAAGAGTCATGGATCGAACAGCAAATGTTGGAGGATAAAAAACGTGCTACCGACTGGGAGGCCACAAACGAGGCCATCGAGGAGCAGGTGGCCCGAGAGTCCTACCTGCAGTGGCTCCAGGACCAGGAGAAGACCAGACAGGTACACATGTTAGTCCTTTTTGTCCGTTATTCGCTCATAACAAAGTCTAATATTGTTATTTTTACCTGTACATTTCAAGCCTCGGAAAGCCAGCGCCACCTGCAGCTCAGCAACGGCAGCTGCTTCAAGTGGATTGGACGACTGGAGTGCCAGGTCGCCCCGACAACGGGAAACCGACACCTCTCACTCCGAACTTACCACCGCTACGGCGACCTGCAACAAGCCTCCGTCCCCAGGGGGCGCAGCACTCATCCTTAGCAAACCTCCATCCCCCTGTGCTCCAGGTCAGAGGCAATTATTTTTCTCCTTTGGTTCATATATGTTCTGTGAGAAAGTTGAATTACTCTTCAATCATCATCATTTTCTCAAGAAATGTTAGGCATTATTTATGTCCCTCAAACATGATCTTGCCTTTTCACTTTGGTATGTCATAATTTTGATTAAAACACAAAATAATTTCTTAAGTAGAATGTATAGAGATAAACTGTACTATATATAAAATGAACAAGGAAAGGATGAAATGATGAAACACCTCCATCTGGTGGTACAAACAAAGTGGGGTGAAAAGAACAGAATTTCACTGGAGAAATTCCCTAAATGTATTTGGAGAAAAGACTTTTGTTTTAAAAGGCACAAAGCCGTTCTGAAGATAGCCTGATATTATATGCATTTGTCATCGCTTACCAGGTTGGAGATGGGAGCATTTAGACAAATGAAGCAGTTATGTGTTTGTGCCAGAAGTTACATCCTGATATTATCGTGGATGGAACTCGGTTTAAAGCGTCAGGCCCGTGAACGACTGCTTTAGTGGGTTAAAACTTGGATACAAACTTTTAAGCTTTGTGCACCCTTTTTAGTCACCATGTCCATAGTGCTCAAGTTTCTGTTGAAGGCGGGCTGCCACTAATTTTTTATACCAAACTCAAAATTCAGATTATAAAAACTGTGAGCTTCAGTCATCTCCCCAGTATTTCACAATCATTGCAATAATTACTCAGGATGTAAACTATAATTGTAGTTATTAATGTATTTTGTTTGTGTTTCCTAGGACCCAGTAATCCCAGTCGTCACCATCTGGAATACAGAGCGATCATGCAGGAGATGTCTCCCACTGCTTTTGGTAAAGCAGTTGCAAAAATGAAATGCACTCTTCTTTATTACGAGGCATAAAAGGGGAAATATCTGAATTTGCCTGTGCTGAAAAGATTACATTTGTATTCATAATTATAAACTATATGGTTAAACAATTTTGTCTTTTCCCCCTGTCGTCCCGTGCTCAGGTCTGACGGATTGGGAGGATGATGAGATCCTAGCTTCAGTCCTGGCCGTGTCTCAGCAGGAGTATTTAGACAGCATCAAACAGCGGCAGAGCAGCTCCAGCAGCGTGCACAGAGAGCGAGAGCCTTCCCCAGACAGCAGCTGATACAGACCACCCTCATCTCCCCCACTCTCTCCACTGCCCCTCTCCTTGTCGCATTCACACACCGGAACAAAATAAACACTTTTTAGTTCCCTCACTCTCCCAAATGTGAGTTGAGATCAATTATTGGCTTGTAATGGTATTGAAATCATTTTTTTTTTAAGAACCAAACCAAATTATGCTGGTGTTGATTCTTAAAGTTCCCCTATTATGCTGTTTTGGAGGGGTTTTGTTTTAGCTTTAATCCATTTTATAATATTGTTTACTCCACAATAACCTACCTGGAGTATTTTCTTCTTCCTTTCTTTTATTGACTGAGAGACCAGAGAGACAGAACACTCACACTTCATACATGTGTCAGAAAAAGCATAATAGGGGATATTCAAATCAAGGTTTGTGTGACGGTCTGCATTTACCATCCCAATATTGTGAGCACTTACTGGCCTTTCTAAACAGTTAGCAACAATTCCTTCAACTTGATGTTCAAAATTGCACAATATTCTTCCTGCTGTTTGCGTTTTCTTAGCAAGCTCAAAGTCACCTCAAAGTCTTACGTTGGTCTCTTGATCTGTTAATTTAGCTTTGTCCATTTTTGACAACCTGTATAAAGACTACAACAATGTTTCCCCTGTGGTACAAATTTGTTAAAATCAAAACAAATAACTAAATAATGTCCCTGTCCCTTCATCAAAAGGCTAACATGGCATGTGGATATATAAAAGTTTTGTAAAGCCTGTTCTTTACTGCTAATGACATAATGGTGTAGTTAACTTAATGAGCACTTTTACAAGGAACATAAGGTTTTTGTATTGATCTGCATCATTTACAGGATTTTTTTCTGACCTAATTGAGATGGCAAAATAAAGTTATAATTTTATTTATTTATTATTCAAGTAAATGTCTCTAATATTTCCAAAATAAAACTTACGTTTAATGTCTTGGATAAGTGCTCGTTAAAAACTGCAACTGTGTAAAACTGTCACAGCACGTAATTGAACCATTTCTACTTTTCTTGGCCTGAAAATCCCATTTTAGCCTGAGACCCCTCCCCTCTCCCTTTATCATAATGCATCAAACTTATTTAGCTGCATGTGTAATGACCACCACCAGTTAATATCATCTTAGAAAAAAGTCAATTATATAAAAGGAGAGAAAAAAAGTTGTAAACCTTTCTCCTATTGATTGAATATTGTTGTATTAATAATAATTATGAAGTTTGTTTTATTTGTTTTATTTTCTTGTTTGGGATGAAAATATTTTTTTCTTGGAATAAAAGGAAAATGTTTCTGAACAAAATGATTCTGTATTTTTCCCCTTGTAAGCAAAGATCGCTGCCAATTTTTTGAGTATCATTGCGGTTTCATGCAATACTTGCGATTTTTCAGAGATACACATATTGTTTTAATCCAAATTGTGTATAATATAAAATTACTTAATTTATCATCCATCTGGAATCTAGAGATGTGCTTTATGCGACCATCGGGGTATTGGTAAAGGCGCCATAGCAATGCTATAAAGATAAGTTTATGTATATTATAATGGTCAATAATGCTCAAACGGCGTATATATTTGAATCATCTTTGGGACAGTAAACGTTTCATCTCGTCCATGGGTCATCATGATTACAGGCGGCACAAAACACTTTTCAGGTAAGGTTTATTTATGGCCTGAATGGTCCAAACATCTACAATCTTGTCCATTTTGCTTAAGCAACCTGAACAAGGAAGTGACTGTTTATTCCAGAGATTTTTGTCCAATGACAGGATCGCTCACTCTGACAGAATCTGCTACCATCACTTAGGCCAGTTTATAACATTAGCATATAATTCCGCAGACCTGACTGAGTTAAATTGCAACGTAATTTTGGACAGAAATAGTTGAATCAAAGATACATTAGTGACTTTTTTATTAATTTGGTGAAAAGTAAATTCATTGAACTTACGTGCAGAGTGGGACGCCCTATTTTAAACTTATCTTCGCTACACGCCTCTGTTGTGTAGGCTGGCCGTGGATAGAGTGACACCTTTCTCCGTTCACCGGGGCCTTTCCTCGCCTCTTCTGCGGTCACACAGGCGGGTAGTCTCGGTGGTTATTTACCTGCAGTAGTAACACACACAGCCTTGACGAAATCAGGCCCTGCTCTCCTCAGGGGACAGCGGGCTGTGGAAGCAGCCATGGCTGAAGGAAACTTCACCAAGGTTGGGGAGGAGAAGGAAGGCAGTCGGTCTCAGAGTGAAGGTAAATAGGAGATAATAACTGCTTTTGATTATTGTCGTTTTCACAAACTTGTGTTTCATTGAGCCATAGCACAGTAATGCACTGATCCCATGTTTCTGGAATAACTTCTACAGTGGTTTGCAGGAGCAGCTGCTAGCACAACAGGAGGTATTAGCTCTGATTAACAAACCAGTGTCTTCTGTGGTGTTTTGGATCAGGAAACACATTATACATGTTTATATGAGGGACACGTCACCGTGAGGGAAATAATGCAAACAGCGCTAACTACTGATGCCTGTGGTTCCAGCTAACGCCACGACTTGTCTCTTCAGCGGGACATGTTTAAGCTAACACATTCTTCATGTAAACTGTTAGTATTCGTAAAGCAATGCTTAAATCTATTTGAACTACACTCGAACTATAAATGCATGCTATCCAAAGCCATCTGTTTTTGTTTAACTAAAGTTATCTACTGGAGACCCTTCAAAAACGTTATATATATATATTATATATATATATATATATATATATATATATATATATATATATATATATATATATATATATATATATATATATATATAAAAATTGTCCACTCACCTTTGGCCCTCCGCGGGCGGTTATCCCTCTCTAAGCTCGGGTCCTCTACCAGAGGCCTGGGAGCTGGAGGGTTCTGCGCAGTATCTTTGCTGTTCCTAGCACTGCACATTTCTGGACCGAGATGTCCGAGGTTGTTCCGGGGATCCGCTGTAACCATTCATCTAGCTTCGGGGTCACTGCCCCGAGTGCACCGATCACCACGGGCACTACTGTCACCTTTACCCTCCAGGCCCTCTCCAGCTCCTCTCTGAGACCTTGGTATTTCTCAAGCTTTTCATGTTCTTTTTTCCGGATGTTACCATCGCTTGGAATTGCCACGTCCACCACCACGGCTGTCCTCTGCCCTTTGTCTACCACCACGATGTCAGGTTGGTTCGCCATTACCATTCGGTTGGTCTGTATCTGGAAGTCCCACAGGATCTTTGCACGCTCATTCTCCACCACCTTTGGAGGAGTTTCCCACTTAGACCTTGGGGTTTCCAGCCCATACTCTCCACAGATGTTTCTGTACACTATGCCAGCCACTTGGTTATGGCGTTCCATGTAGGCCTTCCCTGCCAGCATCTTGCACCCTGCAGTTATGTGTTGGATTGTCTCAGGTGTCTCTTTGCACAACCGACACCTTGGGTCTTGTCTGGTGTGGTATATCTGGGCCTCTATCGCTCTGGTGCTCAGTGCCTGTTCCTGTGCAGCCATGATGAGTGCCTCTGTGCTGTCCTGTAGACCAGCCCTTTCTAGCCATTGGTAGGACTTCTTGAGATCAGCCACTTCTGTTATGCTCCGGTGGTACATGCCGTGTAGGGGCTTGTCCTCCCATGATGGGCTCTCCTCCAGCACCTCCTCATCTCGCCACTGCCTGAGTCATTCACTGAGTACGTCATCCGTTTTGGCCTTCTCCATGATGTAGTTATGGAGTTTGGATGTTTCGTCCTGGACAGTGGCTCTCACGCTCACTAGTCCTCGGCCTCCTTCTTTACGGCTTACGTACAGTCTCAGGGTGCTGGATTTGGGATGGAACCCGCCATGCATGGTAAGGAGCTTTCAAGTTTTAACATCCGTGGTCTGAATCTCTTCCTTTGGCCACCTGATTATTCCTGCAGGGTATCTGATCACTGGCAGGGCGTAGCTGTTAATTGCCCGGGACTTGTTCTTGCCATTGAGCCGGCTTCTTAGGACCTGCCTTACTCAGCTGGAGGTATTTGGCAGTTGCCGCTTTCCTCGTCACCTGTTCGAGGTTGCCATTTGCCTGTGGTATACCGAGATACTTGTAACTGTCCTCAACGTCTGCTATTGTTCCCTCTGGGAGTGAGATCCCTTCTGTGTGGACTACCTTGCCTCTCCGAGTCACCATCCTGCTACATTTCTCGAGCCCGAATGACATCCCGATGTCATGGCTGTAGATCCTGGTTGTTTGGATCAGAGAGTCGATGTCTCTCTCGCTCTTGGCGTACAGCTTGATGTCATCCATGTAGAGGAGGTGACTGATCTTTGCTCCGTTCCTGAGGCGGTATCCATAGCCAGTCTGGTCAATTACTTGGCTTAGAGGGTTGAGGCCTATGCAGAACAGTAGTGAGGACAGAGCATCTCCTTGGTAGATACCACATTTGATGGTCACTTGTGTGAGCGGCTTGCCATTTGCCTCAAGGGTGGTCTTCCACATTCCCATTGAGTTTGCAACGAAGTCCCTTAGAGCCCTGTTGATATTGTACAACTTCAAGCATTCCATGATCCATGTGTGTGGCATTGAGTCGTAGGCTTTCTGGTAATCAATCCAGGCTGTGCACAGGTTGGTGTGTCGTGACCGGCAGTCTTGGGCGACTGTTCTGTCAACTAGGAGCTGGTGTTTGGCTCCTCTGGTGTCCCTACCAATGCCCTTCTGTGCTGTGCTCATGAATTGTTCCATATGCCCACTTATCTTAGCCGCAATGATGCCTGACATGAGCTTCCATGTTGTGGAGAGACAGGTTATTGGCCGGTAGTTGGAGGGGACTGCACCCTTGACAGGGTCCTTCATGATCAGGACCGTTCGCCCTTTGGTTAGCCATTCTGGGTGAGTCCCATCTCTCAGCAGCTGGTTCATTTGTGCTGCTAGGCGCTCATGGAGTGATGTGAGTGTCCTTAGCCAGTAGGCATGGACCATATCAGGGCCAGGTGCTGTCCAGTTTTTCATACCTGAGACTCTTTCTCGGATGTCTGCCTCTGTGATGGTAACGGAGTTCTGTTCTGGGAGGTGGCTGTGCTCCTCTCTCAGGGACACCAGCCATTGTGCACTTCTGTTATGTGCTGCATCCTTCTCCCATATGTTCCTCCAGAACTGTTCAGTTTCCAGCCTCGGTGGATCTGCTCCCCTGTTGTTACCCTGCCACTGAGCGTACACCTTCGCAGGTTGTGTTGCGAACAGCCTGTTCACCCTTCTGGCTTCATTCATATATATATATATATATATATATATATATAAAATGGAAAAACTAAACTTGTTCACGACTTTAACGTTCGGTTTAACTAGCTGAGGTTAAGTTTATTATGAAGTAGTAATACAAGTTCTGGTACAGTATTTTAGTTACTACGCGTTCTATATTCGTCTAATTATTGAAATAGATTTGTGATTTGGCTTTGGGTGGAGTCTGAAACCCCAGTTTATGCCAACACTGGGTTTGCATTGTATTTCCCTGTCTGCAGTTGATCACACACCTTTACAATGACAGCTCACAAATAATTCCAGCCTTACGTCATCAATCAACATTAATTTGTATGGCACAATTTGTGTACAAGGAAATTCAAAGTGGTTCAAGAGCAATTAAAAACAGAACATTACTTTACAGCTATTTAATAATAAAACAGTACAGCGTAAAAAAAATCTTATTAAAATGGTGCTTGTGTAGGCTCTCAGTTGAACAGGGATTATTCAAAACAAAGGAAAATAATAGATTAATTCATTTATTCGCCATTTGCAGTAAAACCACATTGGAATACATTTGTAAAAGTCCTCAGTGTGCACAAGACAGGTACATAAACTAGAACAAGATGAAAATACAGAAATAAAACAAACAGAACAGTAAACAATTGACACTGTGAGATGAGCTCGATCGACTAAAACATAACGTCGGTAAAAGCTGGTAACTGTACAGATGGGTGAGCAACCTTCCTTTGTCTTTTATCAAAATGGTGGTTTTATAACAGTGCAAAATAAATCTTATGTCATTATGGTTTAAATATGTCAGTCCATTCCATTATCATATTCCTTAATTGACTGCATGTACAACGTAACTATCAATGTCTTGACTGTCCATGTATACTGATGGCATATAAACTCCTATGTTTTATCTCAGTTTTATCTCAATCCCATTTGGGACTATGTTTTATTGTTTAGTGGTGCCATGGCAACTCATTTAATTTATTTATGTATCTTTTATTTACCCTGTTAAAGCTGTTAAATGGGTATAGTTTATAAAATTCTAAAACTAAATCAATCAAATGTGGATGCAGCAACAACCTTTTATAAAAGGACTTCTTGCACAAATAGTTTTTCAAAACAAACTCTTCAGGCAGTTCCAATCAAGCAAGATAATGAGCAGATAATCAGGCAGTTTAACGAGTATTTTTTATAAATAAAAGTACTACTTTGTAGCAGACAAAGTTACAGTGAGTAGGTTGGAGGGTAGCTGGCAACTTAAGAGCAGCAGAAGAGGCTGCATATGAATAATATCCCCATCATCTAAAACACGACATACTGTGTCTTGTGTAATTCAATGGAAGGCAGGATTTATTTCAGTATTTTCTTAAAATCTAGGAAAATTAAGCACGGCCTTATTTGCTGTGGGTGCACTAGTATACATCAATTAATTAGCTGGCTTTAGATTACTGTCAGGAATGAACCAGACAGAGACGGATCGTGGTGTGCCAAACTCTGGAAGTTTATTTTGGTTTCTCTCAAGTTCCAGTGGTTTCTGATGTTTCTTTCATTGAGAACAAAAAACGAAAAATCGCTTACTGCACCTTTAATGGTTACAATAAAAAGCCAGGGGTCAGAATGGAACCTTGTAGCAACCTTTCATTTAAATGTAAACATCTTTCTCAAACCATTAAAAAAGCAACTCAATCCTGTGTCAAGGTTTGAGAATGTAATTTTTGCTGTTTATAATATGCTGAGTGTAATATTACATAATTTTGAATATGTCAAACCTCATTTTAAAACTGTGAACATCCCAAATCCAGTCAAAACGTTTTACAGTCTGTGTCTAGAGTAAGAACCTTATTACTAAAGCATTTGGACACCCTTGGTTTCGAATGATCGAGATTTCACCAACTGCACCTTAGCAGAGTTAATCTCAAATCCATGATTCATATAGTTTAGTGGTATTCTAAATGACTCTTTAGACAGTAGTTACTCACATATCACTTGTTATTTCAGCGAACAGGAAGTTGAAGTACATCTCTCTGGCAGTACTGGTGGTGCAGAACGCCTCTCTGATTCTGTCCATTCGCTTTGTACGAACTATCCCTGGAGACCGCTTCTATGCCACCTCCGCTGTGGTCATGGCCGAGGTGCTGAAGGTGCTCACATGCCTGCTCATAATTCTGCTGCAGAAGAGAAGTGAGTAACACACACGCACACACTTTTTTTGTGTATAGAGCCAAAGCCTACTCTGGTTGTCAGGGGAGCAATTAACCAGAACATTTATAGATGGCCTGAGAGAGATTTTTCTGTCTTTGCTGTTGTAGCTGTAACTGTTGTTGCATACATTGTTTTACACTTACATCAAGGCTTTCTTAATCATAGTTAAGTTTTCAGTATATCAATTCTCCATACATTTACAAGGGATGGGAATCACCCTCTAGATATTGTGATCCATCAGATAATTGAAAGATTAGACTGGACTTTCTGCAACAATATGTTTGCTCATGAACCTCCAGAAATAAATGTAAAGTACACACACGTCATCATCAAAACATTACGGTTGTCAAAAATATTGTACAAGAAGAAATGTTTGCTTTTTCTGAACACACAACAAAATGTCAAATAAAAGTGAAAAACCACATACTTATTTGTCTATTATGCAGGTTCAAAATAAACCCAAAATCATATCTCAAAATCTGATTATATAGTATACATTTGATTTTAGATTTATCTTGTAATACAGCCATTCCCAAACTCAGTAACACCGAGGCCCCCTTAAAAATCTGACGGGTCTGCGTGGCCCCCCAAAATAATAACCAAGAAGACAACATTAAGAATAGGCTCTTCTGGTTATTTTATTTTGGGGAAATAGCTTCTGCTACAAACATTGTAATACAAAAATGATTACAGTGGATTATTCAAGTCAAATAATGAACACAAATATTTTAATATTACAAACAAAACATTATAAATTTAACATTAAATAATTATATATATATATATATTTTTTTTTTTTTTATGACCTCTCGCGGCCCCCCTGCAGTACCCTCGCGGACCCCACTTTGGGAGACACTGTTGTAATACATTAAATACCGTGAATGCCAGACTACAGCTCAAATTAACCCATTTAGTGATACAGCCAATGTTTGTTTTTGTATTGTGGCGTTTAATGTATGTGATCAACGCAGAGAGGGATAACACTATTGACTTTACTGACGTCTCCACCCAGTCCTAGTAGCTAGAGGACGCACGTTTATTGTCCACTTTGATAGATAAATTAGTCCTGACATCCTGTTGCCTCCTTCACAAAGCCAACAGTGCGTTTCAACACCTCGTCAATGAATCATGTCGTGACCAAATTCATAGAATGTAAATATTAGAGGTGCAACGGTTCATCACTGATCCGTGATCCGTTCGGTTCAACGTCTTCGGTTCGGTACAGACGTGATCCGCGGTTTGATTTATGAAAAAAAAGTTGTGCGCACGTTGTTCAGTCCACACACAGCGTGGTCACGGCGAGCAGAGGAACGAAGGAGCTTGAAAGCCCCGCGTCATTTAAATCCCCAGTATGAGAGCATTTTGGCTTCACTGTAACTATACTGATAATTAATATTCGACAAAACTGTCAGTGTGTAAATACTGTGGCAAAAGAAAGACATGAGTGAAAAAAAGCGTCTAAACGACCGCTTATTGTCGTGGCATTTAAGCAGCTCCTTTACGCACAGTCAGACCGGGCTAAAGTCAACTCTCCCGCGCATCCTCAGCTGCGCTCACGACTGACGCTTGGACGTCCCGCGGAATCTATAATAGATCCATGAGCGGAACGGAGAACTTCATCACAGCAGACTGGGAGAGGAAGAGTCTGGTGCTGCAGACATATGGAGCTATTATTGTTTCAATAATATTTGTGTGTGCGTAAAAAGATTTGTGCGTGCGTAACCAGATTTGTGCGTGCGTACCCAGATTTGTGTGTGCGTAACCAGATTTGTGCGTGCGTAACCAGATTTGTGTGTGTGTAAAAGAAATATTTGTGCGTGTGTAAATAGATTTGTATGTACGTATCAAGATTTGTGTGTGCGTAAAAAGATTTGTGTGTGCGTAGAAAGATTTGTGTGTGTGTGTAAAGAAAAAAAAAGTACGTTTTACACACAAGTTTTTTTTTTACACACGAATCTTTTGACGCAGTCCTGCCTTCGCAGATTCGCAAGTGTAACTTGGACTGTGTGCGTGCGTAAACAGATTTGTGTGTGTGTAATTTGACATTTGTATCTGTAGCAGAACAATCTGTGTGTAAATAACCGCGTTGTACAAAGAGAAGAACGGGAAAAAGCCTAAGTGCTACGCACAGGCTCTGTTTTACACACGAATCTCTTTTTGACACACCTCTGCCGCCAAGCGTGTGTCAAAAAGATTTGTAAGTGTAATGTGGTTGTTCTAGCAGTACACCAGCAGATGGTGCTGTTGTAGCTGGTTATTACCTACACGCAAGCAAACCAAAACCTACTGCCTTGACAAGACACACTACCGCAGCTGTTTATGATATTTTTTTCCTATTTTCAAAATCCTGTCATTCACACCACTGTATGATACATGGATCTATTATAATAACTGGATAGGGTGTTACTAGCTTGGAGCTGAAGGATTCTCACGTACTGCAGACTAAATTCACGTTGGCTACACAGACATTTTCCCCATAGAACTCAAAGTAAACTAAAACAGCTGACAGATAACCTACAGCTTTCATAAAGGTCGGATTTTTTGGGAATTTTAGTGTTCCTTGTCATCCTGAACTTTTCTTCTTCTTAAATCCTTCGGTTTTCTCTATCTACACTTGTTGGTTTGCTTGCGTGTAGGTAATAACCAGCTACAACAGCACCATCTGCTGGTGTACTGCTAGAACAACCACATTACACTTACAAATCTTTTTGACACACGCTTGGCGGCAGAGGTGTGTCAAAAAGAGATTCGTGTGTAAAACAGAGCCTGTGCGTAGCACTTAGGCTTTTTCCCGTTCTTCTCTTTGTACAACGCGGTTATTTACACACAGATTGTTCTGTTACAGATACAAATGTCAAATTACACACACACAAATCTGTTTACGCACGCACACAGTCCAAGTTACACTTGCGAATCTGCGAAGGCAGGACTGCGTCAAAAGATTCGTGTGTAAAAAAAAAAACTTGTGTGTAAAACGTACTTTTTTTTTCTTTACACACACACACAAATCTTTCTACGCACACACAAATCTTTTTACGCACACACAAATCTTGATACGTACATACAAATCTATTTACACACGCACAAATATTTCTTTTACACACACACAAATCTGGTTACGCACGCACAAATCTGGTTACGCACACACAAATCTGGTTACGCACGCACAAATCTTTTTACGCACACACAAATATTATTGAAACAATAATAGCTCCATACAGACACGCCCCCTCTACGAAAGTCACACAGTCACACAGCGCAGGTACTGACACAAGCAGCGGAGGAATGGAAGACAAAGGCCCAGTACTAATATCCCAGTCACAATTGATAATGCCAAAAATTAATTAAATGCAGTGAATGAGGCTGGACTGGGCCCAGAATGGACCGGCTCCTTGGGAGGATCAGGAAGGTGGTTTAATATGAGGGTAAATACTAGGGATGTAACGATATTGACAATATCGCGATATCGCGGTAGTAAAAGTGCCTCGATATTGTCGTGGTCTTGTTACGATATTTAAACGGACAGTTATCCGTCAAAAACAACTAGAATAAGTCGGATCCCGCGGAAAAAAACATTGTAAACTACATAGACCATGATCCTTTGCGCTGTGTCGTCACAACCAATGAGCTGTTGAGCCAATAGGAGCGCATGTTTTACGCTGTAGTGTCCACACAACAAGTGAACATGGCGGTTAGCGGCGACCAAAGTGGGGCTCCCGTGGATACTGATGAAAACGCCCCCGAAGTTGTGCCAGCCCCTGCAGCTTTTAAAGGTCCTATATCACGCTTTTCTTCATGTTTCACACTCAATCCTATACACATGTGTGATATTAATGTGTATGATACACCACACAACAATCAAAGCTTGTGAGATTAGAGCCATCTCTTGTATAGAGGTGACGTCACCTCGACTCAAACGAGCTGATCCAGAGAAGAGTCTGCTCCTCTGCCTGTGAGCCCGCCTCCCCCCGCCCGCACGCTGACGTAGCATCACGCTTTTGTCGTTTATCATCTGTACTTAGTCATTTCATACATAAGAATAAACTTTTTCCAACAATGACAATCCGTCACATCGAGCCCTATGTCCTCGATGCACAATCACACCCTAGTTATTTAGTTTACAGAAGTATACAGCGAATTAGCGTCACTACTTACAGATCGAGGGGGTCCGAGTTACGTCTTTTACCGTGGGAATAACGTGTTTCCACATCAGCCTTTGAGTAAGTCCAGTTCCATTGTCCCTGTAGTTCTGGAACAGTCTCAGTGAAGTGTCGCAGATGAACCGGTATTATAATAGATCCATGAGATGAACAGATGAAAAAAGTCGAGCCGCTTTCTTCCTCTTAGGGCCAAATAGTGTGTCACATATTTACACCCATAACACACTTCATTCAAGTTGACGTGATCCTAACACTTTTAGTTGCTGACAAAAGCATAAAAACAGCAGCTCTATGTGGTGTCCGCGAGACCAGACCACAGACGCTGGACTCGGGAGCCGGAGCCTGTGCGCTCTGATTCGCTGTTTTGATCCGTCAATCACCTCCCGCCGGCTTTTAATTCATTTTTATTTTTATTATTTTTGACAAAAAACAGCATACTAATTGTGTATTGTTTACCCCGTTTTGATAAAAGTATTTAACAACTATTTTAAATACAAAGCAAACGGGGTCATGCGCGTCATCAGTGTGGTTTTCGTCACTGAAGTGGACCCGAGCGTTTCTGTGCCTCACGCTGGGGAAGGAGACAGATTGCTCTCTTACAAAAGATTGACAGAATCAATGAATAAACTACTGTGGGCTTGTGTATGAAGGCCAAATAGCATTGTAATCATGTTTAAAGCAGAGAAAAGTCAAAAACCGTGATATGGGCCCTTTAAGTCAGACGTATGGCAGCATTTTGGTTTCGCTGTGTCAAAAAATGCTAAAGGAGAGAGGGTGGCGGACAAACAATGGACCATGTGCAAACACTGTCACGCGAAATTACGAAACACCACGGGAAACACCAGCAACATGCGGAGCCATCTGACGACCCATCACCGTGAAAAGTTTACAAAGAAAGTCACGTCAGGTCAAAAAACCTTACAGGAGGCATTTTTGACAACTATGCCACACAACAGCTCAAGAAATCACGAGGTACATCGCGGAATACATAGCGTGTGATTTACGTCCCTTTTCTGCAGTAGATGGAAAAGGATTTAAAAGGTTAGTGGCTAAGCTTGAGCCAAAGTATAAGATGCCATCGCGGGCTCATTTTAGTCAAACTGTGTTCCCTGTTCTTTACCGTGAGACAAAAGAAGAAGTTATGCTGAGCCTTAAACAGTCAGAGAGCATCGCTATTACCACTGATGGATGGACCTCACGAGCGACCCAGAGTTACATTACTATTACGGCGCATGTTATAACGAATGAATGGGAGATGAAGAGTTTTGTTTTACAAACAAGGCCGCTAAGCGAATCACACACTGGCGCAAACATAGCCGAAGTGCTCAAATCTGCAGTCAAAGACGAGTGGAGGCTGGACAAGATTAGCACAAGGATTGCTGTAGTTACTGACAACGCAAGCAACATGCGAGTATCAGTAAACGAAGCCGGGCTGTCTCCTCACATAAGATGCTTCGCGCACACATTAAACCTGGCCTCCCAAGCAGGTTTAAAGGTAAACGCTGTGAACCGTCTCCTCGGTAGAGTCAGGCGTGTGGCAAGTTTTTTTCATCGCAGTCCTACAGCCACAGCCGTGCTGACCAGCAAACAAAAACTACTCAATCTCCCTGTGCACAAATTGATCATTGATGTAGCGACTAGATGGAATAGCTCACTGGATATGGTTGAGCGTTACCTAGAACAACAACAAGCTGTGGCTGCAGCCCTTCTGAGTGATGAACTGAGACAAAAGTCACGTGAAATAGACACTTTGGACACATCTGACATTATAAATGCTGAGGACCTTGTCAAGCTTCTTTTGCCAATAAAAAAAGCCACAACTGTGCTCTGTGATGAGTTGCAACCGACAATATCTCTCATTTCACCACTAAAACAAATGATTCAAGACGGCATGGCCACAGATAACCACGACTCAAATGCCATTGCTCAGATGAAGACAGCCATACTGAAGGATCTCTCTGACCGATACCAAGGAGAGGATGAAAAGTTCTTGCAGGAGAGCAGTGCCTTGGATCCACGCTTTCGCACCTTGCAACATCTAAGCAGCAGAGTGAGGGAAGACGTCTTCGAACGAATAAAGTTGAAAGCATCACAGATGCAACAACAACAACAGGTGAATATTTTTAATGCTGTGCTTTAGAGAAATGTAATAAAATGTAACAAAATACTAATATAATGTCTCTTTATCATTTAAGAACCAGGGCCAAGATGTGCTGCCACAGAGTCCACACCCAGCAGATCTGGACAGCAGTGAGAGCCTCGTGCCTCCTCCTAAGAAGCATGCCCTTGAGGACCTCCTTGGGAGTTCCTTCAGCAGTAAAGGTGAACTCCAGACAGGTGGAATCCAGAGAGAGATGGACTCTTTCTTGAAAGAAACAATCGTTTCTCTATCTGCTTGTCCTCTTAAGTGGTGGAGAGACCATGCAGGGCAATATCCCACTCTTTCTTCATTAGCGAAAACCTACCTATGCATACCTGCTACCTCAGTACCTAGTGAGAGAGTGTTTTCCACTGCAGGGGATATTGTAAATGCACAAAGGTCTCTTCTTCTCCCAAGCAATGTAGATCTTTTGATCTTTCTGAAGAAGAACCTCAACATAAGCTCTTAGGTTACCCGTGTTTTTTCAGTTGGCCTTTTGCCTGACTATTTTATTTAAGTTTAGATTATTGTTTATTATTTATTTGGTTGGGGCAGTGCATGTTAATTAATAGACATGCATCTATTGTACATGTTTGTGGATGTTTTCAACAGGCGGTTTTTATTTGCCTACTACTTTTCGTTTTATGCTTTTTTACACATTTGAACCAGACTTGAGCTTTGTTTGCACTTGAAGGGAATTCCCTTTTGTTTTTTGTTTACAGTTCTACAGCTCAACGGTATATTGATGTTAATGACTTGAGGTTGCACTTTAAAAGCATTAAGTGATGCTGCATGAATATAACAATAAATGCCCTGACTGGCAAAAGTTGCAGTTTAAATGTCAGTTTTTTATTATCATCATCATAAACTCAATATTGTGAGCTATTTTACAATACCGTGAGCCTCTCCACAATATCGCAATAAATATTGTACCGTGAGCTCAATAACGAAATCGTATCGTATCGTGAGATTATGATATCGTTACATCCCTAGTAAATACCCTCATAAAGTGCCTTCTTATGTTGCACTTTGTGTTGTTTTTCACTGATTATGTTAAATAGACATAATTGGATGGATGGAATATGCCTTCCATCCATCCATCCATTTTATTCCCCTTAATTCATTTCTAGGTCAGGGGGGGGGGGGGGGCAGTCAGAGCAGGTGCCGAGTCCACATGAGCTGTGTTTATTAAAAAGACAAAACTTTTTTTTTGAAAAATGAACCGAAAAATTTACCGAACCGAGGTACGAACCGTACTGTGATTTTTTTTTCAAACCGTTGCACCCCTAGTAAATATTAACAGACGTAGTCAAGCCTATCTGTGTACTTTTTCACTTTTAGTCATGCTTACGACCATAAACATATATATATTATTTTTTAAAGGACTAAAGCTGGATGAATACTTATGCAGGCCCAAATGTTCTCTTTTCTAGTTTCTGTAAACAAATCAAAATAAAATCTTTAAGTTAAAGCTGTATTAATTATTTTGAGAAGCATTGTGCGTGTCATATCAATATGAACAGTTGCAGTCAAACTGGTAGAACAGTGATGCAGAAATCCCACATTTCTGGTTCCCCACAAAAGATTGGTATGTTGTTGTATGACTGTCACAAAACATGGCCGCCATGGTGCGGGTTTATGCTCTCCTTTTTTTTTTCATTGTAACTTTTATGTCACAACTGTAACACACACATTTTTCTTAAAGGATGATTATCAGAATGACAAAAGTTAAGTCAAAGCAATGAAAAATTCAAAGATAAATGTATCTTTCTCCACAAAAACACTATCATGGTAAGGGAGCTTCATTAAGCATTTAAAAAGCTTTGTAAATCAAAAATGGCATTGTGCCATAAAGTAAATAAAGACCAGAATAAAGCTTGATAATTCCTAAATGGAAACAGCATTGTTCAGAATATTTCCTCCAACCCTGGTAAACCTAAACACATTTGGAAAACCTTTTGTTTTCAACCTTTTAACTTGAGCTCTCTTGTCTTGCAATGTGCTCTCGTGTTCCTCCAGTGAACGTAAAGCAGACAGCCCTGTTCTTGTTTGACTCCATCGTGGTGCAGTACAAGGACACTCTGAAGCTGGCGGTGCCGTCGCTCATCTACACTCTTCAGAACAACCTGCAGTACATCGCCATCTCCAACCTCCCAGCAGCCACCTTCCAGGTACCACTCACCCTCAGAGAATAGATCCTCTCGTCTTTTAGGGAGCGCAGATCACCCCGATCACTCTTCTAATGTACTATGTAATATGGGACTGGCCCACTACAAGTGTTTAGGAAATAGATTAGGGGGTAATAGTTTTTTGTGTGTTAATTTAAACCCTTGTCTTATCTTCTGGGTTAAAACAACCCCCGCAGCAGTGAAGTAGAAGTAGAAGTGCTAAGCTATTTGTTCTTTTGATGCCGCTGACTTGTGGATCTGCACTTGCCATGCTCCACATCTCTTCCTGGGCGACAGGTGACGTACCAGTTGAAGATCCTCACCACAGCTCTGTTCTCGGTGCTGATGCTGAGGAAGTCCTTGTCGCGGGTTCAGTGGGTCTCGCTGCTGCTGCTCTTCACTGGAGTCGCCGTTGTTCAGGTCAGTGCATTATTAATCAATTTCATTTACAAATGATCAACATTTTTATTAGCTATGTATCAAATGCCTTGATAAAGTCCAAGTCTAAATAAGTTTAATTAATTAAATATTTATTTTATTTTTAGAATAGCTTTATTTTTTTTTTGATTCATGGTTTTGTATTTTATACACTATAATATGCAACATATACAGTACTTTATTTTTTCTAAATAATAATTTGGGGTCAGAGTTATTTTACATTCAGTCACTGTGGCATTGGAAAATGTAATTAAAGTGAGTCTGTAACTAAATGAATTACAAATTTTAGGAAATGTGTTAAATTGACCTGGCCTTAAATGTTGATATAAAATAAGTCATTTTATGAATTCTAATATTATGGGCAAGTCCCGCCTTCCCTTCTCTTAGCTATAGCTCAGAATCCACGATGCCGTCGAAGTTAACCAATCGAGTCATGCCAAGGGCTGTCAATCATTGGCGCTGATGCTCGTAGCTGCTCGTGTGCTAAGTTGTTTGTTTTTGTGGAACCTCCGAATCAAGCCACTATTAGGCTGTTAAGAATTCTGAACATCCGCACTGAGTTACCCATTTATATACTGAACCTATATCCATAATCATTTATATACTGAACCTATATCCATAATCATTTATATACTGAACCTATATCCATAATCATTTATATACTGAACCTATATCCATAATCATTTATATACTGAACCTATATCCATAATCATTTATATACTGAACCTATATCCATAATCAGATCCTCTAAAGATGTGTCCTATAATGTTCAATTCATGATAATAGCTACTTCCGGGTTTGCCGCAATCGCTTTTTTTGTGCATACAAAAATTATTTTTTTCATTAAAACGTTAACAAATAATTCTGAAAACCTCCGTGCATGTGTATTAATAATGTACGTGTTACGGAAACGTAGGCGTAGACCAATCAGAAAGGAAAGGGGAGGGAGCTTGCGTCGTTTAAAAAAAAAAAAAAACGTCTCTCTTTCTGACAAACTCCAGACAATCATTTTAATAAGATTATCGATCTCAAGAAGATTGATTGGAGGGAGAGGTTTGGGAAAGGGCCTTGTGTGTAATGCACCTCCTTGTGGCTCACGCAGGTACAGCAGGAGGGGAAGAAGGAGTCCTCCGTGTCAGACAGCTCCTCTCAGAACTATGTGGTGGGGCTGGTTGCAGTGGTGATCAGCTGCCTCTCCTCTGGTTTTGCTGGAGTTTATTTTGAAAAGATTCTGAAGGGCAGCTCAGCATCTGTGTGGTTGCGAAACGTCCAGCTCGGAGTATTCGGCACAGCCCTGGGACTGCTGGGAATGTGGTGGAACGATGGAACTGGAATCGCAAACAACGGCTTTTTCTTTGGCTACACCTCCATGGTCTGGTGAGTCATTTGTCAGAGGCATGAACCTTGTTCCCTCTGATCATTCTTTAATTTAGGTAAACGCACAAACTCCTTGAGCATTTTCATCTCTGCATACATCAGTGTTATATTCACTCGTGTGAAAGGAATTTTATACAATGCATCATTATCCCTTTAAAACAAATGATCTTAAAAGGTATACTCTCAATAACACACACTGTCAACACCCAGTATACAGTTGTGTTCTAATGAACACAATATGAAAATGCTTGGTACAAACCTCACCAAAAATGTTCTGGCTCTACTGCAACACTGATGCATCAAATAAAATCGATGCTTCCCCTCTCCTCACAGAAAAGTCCAGCCCATCACTGTGGCCTCTAGCGTTCTCAGGGCTCTCTCATCGAAACCAAATACTTGAAAAAAGTGATAATTATTTTTGATAATATTTGATTAAACACAACTAGTAACATACTCAAATGTATTTAAATTAATGTGGTAGGATTTTACATGAACAATTCTTCTTACTTCTCTAGGTGTGTGATCTTCAACCAAGCATTCGGGGGCCTCCTGGTGGCCATGGTGGTGAAGTACGCTGACAACATCCTCAAAGGGTTTGCCACCTCCTTCTCCATCATCGTGTCCACTGTGGCGTCCATTTACCTGTTCGGCTTCCACGTGGATCTGATGTTTACGGCGGGGGCAGGGATGGTTATCGGAGCCGTCTACATGTACAGTTTGCCCAAAGCTCCCAGCATACTCGCCGGCATAGGGACAGGGGCTGTAATGGAAAGTGATGATAATAGGAATGTGGGAATGTCCAAAAATGGAGGAAGCTTGACGACAGAAGAGAACGGTGAAATGGACTCGTTTCTCCCAAAGTCAGTTCTTAGCAAATAAATTTGATCTTCAGTCTTTTTTGGGCTGCACACTCTGTGAACCAATCACAGTGCTCTCAGTTTTGTCACATGACCGTGCATATAGAAGATGGTCAAGGTGACACTCTTTATCAATCAAATTTAATTGTGCAGATGTGTTTGGCCAGATGAGGCTGTGATTGGTTTGTAATCCTTTGCTTTTTCTCTTTCTCTCTCTCTTTAAAATAACTGGAACTCTCACTAACATTGCTTTCCTTTTGGTCTAAAGACTAACGCTTCAGTTGGACTTGTATTCACAAAAAATATCAAAATGACGTGAGTCTGAATCCTGGACAGGAACACCCAGGGATTACACGCTGCAGAGTTCAGATGCATCTATTTAATCTCCAGACTCTTTACTTTTTGTGAAACAACTCTTTGACGAAGTCCACATGGAGACGGCCAACGTGTTCATTCATTTTTCTGAGAACACACTCGCTGCTTGCATCTTCTGCAGCTCCACGTTGACAGAAAAGCCTGTGTCTCCATGTGGACAGCCGTCTGCTCTTTTCTGCTTGAGTTTGGGATTTCAAAGCACAAATGGAGCAAAAAAATCAGACAAACTGAACAACTGAGGGACTTTAAGGTTTGCCTCTTTGCCTTAAATCTTCTCTTGCCGATTGATTGAATGAATGAATGTCTTCTGCTGATTTATAAATGATTGGTTTAATTCCAGTGGCGTCCGTCTGCAGCAGATAAGTTTTGCACTGAGAAAATACATATTTATTTATTAATCATATTTAATGTCACACAATGAAAACCAAAAGAACTTATTTTATGTTGCTGGATATTAACTATATTTGATGGATTTTAAGTTACTTTAACTTTTAAGTTAAGTTAATATGAAAAAAAATATTTAATAAAAACCATTAAGAAGCTCACAGCTTATCTTAAACATACACTAATACGAGTCATATATGCCATTTTAAATGATTTATTTTTATACATGAATAGAAAGAAAAATCTCAATCTAACTTTTGCTGCAGCAGCTTTGGTGCCTTCCTTTCAGCCATATTCACTTTGTACACTCTGTCTCAATCTTATGGTGGGAAATTAACTTTTGGAGGTGGAGCTCTCGTCACAGACGCAGGGCGAGAGTCATTTGCTCGTTGATTGGAGCACGCCTTTTTGAAATAAAAAATAGTCAAAAAAACTTTTATGAATGTGTCACTTTGGGAGAAATGTAGCAATACGTTTGTGTTTGTTCTGAAATGGATATTATATTTTAGCTTGACAAAAGGGAACAGAACACAACACAGACCTCTAGTGTTGGAAACTAGAATTGATTTTGTATCTTTGCCTTTGTGATTCTCTGGTTCAGAATATTAACAGGATTTGGGATCTCGGTACTTTTTTATTAGCTTAATGTTGATCAATTCTAATCATTTGCTTTCTTCCAAAGTGACGTATGTATAATTCTTTATTTTACTTGAATCAAACTGTAAAAAAATGTTTGTTGATTTTGTGTAGAATACTTTATTTATACACCAGGCGTTTACAGGGAAGGGACGTGTGAACATTATGACCGACTAAACAAAAGAATTCCCAGAGTGCAGCATGAACTGAAGTGTGGGACGCACAATGGCTTGTGGCTTTGTTCTAAAGTCAAGTTGGTCCTGTGATCACGCAGGTTTTTAAGTTTTCTTTCCCTCCTGTTATATCTTGAAAAAAACTAACTTAAACAAACTGAAAACTAAACATTCTGAAATTACTGACAGAAAATGAATGTTATGTTACATTCATTCAAAGTCTTTCCATTGTTGGCAAACTGCAAATATGTGTTTACTTCTAGAAGACACTAAAACATGACCTTGCCTTCAGCAGTAGTGACGGCTTTAATGCTTGTAGATAACACGGCCTTCTTTCCTCATTTTGTGTGCCACACTGTGTGAAGGATAATATGTTCTTGGGTTTATTCTGAGATTATGTGAGAATTTCCTGTTTACTCCTGTTTTGTTGGAAATTGTGTAAATACCTTTTTGGATACATTTTTATAAAAACGTATCAATATTTACCCAGTCTCAGTTTGTCCAGTTGTCTGCTCCTCAATGCTTCCTCCTCTTTCTTTTGAGAAAATATTCTAATTCTGACTGCATGCCACCTGTTTAACACTAACTATACATAACACAGTGCCTCGCAAAAGTGTTATTATAGCCTGATCTTCTGCACATTCGGTCATATTGACAAACATCACAACAAAGTCACAGACATGGAGTGAAAATGAAATTATGACATTATTTTAAAAGTAATAATCTGAAAGTGGGGATTGCATAACTGACCATACAGGATTTCTCCGAGTGCATGAAATAGAAATGATTGAATAATGTCCTAATGACTGCTGAATGCTCACTTATAGGCATCACAAAGTCCAAGGAAGCAACTAGACAGGTCTGGAATTAAGTTGAGAATTGGATTATAAACATGGTTAGGATAATAAATCACAGCACATTGTTTAAGCTGGAACTGGTTCTGACTTGACCCTGATTCTAGTCGTTTAGTTTTTTATCTTGTCTCCTTTTTAACGAGCAAGTTCTACATTCACGACAAGTTACTCATTGCCAGTGGAATTTACGGGGAAAATACCACTAGGTTTCATGTATATCACGATCATATTTGCATGTTGGACTCCTGAAGCTGTATACGGTAAGGCCTGGTTAGTACTGTGATGGGAGACCTCAGGGAACACCAGGTGCCAAACAGTGGATGTGTCCTAAGGCAAGACACTTCCCCCACATTACTTAAAATGAGTTTGCTTTATGTATGTCAGTGTGCCCTAGGACACCTGTGACTTGAATAGCAGTTAATCATCACTGTGTTTGAGGTGAAATAATGACATGTGAAGCATATTCGAGTGTCCTGAAAAAGCGCTGCATAAAATGTATGCATTATTATTATGGTACAGTAATTTGCTGAAGCTGTTCAGGGCTCTCAGAATGAAGACAAATGGGACTGATCAGATGACACATCTCCAGAATGGGAAAAGTTTCCTCCAAATGTTGCATGAAACGAGAAGCTGAAACCCTTGAATCTGCAGACACCGCCAGGCCGAAGAGGGAAACGCACTTTGATTCTAACTAATGTGTGCATTGTTTTTCTTTCAGTGTCAGTGGGAAGCAGAAAGGATCATGAAGAAGGCAAAGTCACACCAAAGTTACTCCAATACCCCCCCCTTTCTCTCTCTCTCTCTCTCTCTCTCTAGGACTGTGAGTGTGAATTACAGTCAAGTGTGTTCAGATTTGGCCAGTTTTAGTGATAAAGCAGGGTCCACAGCCAGTCATGGATTGAGTAGTTGACCATTGCCCAGTCCTCTCTGCACCAAACCCCCATGAGTCCCTCTGCTGGTGGTGAGTGCCCCGTGGGGAGGACCCATGTTGTCCTTTGACTTAGGCCCACTGAGCCTGGCTCCATCACCCAACCCCAGGAGCCCAGGTGGCAGCAACATTCCATGCTCGTTCATGCTGCTTTTTCAGCAGGAGGAACACTTTCTTTACAAATAGTAGCCTTGATCGTCTTGACAGAGCAAGGACACGTAATAAAGAGTGTCATGCCGCAATCAATTTTGGCATCAAGCTCGAGGTGGCGTAAGAGAGAGGGTGCATCCAGGTAACCAACGTTTTATTGTCTTAAGCAGCTGTCATTTTACAACCTCTATCAAAACTCTCAAAAATAGATGCAGCCAAGCCTTAAGGCAAGATGCAAATGAGAAACACAGAGTGATTCAAAGGGCTCTTCATGTATATCATGTTCTGATTTCTTATCAAAGTGTTCTCTTCGTTTGGGACTTAAGACTGTTAGGACGGAAGAATGTTTGTTGTTTTCATGAATCCAAAAACTTTTTAAAGACCCAAACAGTACAGACTCAAATTTGACTCAAAATGGGCAAATATTCTATTCAAATATAAAACGTAATAGGAAATATACATATTTTGTAACAAAGTCTCACCTGCTGCCTCTCCTCAGGGGCTCAGTTCAGTGGCTTGTCAGATTTACAGTGTCTGGGAGAATCATATATGAAAGTTACAGGTACAACATACAAAGTTTAATTTTGTATTTAAAAGTGTCATTTCAAAATGCAGTGGTTATAATACACAGTAGGCCTGTTTAAGTGGAGTCTGGCGGCAAGGCGCCTGATGATGTGTGTCCTGCGCTGGAGAGCAGCTGACAGCTGATTGGAGATGTTTGTTTTGTTGTTTATGACGAGACAGACAGGTGTCAGACTGTACAGTATTTAGAGACAGACAGGTGTTTCAACATTGTCAAAACAAGGTGATAAAGTGTTTTATTGTGAACTAATGAATAATGATCTTGGATTAGATGAAAGTGTGGCAGCTTCAGTTCACTGTTGGAAAACACTGATATCTTCATTTTCAAAATGTGTCAAAAATGTTGTTGCTTTTGCTTCAGTGATGTTTTGTTATTGGTAATAAATCTGAAAGGTTTTGCCCAAGAAGAGTGGCATTTTATTTGTATGGCACTAAAGTAGATCTGGCTTAATAAAAGCTTGATGATGCTACATGAAGAAACTCAGATGCAACTAAAATCTGGAACACTTTTCCTGAAAATGTGAGACAGGCTTCTCCTCTGACAATGTTCAAATCCAAGTTAAAACAGTTCTGTTTATCTGTGCGTACAACTGAAAGATTATATCTCCACTCTTTACAATTCACCGTGATTATTTATGAGTAATTTCTTTTTTTGTTAAGAGCTGCTCCCAATCCTCACAGCACCAGCCCCTCACTGATCCTCCTGCAGGTGCTGGTCCTCACTGATACTCCTGCTCCTTCTGGTCCTCTCTGATCCTCTCTGATCCTCTCTGCTCCTCCTGCTCCTCCTGGTCTTCACTGATCCTCCTGCAGGTGGTGGCAGCTCCGTCAGTGATGAAAAGTCCTTCAGTGGGGCTTTAGGCAGACCTGGGATAAATATCTGACCCAGGGACACGACTCCAGCAGACGTCAGAACTTGAAATCACCATCTATCTAATGAATCTGAGGAGTGACCCACAGTCAGTGCTCTGCCCCAGGGCAGCTGTGGTCATGGTCGGGTTTCAGTGGAGGTGGGCGTGTCCTCTCAAGTACGCCACCTTCAGTATTGAGCAACTGAAGGTGCTCAACAATAAATTGTTGGATTTTCTCAGAGAATCCAACAATTTAAACAAATTAAATCCATTTCCATGAAATGCTCTCAGAAGAATGAGGCTACAGCACTGTGTCACTATCATTAAGACTGAAGAGACTGTAGTTTCTTAACATGCAAAACTCGCAGAAAATAATCACCAGAATAGTTTATCAACAGCGTACGTTTGAATGTTCTGCTTTCTTACCCTGACACGGATGCGGCGCTGTGGTCTGAGGTTTTTCCCACAGTTCTGCTGCGGCTGTGTCCCTTGTCGAAGGCAATGTCCTGGCTTCTCTGATCAGCGTGGTTGTGCTCAGACTGTTCGCTTCACACTGCGTTTGTAAAAGGGTCTTCGTCCACTTTGACGTTAGAGCTACCGTGTCAAGTGACCAAGACATATGGAGAAAGACAGACATTTATCAAACAAAAAGATTCTTCCTTGGCCACTGCTCGAATGACCGGGAGTTGGGGATTATCACGAAGCGCCCGAAGTACGAAAGGACACTAAACGCTACGGGAGTAAAAACAGCACCGTGTACCTTTAATAAAACAATTTACTTTTTGTTTCTATATGCAGTTTATTTCTATGTCGATTTATGATATTGTGTCGATCCTGGTCTGGTTCAGAGCAATCTCGGCTCCGGGCAAGCGCTAGTTACCATAGCAACTCAGTTTACTTTATCAGTAACTATATATCAGTTACTATATAGATTTAATATGAATGAAATACAGCAACTCAGTTTTAGGAAATATGCATTAAGGATAAAAAACATTATTTGTTATTTGGGATGATTTCAGATTGCCATTGATTTGAATGGGAGCTGTCAGAATGACCGTGTGTGAGAGAAGGTGAAGCTGAGAATAATACACACACAGTTGAAGCCACCGCCTCTTTAATAGCATCGGAGTGAAAAATTACACTTATTAAAATCAAGCCTTTTTTTCCCAAATGTAGCACAAAACAACATGCTCAAAATAACTCATGAGAAACATTTCATTTACATTTTACTTTTCGTCTTCAACAGGTTTATCTTTCCTCGAAACAAAAGCAACTTAAAAACAATTGGAAACAGTATCAGTTTGGAGCTCGGCGAGAGAAACAGAAAAACTAAATCTCCAAAAACAAAAATGATTGAACTTTAAAATATATATTATATACGTATGTACAGTTATCGTCCACCTCCAGATCGCTCTCGTCACAGAAGAGCAGGACGGTGAACACAAACAGAAACATGAGTCAAATGAAAGGAGCTGTGATGTTGTTTTCTTATGTCTCCTCTGCAAAAGAAAGAACAACAGTTTGCTTGGAATGACTAGACTTGGTGTTTTTCATCAGCTGTTCAATTCTGGGCAAAAATAGGGATTTTTTTTTTTCACAATCAGATTTAATGCATTTGTGTACTCCTCTACTCCGAGCTCCACCCATGTGACTTGGGCGAAGTTTTGCTCCAACTTAAGGCTCCTACAGACTTATAAATCTATGCTTACACGGTATGAGCCATGTAAGCATAGATCAATCAGTTCCCTTCATTCACGGGAGAAACTACAGCTTGCCTTTGCAACCATGGCAACCACGTCAGCAACACGACTGAACCCGTTACAGTGTGAAGCTAATGCCGTCTGAACAAATGCCCATATAGGGTATATAGTCTCCAGCTAGCTTATGTGCGGCTATTTCTGCTTTAAGGCTAACACTGTGGTGATGTCACACACTGTCAGTACACTCCTAATAGACAGTCCATGGTTTCAACTTGCTGGTACCATTGACAGATTTTTTTCTCAGTGAGTTTCATTAGACGTCTGGATTAAATATATAAATTAACACCAAGCGACCAGTGATGGACCCTTTTCAGGAGCCACTCCAGCTCAAAGTGGTTTTGTATTAGTTAGAGATGCACATAAATCAATATTTATTTACTAACTATATTTATTTACCATTTATTTATATGGTACATGAACTTCAAACCATGAATCAATCCAACTAGTTCTTTGCATCACTAGTCTTCACACAGCCTTTAAATCAACTTTTTCAGACATAAAACTGAAAAAGAAGTCCACACTCATGCCGCCAATCGTCTCTCAGCCCAAAGTGCTGCTTTAACTTTTACTACAGTCCCCATGCTATCCCTTGGTTCATATCAAAGGCCAAAACTGGTGCATCTGTAGATTTTGGACAAACGTGCAGAAACACAATCATGTTTTAATGCTGCTCTATTAGAAAACTCAAACCAGAACGTGATTTTGTCATTAAATTTCCCAAAACACTAACAATGGAGAAAACCATTAGCTGAATGTGTGACAGGCCAATAATAACCTTGGCCTTTAGGGGGCACTGATGACTCTTACAGTTCTTTTGAGTATTTATGATGTCTGGAGTATGCTAGCTGGAAGCCATGATTACCAAGGAATAGCGGCAGCAGATACTAAAGTGGAATGGAAACGCAACCAGGTAGAGTAGAGCTGAGTAGGGACAAGTAGGGCTGTGACCAGAGAGAGATTAGTCACCAGAGAAAGAGAGGGAGAGACCAGGGAGAGGGCTTAAGTTTGGTGCAGTCTTTGTTGGATTTTGCAATAACATTTAGTGCACACTGGGGTAGTCTTGCACAGTTTTTCCAATGTGGTTTTACTGCAAATGGCAAATAAATGAATCTGAATCTGACATTTACGACATAGTTGAAGGCCTTCTCTTAGCTTTTGGGGCCCGGCTTTTGATCCCCAAAAGCTAAGAGAAGACCGGCTCTGCTTTGCTTGTACAAACACCTGAGATCCTTCTGCTGTAACTTTATTTGCCACAGGTTCATTAAATATCATAAACATCATAAATAATATGTGATATTTCTGCACGTTTGTCCAAAAGCCCTAATTATGAAGACTCTGATCTACACAAGATGGAAGTCCACCTGTCTCTTCACTCAGTGCGAGCAGAGTGGCTGAAAAGAGACCATTTGACCTTTTTTACTATAGAACCAGTTTCACAAGATTCATTTGTATATTGAATTATGTATAAATAATTTCAACACGTTTTAGTAAGTCAAATGGAAACAATAGAGAAATACCAGAGAATCTCTTGTGAAACTGACCCACTGTGTTACAAAACTAAAAGACAAATATCTTGGAAAAACCACTCCACATTTTCTGTTTTATTCAAATTGAATGATGTATAAAATGGCGATTGCATTTACATAGTGATCAGTGTTATAATTTAACGCTCGATATGTCTTGACATTGAGACTGGACAGAATGAAACAAATGAGAAAATAATCAAACTTCGAACTTAGCTAAATAATGTTACTCTACGCTAGCGGCTTAAATAGTTACAAAAGTGTCAGAACAGTTATTAAATTGTAAATTGAGCTGGGGGAGGTTTGACTGGAATCCCCACCGCTTCAAATGGAGCAGGAGGACAGGGCTGAAGACCAGGGTCGAGTTTACGGTTCAAGAGGCTGTCGATATCTCGCATTTTTAGAAATATTCTCGCAAAAAATTAAAACTGGAGCCGATATCAATGACTACTAATTTATTACAAGCTGACCACTTCCAGAGGGATGCACAAATATGATAAAACATATTTAAAATAAAGTTTTTTTCAGTTGATATATTTGATATATTTACTGGCTGATTCGAACCCTAGACTTTAGACTTCTACTCAGACACAGTAAAGAGATGGGACTACAGACGGACAGTAGCAGTAGCTGAATCTTGTGCAAATCTCTTTAAGACTCTGGGTTTATTTATTATTTTGCATTAGTCTGGAGCTCTGAAAAAGCTTTTGAAACTAGATTCTAGAGTGGAAAGGTCAGTTGAGAGAGACCAGAGAGAGACAAGAGTGTGACCAGAGAGAGAGAAGAGAGAGAGAGACCAGAGAGAGACTAGAGAGTGACCAGAGAGAGAGAAGAGAGAGAGAGTGACCAGAGAGAGACCTGAGAGAGAAATTATGAAAAAACTGTCCTAGTGTTTTTAGTTATGAACTGACTGGACTGAAAACATCTCCTTCAAATCACATGAGCAGATATTAAAAGCCAAAATATTGAGATCGGACGTGAGAAAATAAAATCAATGCATCCCTAAGAAAGCGTAAACAGTTTTTGACCCTTAACTCTAAAGTCCTTTATTCAGCCGAGCCATCTCCCAAAACCAGCAAAGAGTCGACAAATTCCACAGATTGTAATTTAGTCATTTATTTTGAGAACCGTAAAATCTACCGCGCCCTTCGCCAGCCACTGTTTTCTCCAATTGAAAACACGACAGTCAAATTCGAGTCCATGAACTGGTTTCCACAACTCTTATACTCACCCCAAAAGTTTTTTTTTTTTTTTAAAGGCAAAAGGAGGCAGCTTGGAGTTGCACTAACAGACATAATATCAGTCTTTGCAAAATAAACGGGAAAACAAAAAAAGACTACCTTCCAATGAATCCTCAAGGCCATATATATATTTATATATATATAGATTTTGTCGTTACTAAAACTGCTCTACACCCCCTCGCTTGGAAAGAATGGATACTGCTTGGATGGTTTCACTGCCCAGTTGGAAAATAAAGAAATCCTTCGACAAAATGCCACTATCCGAGAACGTGGAGCGGGAGGGAGTGGGGGGAGGGGTCTTAGCTAGCAAATGGTTTCCCTGATTCTTCCTTGCCTTTGTACGTCCTCTTGCCATGCGTGAATGGGAGGTATCTGTACTTGATCATGTGCTGGAAGACAAGAACACACACACACACACAGGTTAGACTATACAGATTACACAACAAGAGGTTCAAAAGGAGAAGGCAGAAACATAGTGATGGGGAAACACCGAGGCTTCGGAGCGTGCGTTGCTCTTCATGAAGCAAACTGCGTCAAAACACTGCATTGGTGATAATCGTGCCGGTGTCTTGGACTCTGCAGCCACTGCTTCGCTTTGTATCAACTGTGTCAGTGTGTCAAAGCGTTTCATTGGCTCAATAGGTTTCCAGTTTTGCATTGGTTCAGAGCATTAAGGGGAATTCACCCCGAACCATGCGTTGCGTCTAGTTTCAATGCAGTCAATGACAGTCTATGGTTTTGACGCCTTCTTGCTTTGACAGCTTTTATTGGATAGTTAGACTTACTGTATCTCATCTTATTCAACCTAACAAGGAATTGTCTCAAACTATTTTTACAATTAAGTGTTATCTACCATTTATGTTTTATAGTGAAATTGTGCTGTGCTCTAAAGTATTCAAAAGCTGCAAGGATTACATTTTTAACATTGACATTTGACGAGAGCATTGTAAAGTCCATAGCGGCTGAACTAGACTGGTTCAAATCAGCATTGCCACACGTGCTCCAGACGTAGCATTCTTTCAAGAGGAATGAAAGCAGCAAACAAAAGAATTGGGTAATTCTCTGTCTGGGTCCACCCCCACCGACCTGGAGTCAGATTGAAACCACGTCGGCGGATGTGCTCATGGAACTTTTTGAGCTGGGACCCGCCCCCCTCTGGTTACTAACTAGTATGAGCTCAGAGGCTCAGACACATTTGAAACTATCTGCCAAAGAAAGCCTTAGTGTGTTACAGGGCTTAATGTTAACTTGTGTGTGTGTGTAGTACCTTAATCTGCCTCTTCATGGTGATGCAGAAGAGCATGATGAAGTACATGACCAGGATGGGCCAGAACACCGGCACATTGAAGGCCTCAAAGAACGTGCAGATCATGGCGATGGCAATGCCTTTCGTGGCCGAATGCCTGCGGACACAAGAACCCCGAGAGTTACCGCCTCTGTCGCTGATGAGTTTAAATAAATACGTTTCTCTAACGCAAATACACAGACACACGTAGTACTGCAGCGCCCTGTACACACAACTCACCCACACAGGGTAACGTCACGAAGATCTTTTGAGCAGAAACAAACCACTTGCATCATGTAATAACTGTACCAACAATGAGGACTCGACCTGACATAATCTGCCATAATGTCAGATATGTTTATATATTTACAGCATGAGAATATACAGAATTTACCCTTATATATACTTTACTATATATACGTTACTTTATACTTTATTATGCTGAAGCTAGCGATTTTATAAGTGCTTCTTTACAATTCCAAGTTTAATTTTATTCTAGAATAATTATGGTCAAGCAGAGGTTTCGTAGGTCTTTCCTTCCTGCTGCTGTCAGACAGTACAATGAGAACTGCTGAGTCTATACACATGACACGCGCCCGTTTTCTAAGGCCCTGAGAGTTAAACCTATGGCCAGCCCCTTATTCTGGTCCGATTGCAGAACCTACCAGAATTTAAACTCTGGTAACCGCCGGATGAATGGACGGAACTCCTCGTTCTGCTTGGTTGGAAGAGCCGGGCCGTCGTCTGCACAAAAGGACATTGTTATTAGTTACATGTTTATTAAGTTTAAGTGTAGACAGCTTTGATCTTCACTCTCCTCACCTTCATCAAGCATCGACGGGTCCACTTTTGGCGATAGGAAAGCGATGAAGAGGTTGAGATGGTAGATTCCCAAAGCATAAGTTACTATGTACCAGCCCTGAAGAAAAGAACAGTGAGAGTCTAAACCAAGTCCAATTCAGGAATAAACACAAGAGACCAGAGAGGGACCAGAGTGAGACAAGAGAGAGAGAGACAAGAAAGCCAGACCAGAGAGAGACTTGAGAGAGGGAGACCTGTAAACGCGCCTGTGTGTACCTGTAGTATGTAGACTCTGATCATATAGAGTGCCGTCAGTAATAGGGTCGCGGCCCATCTCACTGCGTAGAACGGCGTGGACTTGTCGAGCCATGACTGATACACCTGTTTGGAAAAAATATTAAGTTATTTTAAAATTTTCATGCAGCATCACATCAAGCAAGATGTTTGATCAGAAAAATACAGTTTGAAAACGGAGACCAGAGAGAGACCACAAAGAGAGAGCAGAGAGAGACCAGATAAAGAAACCAAGAGAGAGAGAGAGAGAGAGTAAGTAAGTATTTATTTATATACCGCCTTTTCACTGCAGATCTGAGTCTCAAAGCGGTTTACAATTGTTAATTTTGGGCATTTGTCTCTCACTCCACACAGAGATGGGAGCGGGGTCACCAGTACAGGAGGCACATGCCAGAACTATTGGACATATTTTTAGTGGTAGGGGAAACCGGAGTACCCGGAGGAAACCTACGCAGACACGGGGAGAACATGCAAACTCCACTCAGAAAGGCCCTGGTCCGACCGGGATTCGAACCCAGGACCTTCTTGCTGAGAGGCGAGAGTGCTATCCACTCAGCCACCGTGCCGCCCAGAGAGAGAGAGAGAGAGTAGAGAGAGATAGCAGAGAGAGACAAGAGAGCAGAAAGAGAGCCACCAGAGAGAAAGACCAGAGAAAGACCAGTTGGACTAGTTTATAATTGATCAATCACATTTTGTTAAGTCCTCTGAGATGACTTCTGTTGTGACCTAGGGCTATACAAGAATAAATTGTATTGTATTGTATCAAATCCAGCAGTTAAATTATTTCAGTTCTATGAAGAGTGGATTAGAATCATGCCTATAGTGTACATTAGAAAACACCCATATAAATACATATTAAAATAGTTAATTCATAAAGCTCCTCCCTGAATCCCAACCCAGCCCTAGGATCAATTATTATCACACAACATAAGACTGTACCTGTCCTATCCGTGTGAAAAATACTCCGACTACTGATGGCTTCCCGTGGATCGACTCACCAGCACTGTCCCCTTCTGACATTCTGAAATACAAGACTTCGATTAGACAAAGCAGCAGCCATTGAATATGCATGTAATGTGTTGTCAGACAGGGAAAACAAACACTCCTTATGTAAATATTCAAAGCCTCCGCAGGTAATCTACACAAACTGTATCATAATGGACGTGTTGACACAACTCCGAAGCTAAGCAGAATGAGGCCTGGTTAGTACTGTGATGGGAGACTGCTGTGATAGCTGGTGGGATGGTCCGAGGAGCTTTTAAGTAGAATGATTTATGACAATGAGAAAGTTTGGCTTAATCGACCTTCCCTGATCTATTCAATACTAATTGTTTTTGAGATGCCAAATTTCACACATTTACTGCGGAGGAAACCGGGAGAAAGCAAACTTTGGAACCCGAAATCTCATTGTCAACTTTGACTACTCAGTTCATTGGAGATAGATTTGGTACGGTATGACGTCTATGTTTACAGGGACTGTGCATAATAAACATTAGCCAAAAGGAGAAATACATTGTACCCAGTGGCGGCCGGCCAATAGAGGGCGCTAGGGCGCCGCCCCACCACTCACAACTTGCCATGTTACCTTGAATAAAACGTTTAAAAAAATAATAACATTAAAATATTTCGAAATTTATGTGTGTTTTATTTCAGATGTGGAAGAAATACTTTATAGTTTATGCTGAGTTGGATTGATTAAGCTCATCAGCGTTGTCTGTGTCGGACTGAGGACGTATTTCCGCCTCAGGGCGCAAAAGATTGCGCCCTGAGCCGTCTATGGACTCTCGTTAAAAGTTGTACATGCGCAGTAGCTCCTCTTCAATGCAAGAGATAAGACGATTTGGGGGCGCAGGAGAAGTGCGCCCTGAGGGGGCGGGATCGCCCGCGACCTGTACTGTCACTGTCTGTGACGTCCGTTTACAGTGATTGACAGGTCAAGCTGTGGGAGTTTGAGACGAACGTAAAGAGACGCAAAATGGAGAACGAGAAAAAGATTAATTCAGTTAGATCACTCAAAACAATACGGTTTGAGAGAAGATCATACCAGGAGAAGGTTGAGGTTAAAGAGCTTGGACCTGATCAGCCAAATATTACCATTAGTCAGCAGTCCAGCGACAGGGGGGGACGGTACACTCGTACTTTTTCCAGGACCTGGTTCAGCGCCAAATCTTGGCTAGCAACATGTAGCGAGGCTAATGCTTTATTTTGCTTTCCATGCCTCTTGTTTCAAACATCAGGATCTGACCCAGCATGGATCAAGACAGGTATGACTGATCTGAAGCACTTTTTAGAAAAGGCAAAGAAGCATGAGCAGACTGGTATCCACATGCAAAATGCCCTCAAATTAGCTATGTTTGGGAAGATAAATATTTCATCCCAGCTGGATGAAAGCTACAGGGTAGGGATCAGAAAGCACAATGAGGAGGTTGACAAGAATAGGCACATCCTATCAAAAATAATAGACTGTGTCAAATTCTGTGGTGCATTTATATCTAGTCATCATATTCATAGCCCCCCCAGTAGAAAATTCCACCAGCCGCCACTGATTGTACCAGGTTGTAGCAGCAGTGCTAATTAACAGCTGTGGTCCCTGCAAGTTGCACCAAACATTTATGAAGCAGAAATGACCAAACAAGTTATAACAAAGCCACGCACCCACCAACAGCACTATAAACCGCACCTATTCTACATGGTAATGTTGAAAAATGTATCTTAAAAACCCAAATCCTCCAGAATTTTTAAACTTTACTCATTCTGCTTGGTAACAAACAAATTACAAATGCTTTTTTCTAGGGGCCTGTAACTTTTAAATACTCGTTTGTAGCAATGCATAAATTATCAAAGGATAATTACCATTATCATACTTCTAGTATATTCCATGTCGATGATTAAGTATAAATGACTGAAATACATATCATACAATTTAATTGGACCTCTGTGAACACCTCATCAATTCTGTTGGTCCACTGATAATTGGCTAAAATATTTTGGTGCCACAGAAAAATACACTGAATTGAATATTTGTACAGTTGGAAAACTTCATCAAATAAACAGTGGTCATAGTTAGGCCTCTCACTGTATTTCATTTGATTGACTGTATGATCCATTCAGACTAGGGCTGCACAATATATCAAAACAAATATTGTTATCGCAATATTGGTGCATCACACTAGAAGATTAAAGACAGTCTGTGACTCATTTCTTATTCTTACTCACAGTAATAAGAAGACATGATGAATATTAGGGATAGGGTTTTTTCTTCTTCAATATTACAGGGACAGGTGTGGCTTTTAATCCAGTGCAGCTTGTACAAGTACAAAATTCAATTTCTTTCTAAAAATTGGAGCCTGCGGCTTATAGCCCGGAAAATACGGTATATATACTATGTTCTATGACAGATTGCTCAAGAATGGTAAAAGGTAAAAACAGTTTTTTGCAGATTAAAACTAAGAGCCTGAGCCTGAGCCAAATAACTGATTTTTCTGTGGTTCTTCAAATCCCCTGAAAACGCACTTCCCTGATCTGAAAAAGGTTTGGTAGTCAATGAGTCAATAATAATGACAATTTCACCATTAAACATAAATAGTAGATAATCTTTTTTTAGAAAATTAAGAACATTTTATTTGATGAAACTAGTGGGGGCAGGTCCCGGCTCAAAAGTGGCCAAAATGACGTGCGCTGACATGCTTGCAATAGCACCCCGGGCCAATGGGGGTGGACCCGGAAGAAGAATTAGCCAATGCTAACATATAGCGTTGGCAGACCTCTCAAAAACACCTTTACAGAATGGTCCAAAAGTTGCAAACCTGCACATGTGCGTTTCACTGCAGTCGAGGAAAACCAAGATGGCGAACATAAAGTCTGTGAATTGCTTTAAAAGTTTAAATACGAACAAATTAAGACACACATTTCACTTTTAATGCAATGTGAGGCGAGATGTTGATGGTTTCATGTTGTGATTTGTGGGTTTTAGGAGTCAAAGTTTTGTGTACAGGGTTAGGGTTTTGTTTAAGCAGTCAACTGCTCCTGTGAACCACAATGCTACTGTGTGATAGCAGTACTTTTCCTGTCGAGTTGAGCTGCGGCATACGTCATTTTCTGATGTAGGCTGATGACGCGTCCTGTGGCCAACTCGACAGCTAACAGACCAGTCCACAACCCGACTGGCCTGTTGGGTTGATAATGGAAATAAAAACCAAACTCTGTTGGAAGCTATTAGCTGTCGAGTTAGCCACAGGTCGCGTCATCAGCCTACGTCAGAAAATGACGTATAATCGCAGCCTCTGAATTGTAATTGAATAGTGTGGTGACCAAAGATTCCCACCCCTGCTCAGTAGATTGTATAGATACTATGGATGATAAAACACAGGCATTTAACTATATTGCATACTATACATTCCTGACAAGCAAACGGATGTGTTAAAGCTGGGCAACCTAACCTTCATGGCATCAAAATGAAACAATATAATAAGCATCAAACTCATTACTAACCCTCAAAACAGTTCCATGACCAGTTTCGACATTATGTATTTTTATAGATTTGCTTGTTCACACGGTGAAGAGCACCACCTCACTCAGCTGTCATCACAAAGCATCTAACAGTAACTCACATGACTCTTTCTTATAAGTATGCAAAAGATAAGATGTTTTCTTGAGATATGGAGACTTAATTTTAGCTACAACACTTTTGAGTTGCTCTTTGCCACTGCAGGAGGGTAAAAGGACAGTGATGATCCTTGACGTTTATCAACATTCATGGACAGTGGTCATCCCTCTTCCTAGGGACCAATGGCTCCTATGGGTTTGTGATGATTGTATTTCCTGTATTTGAACTGCTTTATTCTCTGATCTGTTGTTAGCGAATCAACAAATTAGCCAAGTCCCTGAAACGACTGATGTTGTGGTTTGATTTGTTCACAATATTACTCTTTCACGTGGCACTTACTGTCAAACTAACAACGTGTATAATTCATGAATAATGAAGGTACCCCAGCTTTACAAGAGGCATGAAGTAAGATCAACACAAACCACTAACAGCCCTCAATATGCAGTAATAACGTGACAACAAATAACAAGCTAACTATTAACCAACAATAACTGCCAACTGTTTTGCATTAGCATTACCTTGATGCCAGAAAGGCCGTAGATTAGGTTTCGTTTCACTCACATTCAACCCAAAACGGTTGGAAAATATGTAACCTGTGTCATATCATTTAAGGCCATTTATGAAACAAATTTACATTAAATTCAACATTAAACTCAATCTGTGCTCGGGCCTGTTCGTAATAATAAGCAATGACAGCTTGTATCGTGATAACAGTTGTTTTCTGTGCTGCTAGCTCACAGTAACCGCACACACATAGCCCACAAGCTAATCAGAAGGCAAATAAGCCCGAGGGAATGCCTAAAAAGAGCGTGTTTTAGAACTAATATGGGTGTAATCGTGTTTAATCCCACTCTATGTACACCGTGTCGTCTCTGTAGCAAAGGTTTCGAAGTAAAATAGCACAAAAGCCATTCAAATAAATAACATTTTTTGGCAAAAGCTAACTAGCGCTGGTGCCCTTTAGCCCAGTGTACCTGCTAGCATGGGTAATGTAGTCCTTCCAGAGACACTGCATCCGAATTCAGGAAATTAACCGGCTTCCTTATCTGCTGTTTTTATTTCAACATTTAGCGTTACCGTTAAATGTTTGGTCAAATAGCTTTTCATATTCAAATTCGGCAAAAGGGAGAATTCAGTTGCAAATCACACCATATAGGACTACAACTCCCAGGTACTAACATCAAACATGACAACTCACTTCCGGTTGAAGTCTATCATAGCCGTAACTACGCTAACGCACACAGAACACGCCACATAAACCTGATTCCAGGTGTTTTTGTGGGGTTTGGGGTGAAATAGGCCAGTGAGAGACATGTCTGCAGTGTGTTCGCTGTGTGTGTCGGTGTCCGGCTGCTGTTTTACCTGATGCAGCCGCTGTGACAGTACTCCCGGCTCGGACTCGCCTCTGCGCGGACTGAATGGACTGTACACGTCACTGTTTCCGCGAGTCGAGTGTCGAGCGAGGAGCAGATGGAGCCAGGGCGAGCAGTCGATCCACAAGGCATCGATTGTGTGACTGGATAAGCTTGTTTACAGTCTATGGCAGCCATTCCCAAACTCAGTAACACCGAGGCCCCCTTAAAAATCTGAAGGGTCTGCGTGGCCCCCCAAAATAATAACCAAGAAGACAACATTAAGAATAGGCTCTTCTGGTTATTTTATTTTGGGGAAATAGCCTCTGCTACAAACATTGTAATACAAAAATGATTACAGTGGATTATTCAAGTCAAATAATGAACACAAATATTTTAATATTACAAACAAAACATTATAAATTTAACATTAAATAATTATATATTTTTTTTTTATGACCTCCCGCGGCCCCCCTGCAGTACCCTCGCGGCCCACCAGGGGGCCGCGGACTCCACTTTGGGAGACACTGGTCTATGGGATAAACATGGGTCCATGGGATAAACATACGGTCTATGAGATAAACGTATACTTATGCAGTCACTATAACTGAGGTATACAACACATTTTATTTTGCTCCTTTAATATTTACAGTCTATGCTTCATACACAGCCCCATTCGGAAGGAGTTTGAATCTATGTATCTTTTATTATCTATAATAAAAGTAACAATAATACATTTTATTTATATTGCATCTTACATTTCTTGCCGCCCTGCTACTATAAATGTATGTGGAGAGTCAAAAAAGTTGTTTTAAATAACAATAAAACTTACAACCGCTGTGAATGACAGCTCAAATAGTGACACTAAGGATTACATCATCTAACCTTTTAGCTTACACAGCATTATTGATTGGATAAGTAACATAACATTTTAAGTTTATAAGATTAGACCTTATATGCTAGATCATCAAGATCATAAACATAAATGTACAGTGACATCCAGCCAACTCCTGCATCACCAGTAGCATGTGTTGTACCTTGTATTGCTCTGAACCTTGTGAATCAATATTAACCCGTGTTGTCGGCCCTGGACAAAAAAAAAGTAAATAATTGAGCCAGACATACGGTCGGAATCCAGGATTTATAGCAAAAACACTGTATTGTACAACATCAAAAACATAAAGTTACACTGGTACAACCTTTAATATATATTTTTTTACAAAACTGATACAAACTACCCATGAATATAACAAAATGCAAAATCAGAGTCACATGTAATAATACTGATCATCGTTAGCACGTGTTAGCATTAGCATCATGTGGACATAAAGTGCTCAGACCACGGCTTTGTGAACGAGTCGACGATTGGTTTTTAGGCCTATTATAATATTTCCTTTATTTCTGCACCAAACGACATAAACGCTACTACTATTCATTGAGAAATAAAATGGAATGTCCTCATTTAAAAATCAAGTGCCATGAAAGAAGCGCCGAGTACCAGCAAGGCTTTACCACAATCCACCCAAACACATGACGGCGCTAGTGACTTTAACTAGAGATTATATAATACTGAACTTCCAAGTTTAATTGTGTTTTTCTGCACTTTTTGTCACAATAAGAAATGTCCCACAACATAACCACAATAAGGCAGACAAAAAAATTGAATGAATAAGAAAATAGGTTGGGTTTTTAAAATTGGGATATAGGAGGAAATGGTTATCGCCTCTGCAATCTGTGGTTCATCATGAAACGCTTCAGAGATTTGAGTGATGTCACCGGAAATGTGGTCTCATAAAAAGGCCCTGCTGGATGTCTTCAGATTAAGTTCTGCTAACCACTAACCCATTTTTCCCCAGACTTTAAGCTAAAATTGTTGAGTATTACTGCCGAATTGTACACCTATCACAGATTCAGAAAAGTCATGCAGAAATCACTAAAACAGTTAAAACCACTACTGAAACAACGAGATGACGTCACCACAGTGTTGGCCTTAATGTGCGAGAAGCCGATGGGAGCTAGCTTGAACATGCTATTTGAGAGGGAATGTGGAGCCAAATTGATACTGAGTTATCAAGAGCCAATCAGGAGCGGCACCGGTCTATCCCAGCTTTCACTACGCGCTAGCTAGAGCCAAATTCGGCAACAGAAGGTCCCTGATTGGTCAGTTGTTCAGACTAATATCTAGATTTACAAAGACAATATCACAATGTAAACACCAGAGAGAGCACTAAATGGTGGGTGTGACACACATGGTTACTGAGCTAGAGGAGATAACTTTTCAGAGTAAGGGCATGGTCACAACACTCGGTCAAGCTGGTGGCGCTAATACTAACTTCATTTAAGTTTCCGTTTCTCTTCCTCTTTACACTAGGCTACTGGGCGCTAACCATGGCACCAACAGGCTAAAGCACGGATCATGTTCTTTGCAATCAGTGTGAATGTGTTCAAGTGTGAGATGTGACTTTCTCCACACACACAAGTGAATGTTGGTGTGTTCTTGTTACAAATTAAAGTCTGACTCTTGATTAAAAGTTTGAGGTGTTATTGGAAGAGCACCACACTGTGACAGCAAGGGTCAAAACAGGAGATAGTTAACCCCATAGGAGACACATGCCTTTAGGGTTAGGGTTTAGACCAGCGGGTTAGCATTGTCCATGTATACAGTCTATGCTATAACAATTTTAATGAAAGTTTCAGTGGAGCGTAGATTAAAGAAAAACGTTAGTTGCTGTAAAAAGAGGCCAGTTCTTTTATATGACCGTGGTATGACCCTAAGCTGTTTGATATGATTTGGGATTTTTAAATTCAGAACAAACTTAGCCATTGTCTCCTCTAATTCCAAGCTTTCTCCCAGCTCTAATTTTAAAAGAACCCAACATATTCAAAGGTCTGCAAGTACAATAACAAAAAAAACAACAAACATTTGCCTTCCATCTGAAATGTTAAAAACACAGACATTACACAGACAATGTACAGTGCAGCCCCTTTGAAACCAAAACAAAACATTTACAAGATGCGCTATTTACAATTTGTACAAACATCAAAATAAATAAATCCAATGAGACCAACCGGTCTGAGGTGAACTTGAAACTTGAATGTGAAATGATGCGGACCTTTTAAGAGTATGATATTGCACCAGAAGTTAACGATCCACATCTGTGACATGTTAGTGCCATATGAACCAACTGGGACTCTGAGGAGCACAGGGACTGGCCTCCAGCTGGGACTGAGGAGCACAGGGACTGGCCTCCAGCTGGGACTCTGAGGAGCACAGGGACTGGCCTCCAGCTGGGACTCTGAGGAGCACAGGGACTGGCCTACTGCTGGGACTCTGAGGAGCACAGGGACTGGCCTCCAGCTGGGACTCTGAGGAGCACAGGGACTGGCCTCCAGCTGGGACTCTGAGGAGCACAGGGACTGGCCTACTGCTGGTGCCCATAGTCAGAACTAAACATGAGGAGGCATTGTTTCATGTTACACAGCTATTTTAATTTCTATCTTGTTTTGTTCAGCACTTTGAGTTGCCAGTGTATAAACTGTTCTATACTAATAAACTTGCCTTTGTGGCGAAATTAGCTGGATTCTAGAAGCAGCCTGACATACCAGATTTTAGCCAGTAAAACTTTGTGTTGTGCAGACGCACACATTTGTAAAGGGCCTGTAATCACTTGGGCAAATACACATTCCAATTTCTGCCTGATCGAGCTGAACATGAAAGCTGATCAAAATATTGATATATTATATATGTGTCTGTCGCTATAGCGATACATCAAGATACATCAAACCAGCACCAATAATAAAGAAACTACTACAACAGAATATGTGGTGTGTGTGTGTGCAGTCCTCCCCAGTTTTTGGGTGTTACCTGAAAAGTAGATTTGACCAACGGAGTATTAAAGCGGGGGTACCTATTTTTTGTACCTTTGTAAAACACATTGCCCACATGGTATCAGCCTCTGTTCCTTGTTCCTGCACATATCTTTGTTAACATTGTGAAAATTCCCCACTGTGGGACAAATAAAGGAATATGTTATCTTATTTCGATTTCTTGCTGAGATCATTAGTTGGTGGCTGAGTGGGGGCTGTGGCCATTAAATGCCCTGTGTGAATAAGGAGATGTAGACCAGAGAGAGACCAATGTGAGATCATAGAGAGAGAGACCAGAGAAACAGACAAGAGAAGATTCATCACCAGTTTTCACACATGTATTATTGGCCTCTGTTACGTCTTTAGATCAGCTTTTTCACACCAAAATCACCTAATCTGCCAATGAAAAGTTGTAAGAATTAGCCCTGTGAGTTGGGCTGAGAGCTGATTGGCTGAACAAGGCTGATCCATCCCTAGTGGACTTCCTGTATGAAAGAACTGATCTAAAACCGCGCTAAGAAGCCACAAAATTACATAAGTTGCGAGTGCATGGGAATAGTTAATCAGTTTTAAATTTCATGTTTTGCTTTTGTAGAATCAAGTACCCCAGCTTTAATTTGGGTTAAAGGACCTCTGCAGCTATTGTGTACCCATGAAATAGTTCCACCAGATTCTGTCAAAAGATTCCATCGAGGATGAAGCAAAAAGGAACTTGATGATGGGTGAACTATGGCAAGTTATTAATATAAAAGAGTAAGTTTTGCATAACCTGTGTGCAGTAAGTAAATATTATACCAAAATGTATCCGAGTGCACATTTTAGCCAACAACACAATATTACCCCTTAAACACTAGGGATGGGCAATATATACAACAAGAACATTTGGACACGTTTCAATCAATACCAACACAGACCACAACATGTTGAGCCTTGTGAGTCACTTTTGGTAATTATAATTATTCAGGTAATTTTATATCAATAACATGAGAAGTGAAAAATGTATCTCTCGTTCAGAAATGGACGAGTATGACGTGATCATAGTGTTTCGCGAATGCAGAAGAAGCCGCTTTGTAATGTAAGCTAACTGGAGCCGACTTCCTTATATGGCCATTTGTTTCTCAGCAGATGAGCTTCATGGTTGCTAAGGCAAACTGGAGTATCCCCTGCTTATGAAGGTGTCTGATTGGTCAACCCTTATTTACAAAGACAAAATAAAAGACTAGAATGAGTCTGGTGTGTGAGTGAATGGTTGGTGGTGGCCGATGGCACAGACTGGTTGCATTGCTTCTGTCAGTGTACCCTAGGGCAGCTGTGAATACATTAATAGGATATCACCTCTGTTTTTGGAGTAGAATGATGTGAAGCATCTTTGAGTGTCCAAAAAAAGCGCTGTATAAAACAGATGGATTTTTTAAGACCGAAAAGGTGTTTACTTTTAAACATAAGTTAATAGGAGCTAGAAAACTTAATCCACAAGCACTTTCCTATTGGGTTTCATTGAGCTAGCGTGTTGGACTAGTATCCCGTCCATGTATGTACAGTCTATGCCCTAGTGACACTCATACATTGACACATGTTGCAGATTGCCCATCCCTACAGTCTGCTGGCCTCTTGACCCTCAGTGAACGTCGCTCTCCATGAACTCCTCCTTGATGGAGTGCTTGCTGCGGGACATCTTGCAGTCCGGCATGTCAAAGCCAAAGTCCGCCCAGTCGTCGGTCGCCGAGGCCCCACCCCCTGCCCCCCCGGCTCCCCGGTTGGGGATGGTGATGGTGTGGCGGACGCGGAAGTGTACGGCCTCCATGACCCTCTGGCGCTGCAGCTCCCCGGAGCCCAGCGACGCCATGGCCATGTTCCCCGAGGAGCGGAGCAGCTGCTGGCCGTGGTGGTGGTGGTGGTAGTCGTGGTGCGCACTGGGGGCCATGGCCGGCACCGACGCCTGCTTCATGTCCTGGAGGCCACGCCAGATCACCAGCCTTGACTGCTCCGGGATCTTCAGAGCGCCCAGGTCCTACGGGTTGGATTCAAGTGGGACGATTCTTATATGGTTCAATTATTTTAAGTATTATATCTATTACTGCTTCTGCTTTAGACCTGCTTTAGACTTGATTTAATCCTGTTTTAGACCTGCTTTAGTCCTGCTTTGTCCTACTTTAGTCCTGCTTTAGTCCTGCTTTAGTCCTGCTTTAGTCCTGCTTTAGTCCTGATTTAGTCCTGATTTAGTCCTGATTTAGTCCTGATTTAGTCCTGCTTTAGATCTGCTTTGGACCTACTTTAGTCCTACTTTAGACCTGCTTTAGTCTTGCTTTAGTCCTACTCTAGACCTGCTTTAGTCCTGCTTTAGTCCTGATTTAGTCCTACTTTAGACCTACTTTAGTCCTGATTTAGTCCTACTTTATACCTGCTTTAGTCCTGCTTTAGACCTGCTTTGGACTACTTTAGTCCTGCTTTAGACCTGCTTTAGTCCTGATTCAGTCCTATTTAAGACCTGCTTTAGTCCTGATTTAGATCTGCTTTGGACCTACTTTAGTCCTGCTTCACTCCTACTTTAGACCTGCTTTGGACCTACTTTAGTCCTGCTTTACTCCTACTTTAGACCTGCTTTAGTCCTGCTTTAGTCCTGATTTAGTCCTACTTTAGACCTGCTTTAGTCCTGCCTTAGACCTGCTTTAGTCCTGATTTAGTCCTGCTTTTGACGCTCAAACGCGCGTCTCCATTGAGTTTGCATTGAAAGCCGACGCAACGCATGATCCGGTGACCGGATCATGCTTAAGTCCTGCTTTAGACCTGCTTTAGTCCTACTTTAGTCCTACTTTAGACCTGCTTTAGTCCTGATTTAGTCCTGCCAAATCCCGAGAGGGGCCGATGTTAGAATCAGAAAATAAAAACATGTTTAATTGACGACACACAACCCCAAACTATGAGTGGAGAAACCAGTACTTGTGTAATCCGTCATAGTCTCCAAAATATGGCAAAGCAAATACATCTGTTGCAAAAGTGTGTATAGCGGTTTACGGGGATAAGCAGGTACCTCCATGGAGAGCGTCTGCAGATGGTAGACCGACTGGAACCCTTGCGACGTGAAGAAGTCGATGAAGTTCTGGCAGCCCAGGTTGGTTAGAAAACTGTGAGAAAAAAGCAGGCGCTTAGAGGATCCATGATTATCAAAGTTGAATACAAGGACTTTACAAGATTGTGGATTCACAAACAACAGATCAGAGAATCAAACTGTTCAAAGAAAGGAAATGGCATCATCACAAACACATTGAGCCATTGGTCCATAAGGAGCGGGATGACCTCTGTCCAGAAATGATCATAATTGTCCAGAAATCTCTCGGCTCGTCACTGTCCTTAGATTCTCCTCCATCGGCAAAGAACGACAAAAAAACTGCTGGAAAAAAGTGAGAAACTTCAGGGAGACGCACACTGTGAGAGGGATCCGCTCCGACAGAAGGACAAGCTATAGAACGAGGACTGAGGCTGTAGATCTAGGACTTAGACTGTAGAACGAGGACTGAGGCTGTAGATCCAGATCTGAGGCTGTGCGGCGAAGTTTAGCGTGTGTGTAGTGTGTGTGTTGTTATGAACATTAATATATATTTTTAACATCAATGATCCATAAGCCAGATGTTTACTTGATTAAAAATAACTTTATTTATCTTACATCAGTCATTCCATTCAATTCATTTCAATGTAGTGTTGTATTGCCCTAAATCACAATAGCAGTCGTCTCGGAGGACTTTACAAAGTTGTCGATTCACCAATTGTTACAATGAAAGTATAAAACTAGCTTTAAATACAAGGCCCACACCAATTAGATATCAAAGAGGCTATTTAATGATACTAAATAGTTTCACAATATATACAGATGCCTTCCAGGGTTCTCTGTCTCTAACCATCTCTCCTTGGGGTATGATTTTATTTGTTATGTCTGTATGTATCTTGCAACTATTTATTGCCATTAAATGTCCTCTTTTATTCCCTCTTTCTTTGCTATATTAGAAATTTAAGACATCAAAGAATCAAACAATTCGACCACTGGAAATACAATAATAACAAACATATAGAAGACATTGATCCATACGGAGCAGATGACCACTATCCAGAAATGTTAATAAATGTGCATATATGTCCAGGATCCCGGAGTAGATTGGAGTGAATTCCCCTTGAGGACCTTGGGCCTTGGACCCTCCTCAAATGGAGATAACATTATACAGTAACATAAATGGATATTTTACAGATTTGTTTGGTAACACATGGTGGAAATACACAAACTACTCAAGTCTCAATTTCTCAGGTCTCTGCACTGGCTCCTGTGTACAAGTCTCTCCATGGCCTCGCACAAAAGTACATCTGTGACAAGAGAGTGCCATATGAACCACCTCTCAGCAGCACAGGGACTGGCCTCCTGTTGGTCCCAGAGTCAGGACTAAATGTGGCTGCATTTCAGATTAATGCAGCTAAAATCTGGAACAATCTTCCTAAAAAGTGAGACAGGCTTCTTCCCTGACAATGTTAAAATGCAGGATAACAACAGTTTAGCTGCAACAACTGAAGGATTGTATCTTCACTATATTTCATGCACTGTAATTATTGTTATGTCTTGTTTTGTGAGGCACTTTGAGTTGCCTTGTTTGTGAACTGTGCTATACTAATAAACTTGCCTTGTCTTACAGAGCGTAAAAGAGTGTAGAGGAGGGTTAAAGATTTTGTGTATTTTAAAAAAAAAATTGTGAGGTGTTATGGACATCATAAATGTATTGTGATGTCACATTTTCTGAGCTACCAGTAAAAGGGGTCAGTGCAGCATGAGGTACCTGACGAGGCCGGGGTCAGGGTTGTAGCTGGGGGGTGGGCTGCAGTGCGACACTAGGGTCTGGCTGCTGTGGCCTCCATTCATGTCTCCGTTGGTCTGCATGTGGTTCAGCATCCCGCCTCCTGGACACAGACACAGAAGAAGTGAGAGATGGCATGGAGGCGGTTTGATGCTGCGGAGTCGTGATGTTTTGACACGAGTCGTAACGCAGTGTCAACCCGGGGTACATTCTGACCACAGGGAAGATAGGAGTATGTCGAAGTAAAAGGGTCAAAAAGAACTTTGAATGATGTTGTGATTTAGAAATGAGTTTAAATTGACGACTTTCAAAATGTGTCTATTTTAACAGATCAGAGAATCAACAGGAAATGCACAAATAACAAACACATAGAAGCCATTGGTCCAGAGGGAGCGGGATGACCCAGGACTGAGGCTGTAGATCCAGGACTGAGGCTGTAGATCCAGGACTCAGGCTGTAGATCCAGGACTGAGGCTGTAGATCCAGGACTGAGGCTGTAGATCCAGGACTGAGGCTGTAGATTCAGAACTCAGGCTGTAGATCCAGGTCTGAGGCTGTAGATCCAGGACTGAGGCTGTAGATCCAGGTCTGAGGCTGTAGATTCAGAACTCAGGCTGTAGATCCAGGACTGAGGCTGTAGATCCAGGACTGAGGCTGTAGATCCAGGACTGAGGCTGTGGATCCAGGACTGAGGCTGTGGATCCAGGACTGAGGCTGTAGATCCAGGGGACTCTCCTCTCCCTCATTTTCCAGACATATCAGACACATCATTAGTGGATTTATTATTATATATCAAGACACTTGGCCCTAGTCCGTTTGAGTTGCTGTTTATTTCTAATGATTGTGTAAATTCAATACTATCATTATAATAGTAGTCTCCAGACCACACTCACCCATGTGTGTGTTCTGCTGGGACTGTCCCACCAGCTGCGACACAGACGGGGCTTTGCTCAGGCCTCCGTGCAGCTTGTTCATGTTGGGCAGAGGAGAGAAGGAGGTGGGGGAGGAGATGCTGCTCCTGGAGGAACACGACACACGTTTCACCAAACACACACTTTATATTCACCAGGATCAGAATATGTAAAGACAGGTCTCTGCTCTGCTTCTGTGGCTCAGAGACTTTAAAGCAGCTCTGTGTGAACAAGAACAATATGAACCAACTCTGAGGAGCACAGGGACTGATCACCTGCTGGGACTCTGATGAGCACAGGGACTGGTCTCCTACTTGTGCCCAGAGTCAGGACTAAACATGGGGAGGCAGCTTTTCAAATGTAAATGCAGCTAAAATCTGGAACAGTCTTCCTGAAAATGTGAGACAGGCCTCTTCAAATCCAGGATAAAAACAGTTCTGTATCTTCACTCTTTTTAAGAGAGAAGATTGCTTTTGATCTTGTTTTGTGTCGCACTTTGAATTGCCCTGCGTATAAACTGTGCTATACAAATAAACTCACGGCCTCTGGATGAGCTGCTGCTGTGTCTGCTGCCTGTAGGACTCCACCAGCGGCTGCGGCACCAGCTCCATCAGCTCCAGACTGTCTTTGATCTTCATCAGGAGATCAAAGTTTTCACGGCCGCGCACCTGCACACATACACACACGCACAAGATCAGAAAACACATGTCATGAAGCGACAGTATGGGGCCATTTCAACCCTTACACACACATGTATTTGTTTATTTATTATTAATACATACAGTATATTCGTTTTATTTACTCTTATATAATAAATCAATTGGTTTGAGACAATGGTCTCATTGTCCTGAGGGATTCCCATTCTAAACATAACATTTCTATTGATACAAGAATTTTAACCCCCTTTCATACTGTGGTAGTAAGCAGCAGCAGCAGCAGCAGCAGAAGCAGCAGCAGCAGTAGCAGTAGCAGTAGTAGTAGCGGCAGTAGTTGTACTAGCAGAAGGAGCAGTAGCAGTAGTAGTAGAAGTAGCAGTGACTGTAGCAGTAGTAGTAGTAGTAGTAGTAGTAGCAGTAGCGGCAGTAGTCGTACTAGCAATAGCAGCAGTAGCAACAGTAGTAGTAGCAGTAGCTGTAGCAGTAGTAGTCGTAGTAGTAGTGGTAGTCGTAGTAGTAGTAGTAAATCTTACCGGAATATAGTAAATCTCCTCTTCACCATGCCTCCTCTTCCTCATGTTGATGTTTGGAATGGGAATACTGGTCGGACTCTGTTTGAAATCTGTAAATAAACAGACAATAAACAGACAATAATACAGACAATCATTTTATTGTAAAGGTTTTAGGTGGACAATGCTCCTCTCTCTGGCTCCTATTGACGACCATGTAAAAGCAAACTGCTCTAGCTCAGTAACTGTGTCACACTCACCATTTTGGGCTTAAATCTTTGGTTTAGCTCTCTGTCCTGGTGTCTATATGAGTGAAGAGTGAACTGGTGACATCACCACAGTGTTAGTTGTCAGCGTTAGCCACAGTGTGGATCAAACTGATTTGAACATAAGCTAGCTCCCTGGTGCTGGTCCAAGCGGCAAAACCCAAACCCAGTGTTGTCACTGGCGTTTTCCATGAGGGCGGGTCCCTGGTTGGTCACTATCCAGTACCCCTCCCAAGGACTCCAAGAAGGCCGGGTCCTCTGCACTCCTGGTGTGGTGGTCCCTGAGTGTGTGTCTGTGTCTGTGTGTGTATCTATGAGCGACTCACTGCGTTTGTTGGTGCCGTTCTTGGTTGTGTTGTCGCTGAGGGCCTGCTGCTCTCTGTAATGGTCCTCGTCGGCTTTTCGGTCTCGTCCTGGACACGCACAGATCCTGCCCTCGAAGCTACGACGACCCAGAACCTGCCCACTGCAACATCAGGGAAACATCAGTCATGGTGTGGACTTTACAAACACTTTGACCTGGTTTTACTTTGATATTGAACGTTTACATAATTCACCCATGGAACTACAGTTACCCTCAGAGAGTTCTAGGGGGGTCGATTAATACTCGGGAGAATTTCCTGTTTTTAGTTTGTTCTGTTAGGAAAGTAAAGAGACGCACACTGCTTTGTTGTAAGTTCAATACTGACTTTGAATGGCATTAAAACAGCCACAGTCGACCAAATTCCATAAATGTTGAATATTTAAACCCTGTGCTCCTCTTGTTGTGTGTCCCTGTTAAACCCTCAGGACTAAACACACCGCAGCAGCCCCCTCTCTCTGGAACTCCATTAGAATCTCTGACTCATGGCAGAACTTTGAATCACTTCTCAAAACCCACCTCTTTCACCGTGGCCTTTCCTTAACTTTGTTCTTCAGTGTGTAAAGCGTTTGTGAGTGTCCGAAAAATATTATATAAAAATAAAATGATGTATTATGTATTATTATTGTTATTGATATTATTATTATCAAATCGTGTATATTTGAGCTCCTTATGTTTTCACCTTGTGACAACATGAGGAATCACAGCCTGCTTTATTACACGTACTGTAAATAATAACACAAATACAATGTTACTCCAGACACCATGGTAACAAAATGGCATCTTAAATATCAGTGGACAGGGATTACTCTCTGCTCTCCAGAGTGATGATGATGAGGATGGGTCTTCGGTTCATGCCTCCCACGCAGCTACTGTTACACATGAAGTTGTAGAGGATTGTTGTGAACTCTGTGCCCACCTGCAGAACACACACACACACACACACACACACACACACACACACACACACACACACACACACACACACACACACACACACACACACACACACACACACACACACACAGACACACACACAGACACACAAACACACACAAATTAGACTACTAAAATCAACAAAGGACATGTACGGCATGGGTTTCAAACTATATTTTTTGGGGGATCAGATTTAAAATGCCAGATCCTGTCAGACCTTGGAGGCTAAGCAGGGCAGGGCCTGGTTAGTACTGTGATGGGAGACATCTGGGAACACCATGGGCCACACTGGGGCGGCATGCGGCAAAGGTAAAGTGGCAAAATGTGGTTGTGTCCTTAGGCAAGACACTTCAAGCACATTAAAATGAATCTGGTGAATAGTTGGTGGTGGTGGGAGGGGCTGATGGCACAGACTGGTTGCCTCGTATCTGTCAGTGAGCCTCAGGGCAGCTTTGGCCACAGTAGGAGTTTATTTATGTGTGCAAGCCTCCAATGCACTTGTATGACCACTGGAGGGCGCCAGACCACCTGAAATCTAGGTTGACTGTCAAATGAATGTCAGTGTTTTTTTCATTTGTGAAGAGAGATTTCTTGCTACCCTTCCGTCCTCTCCTCTCTTTTTGTCTCCTCTTCTCATTATCAACATAGGAGTTAGGAGTGTGTCAATTTAGTTCCACATTTTAAGTCGAATTCCAGCAGTAAATTCACTTTTGAAACAGATTCTAATTTCCAGAGTTTCACGTTTCAGAGTGAAATTTAACCCAAAACCTTTTTTCAGGATGAAAAATTGGTTTAACACAATAAATCATACAAAACTCCTTGTTCTGACCTGTGGGGACTCGTAGGGCACGCACACGCTCTGGCGCCCGGTCACTGGATCGTCCACGTACTGGTTCAGGCTGTTCCCCTCCACACGGATCAGGTGCGAGGCCGGGGCGCTCTGACCTGAAGGGGAAGAAGGCAAGTTTATTTGTATAGCACAGTACACTCTTTCAATGGGAGGACCGAGCCTTCTGAATCCTGGGGGCTGAGTTTTTTTAAACTTTGAGGGCTTAGACTTCTGAACCCTGAGGACTTAACCAAACCAATTGATTTATTATATAAGAGTAAATAAAACGAATATACTGTATGTATTAATAATAAATACACAAATATTGTTAGTTATGAGTATGTATATTTCAATCATTACTGCATACACCTGAGGACTATGAACAAAATATCTTTACATTTGTGTTCAAATGCGTTAAAAAACCTCTCTCTGGTCTCTCTACTATATTAGTATGATTTATTCTACCTCTGCTAGTGAGCAGGACCACACTGCAAAAAATTGATTGGTTCGAGGTTTAAAAAAAAAAAACTTAATCTAAGTACATTCTGACTGTGCTAAATTTTGCCAATGGGATAAAGCCATCTAATCTTATTTCAAGAAAATAAAAGAGACATGTCTTGTATCTTTTTAAAAGTAAAGATAATTTTCCTTATCTTTCAACCTTTGGCAAAATGTGTCTAAATTAAGGGTTTGTTGAAATTCTGCATTTATTCGACATATTTTCCATCATTTTTGCAGTGCAGACAGGGTTAAACCTCTAGTCCTGGTTCTCAGTGACATCACAGTCGTACCGTCGTTGAAATCTCGTCCGAGCTCGTGGTTGGGGCAGCGTTTCACCACCTCTGTCACGTGCTCGGCCTTCTTGTAGACCGGCATGGCCCTGAGCAGGCTGCCGGGGGGCGGCGCCGATGACAGCTTAATCTGGATCGGACACGTCTTGGCGATCTGACAGTAGAGCTTCTTCAGCAGCGGAGAGTACTGTAGGAACAGAAGAGAAAACATTTAATCAATTTATTCTTGTATAGCCCTAAATCACAACAATAGCCAACACAGATCAGAGAATCAAACAGTTCAATCACTAGCAATGCAAAGATAGAAAACACATAGAGCCATTGGTCCATACAGGACAGACACCAAAGACCAGAAATGTTAATAAAGTTGGTAAATGTTGTTGAAGGCTGAGTGTCCTGGATCATCAACACTGTCATTAGAAACTCCAGCAGTGGCAAGAAAGAATTACTGTCAGACTGCTGTAGGAACACACACAAGAAAGGGCCACAAGTTACTGGTAAAAGCAGTCAACAAATCTCGATTAATTGTTATTTTAAACATACCTGGACCCAAATCTGTCAATAAGAGATTGTATGACTCCAACAGATCAACAAATACTACTCAATTGCATGGTATTGTGCTTAAAATTCAAGTATGTTTTCTATTTATTTTTGTACAGCCTCAAATCTCATCTCAGGGGACTTAACAAAGTTGTAGATTCGCCAACACAGATAAGATAATAAAACCGTTCGAACACAGGAAATGTACAGTAATAATAACAAACACATAGAATGAAATCAGTCCTCACGCACCACTGGATTATTCTTATACACAATTTCATTGATTTGGTTCTATAACATAAGAATAATGTGTGTATTTTTAATAAATAAACTAACTACTGCTTGTTCATAGTATGTATATTACTGATAATAAATGCATACCTGAGGATTATGCCTTTAAAATGAATAAGCTTTACTACACTATCTGATCTCTCTGGTCTCTTTCTGGCCTCTCTTTGGTCTCTCTCTGGTCTCTCTGGTCTTTCTTTGGTCTCTTTTTGGTCTCTCTCTGGCCTCTCTTTGGTCTCTCTCTCTGGTCTTTTTTCTCTGTTTTTCACTGGTCTCTTTCTCTTGTCTCTCTATTTCTGTGAGTGTCTGGGATAGACATAAATAAGTTATAGATGAATAAAAAGGATAGTCGCTCAACCAATCAATAATCAGATAGCTCTCAGAATAATTTTACACCATTGCTCTTTATCAAACGAACCCATTTTGAATAAATAGACTAATTGATCCTTGTTAAGAGTACATATACTTTACTCATATAAATGCATACACCATAGGATTAAGCATTTAAAATGAAAAAGCTTTATTACACTATCTGGTCTCTCTCTCTCTGTTTTTTTCTCTGCTTTCTTTCTGGTCTCTATCTGGTTTCTCTCGCTGGTCTTTTTCTGTTCTCTCTCTGGTCTCTCTCTCTCTGATCTCTATGGTCTCTCTCTGTCCCCTCTCTCTCTCTCTGGTCTCTCTTTTTCTAATCTCTCTCTCTGGTCACGCTTGGGGTCTGTCCATGATCAAACGAGACCAGGCTCTTCTCCAGGCTTGAGTCTGAAATATCCCATTCCCATATCGTCCTGATCTGAAAAATCTCTTTTATCCACGTGGCCCATGTCCAGGTGTGTGGTGTTTATGACCGAGACGCATTGAAGAGCAGTGGGACAAGAGAAGCCCCGTCTCAACTTGTCCCGACACAATTACGAATTCTCCGAAAATCTTCAGAGCCGTATAATCTAAGTGGGATTTTGAGGAGCAGGAGCAGACGCCGAGTGTGGACTTGTATCGTCAAGTCTCAGGCTGTAATATACAAAGGCGCAGGTCTAAATTCAGCCAAATGGGGGCGTCCATCAGAGGCACAACATTATGGAACACTTTCCCAGAACACATACGAAACTGTGGGACCTACCGAACATTTAAAGGAGTCCTCAAACATTGGCTGAAATCAAAGCAGTCATGCTCCCAGATGATCTGCTCTTCTTTGGACTTTCTCTTTTAAATTATTTATGTTGTGCTTGTCGACTTACTGTTTATACTTTGACCTAACTGTGTGATTGTGTGTCTCTTACCTGCCTTAGGACAATGGGTGCAATTTAGCTAGTGTGCTAATTCCAGCATATATTTATGTTGACACTGTTTGCAGACACATTAATGAATATGTGCTGTCCTAAATTCAAGAAAAAATAATAATAATAGGGCTCTGACTTAAACTTATTATTTTATCTTTTTATTTTTATTTTTGTATGGACCAATTTTATCTTGAGTCTGAAATAAAGATGAATAATTAAAACAACAGTGTATAGAAATGATGAGAGATGTGTGAATATGCTGTAAGTTTTCAATTGTTTTTGAAGTTCCATGTGCAGTGATCGTCTACTCTGTATAGGTGGACGATGCGAACACGCTAACTCAATGTAGCGCAAGAGGGAAGTGCTCATGGATGAAGTTTTGTTCCAACTCGCTCTGGTTCCGGTTTGTCTACATGTAAACTCTCTATCTTATCTCTCTCTCTCCCTCTGGTTTATCTCTGATCTCTCTCTGATCTTTCCATCTCTCTGATCTCTGGTCTCTCTCCGGTCTCTCTCTCTCTCTCTATCTGATCTCTAGTCTCTCTCTGGTCTCTGACTCCTTTTGACTAACATAAACTCAGTAACTGTTTCTGTCACACTCACCATTTCGGTCTTATCAGTGTGTGGTTGAGCGCTCTCTGTGATTTCATATTGTCTTTGTAAATGCAGATTAGTGTCAATTGCGATGATGGCATTTTTGGACAGTGGTTTTTGCCCATTATGGACCAATGGCTCTGTGTGTTTTTTTTTAATCATTCCATTTCCTGTGTTTTAAATGTCCGATTCTCTGATCTGTTGTTGGCAAATTCAATGGTTGTGTAAAAGTCCTCCAAGATAACTATTATTGTGATTCAGGGCGATACGAGATTAAATTGAATTAAAAAGAATTGATATAAACAATAAGTAGCCAAACAAAATACCCTGTGTTTGCTTCTGTCTTAACTCCTGGTGGTTTGCATCAGTAATCAGATCTCAGGAGCTACATACAGTATGCCACAGATGGAAGATTTTGTCAACTAAAGTGTGATTGTACAGATACAAAAATACATTGACTTGAATGTTTTAGAAGCTTAGATACTTTAGATTGAAAGATAAATCCAGAATTAAGGCGTTGTAAACTAAAGCCAGCGTTTGGGAAAAGCAGGTGTGTTTTGGTTTGACTGTTGTGACACTAGTACTAAGCCTCAAACACACACACACACACTCACTCACACACACACACACACATGCACACACTTTTATATACACGCACGCACACACAAACCCAGAGACACACACTCACACATCCACACACACACGCAAACACAACATACTCACATACAGACACAAACGCACACACACACACACACATACATACACTTAACAATGCGAGCACACACACACACACACAGAGGGCAGTGGAACATTACAATCACTTCCTCATCAACATCCTCCTCAGGCCACGGCAAAGACAGAAAACAATGCACTAATATCATTCTACATTTAACAGCAGCTACAAAAATTGAAACTGAAACTAGATTTGCGTGGTTTCGTTTGGGCACAAAAGTAGAATTTCTCCTGTGTGTAACTCTTGAAGCACACATTTCTCAGCCACTGCGCATGTCCAAATGTACGTGGGGGGCAGTGGTGAGGTAATGGTATGAAGAAAATTCACACCTTTTTCTTCACAGAGATGTGAAACAGCTGCCCGACATTTTTAATCTGAATCTGAGGGCCTGATTAGACGGCGAAGCTGCAGAGACGCTGTAAAGCAATTTGCAAAAACGACCAGGCTCTGTATTTGAAGCGTCTACGCGGCTATGGAAAACAATGTAGTTCTAGCACTCAGCCAGTAGGGGGTGGTGGAACTTTATAACACTTTGAGCAACATCCTCCTCAGGCCACCGCAAAGACAGGAAACAATGCAACATCATCATTCTGCATTTAACTATAGTAGTACTAAACTGAAACTGTAGTAGAATTTTAACGTATTTTTTGTCACTTTTTGCGGTGTATGTGTTTTTTTTTAAATTATTGATTAATTCTCTTTAACTGTTGTGAATCCACAACTTTGTAAAGTCCTCCGAGACGACAACGGCTGTGATTTAGGGCTGTACACAAATACATTGACTTGAATTTGTGAGCAATAGTTTTTTTTTTTTTTTTTTTTTTTTTATTCTTTATTTGAATTGGGACAGTGCACATTAATCAACATGTGTTTTTTCAACATGTAAATGCGCCGGAGTTAGCCATATAGGCTAATTTTCATCCGTAGTCCCATGGCAGGTTGATGTCAAGAAATTTAGTTTGAAATCTAAACACAAAACAGCAATAATTTCAAAAAAACCAAAGCAGCGATTCTTAAGGTAAAGCAACAATCATTTTATTCAAGTGAGGTCTGACGGCAATTTTCAATGGGAACCGTTGCAGACGTGTCCGGACCTGCTGCAGGAGACTTGCCGATAATTGACATTCTGACATCTGTGAGCAGGCAGCTACATGCCCGCCGCCAAACTCGACCAATTACACACTACAAAAGGAAAAAAAGTCAAAAATGCTCAAATTTGGCTAAATTTGTAAAACAAGATTTGCTAATAAGACAGAGCAACATTATACTAGTCTCTCTTTGATTTCTCTCTCTGGTCCCTCTCTCTCTGGTCTCTCTCTCTCTGGTCTCTCTCTCTCTGGTCTCTCTCTCTCTGGTCTCTCTCTCTCTGGTCCCTCTCTCTCTGGTCTCTCTCTCTCTGGTCTCTTTCTCTCTGGTCCCTCTCTCTCTGGTCTCTCTCTCTCTGGTCTCTCTCTCTCTCTGGTCTCTCTCTCTCTGGTCTCTCTCTCTCGGTCCCTCTCTCTCTGGTCTCTCTCTCTCTGGTCTCTTTCTCTCTGGTCCCTCTCTCTCTGGTCTCTCTCTCTCTGGTTTCTCTCTCTCTGGTCCCTCTCTCTCTGGTCTCTCTCTCTCTGGTCCCTCTCTCTCTGGTCTCTCTCTCTCTGGTCTCTTTCTCTCTGGTCCCTCTCTCTCTGGTCTCTCTCTCTCTGGTTTCTCTCTCTCTGGTCCCTCTCTCTCTGGTCTCTCTCTCTCTGGTCTCTCTTTGGGCACATTCTGACTGCA